AGCTCTGGCATGTCTATCTTCAGCCATTTGAACCTACAGAAACTGAAGGTTTTCTTGGCTTTTGTTTACTGCAACCACTTGAACATTTTTTTTTTTGTTATAAAAAATTTTTTTGTTGTATCTTTGCTTATGGACCACACCTGGCAATGCTAAGGGGTTACTCCTGGCTCTGCGCTCAAGAATTAGTTCTGTCAGTGATATGGGATATTGTGGACTGAACCTGGGTCAGCCATGTATGTGAAAGGCAAGAGCCCTATTCACTCTAGTATCTCTCTGGTCCCTAAATAACTTTTTGTTTTGGGGCCAAACCCGACCGTGCTCAGGGATGACTCATGGCAGGGCTCAGGGAATGACCTGGGGTACCAGGGATGGAACCCACATCATCTATGTCCCGGGTAAGGGCCCTACCTGCCATACTATCTCCCCAGCCCTAATAGTTCCCATTATGTATACCCATCTACTAGCTGATTGTTACTTAGTTGTCACCACTCTTTAGCTATTATGAATAATTTTTTTCATTTGTTTTTTGTTTGCAAGACAAGACCTTTTTGCCACTGAGCCATTCCCAAGCCCTTGCACATGTATTTCCAGTTCTCTGCCACTTAATAATGGAATTGCTGGGTCATATATTTAACTCGTTTTTTGTTTTTTGGGCCACATCTGAGGTGCTTAGGGCTTAACTCCTAGCAATATTCAGGGAACCATAGTTGTTGCCAGCAATTGAACCAGGTTCACAATGTATAAGACAAGTGCCTTAACCCCTGTTCTCTCTCTTTTGCTCAGCTGGATTCTTTTTCTTATTTTTGGTTCTGTTTGGGGGCCATACCCAGCAGTGCTCAAGGCTTCTTTCTGGCTGTGTGCTCAGGGATCACTCCTGGCAGTGCACCAGGGACTGAACTCATATTGGCCATGTGCAGGCAAGCACCCTGCCCTTTGTGTTATCTCTCTGTTCCCATTCTGTCTTTTGAAGCACCAAAGTGGTTCTGTTTTTTTAATTATATTTTTATAAAGTTGTTCACAATAATTTATTACACTTAATATTTGAACACCAATCTCACCACCATTACCCCTTCCTGCTACCATATTTTGAATGTTTCCACCTTGAACCCCAAACCCTGCCCCCAAAGCAGAGCCGAAATAATTTATTTTGTATTGCTTCTTATGAATAATCTACTAAAAATTATCCAAAAAAGTTTCCTTAGAGGAGAGGAAAATGTGTGAAGATTATTATGTTTCACCCTGGAGCCTTTAAACCCTTCTATAAGAGATTACTAACATGTTGTTAAAGGTTGAATCATGTGTGCTTACATATATATATATCTCACATCACTGTATCACTGTCCTCACGTTGTTCATCGATTTGCTCTAGCGGGCACCAGTAACATCTCACAATAAATTGTGAGACTTGTTGTTACTGTTTTTAGCATATCAAATACATCACGGGTAGCTTGCCAGGCTTTACCGTGCGGGTGAGATACTTTCAGTAGCTTGCCGGGCTCTCTGAGAGGGGTGGAGGAATCGAACCCGGGTCGGTCGCGTGCAAGGCAAATGCTCTACCTGCTGTGCTATCGCTCCCCGTGACATCGGTTGCCTTCTACTTTAAACCCCATCAAATCTGGTGTTACTTTTGGTACATCAGTGGTGTAAAGTATGAGATGTCCACGCGCTCCAGGAATTCTAAAATTTAAAATACAGTTGTACAGGCTAGGACGAGCCTCATGGGTGAGGCTTTGTTCACCCATGAGGCTCGTCCTAGCCTGTAGAGAGCAGCTGTGAGCATGGCGGCATTTGAGTTCTGGAGATTTTCGGCTGTCAGGGCTCTGTTGAGACCAGATGGGGAACTCATCCACCCCCCTCCAGATTGCCCCCGATGAGACAGCCTGGTGCAGGATATGGAAGCATCTCTGCAGCATGTCATTCTATGTTGCTCTCTCCTGAGAGCTTTATTTCTCACCAAAGTGTTTCTTTGGTGGCCAAAGGACTGAGTTTGTGCTTTGCACGCAGAAGACCCAGGCTTTGATCCCCAGCACCATATGGTCCCCTGGAGCACTGCTACAAGTGTCCCCTGCTCACAGAACTAGTAGTAGCTTTCAAGTACCATCACCAGGCGTGGCCCAAGAAACAAAAGAACAAATTTTCTTTTTTGTCTTTTTTTTTTTTTTTTTTTGTCAATGCTCAGGGGTTATTCCTGGCTATGCTCGTGGGACTATATGGGATGCCAGGGATCAAACTTGGGCCAGCTGCATGCAAGGCAAACGCCCTACCCGCTGTACTATTTTATCTTTTTTTTGTTGAAGTCTATTTTATCCTTTTTTGTTGCTGTTGCTTATGCTTTTGGTATCATGCTTAAGAAATCATTACCCAGTCACTGATTACCAAGCAGCCTGTGGTCCCACTCCTTTGTTCATCCATTGCCGTCAGCTGGCTGTGGGGACAGTGCTTGGCCACCAAATGCACCCACACTTTGAACTCACGAGAACAACCCATGTCATAAGGAAGTTTCACACTTTATTTCCTTAATGCTGGTGGGGGAAGAGGATGGGGAGATGATCCTGAATCACAGCTGCCTGTGTGCCAAGTGAGGTTTCTACGGAAGGTTCACCTTTGCTCCAGGTTAACTTGGGGCAGGCTTTCAACACACCTGAGTTGAGATGGGGTCCATGGGGGCAGGTGCACAGCTGTGCCTGGGGAAATAGGAGCTCAGCTTGGGAACTGAGCTGCTGGACTGAAATCGGTCTGAGGCATGACTGCCTTAAAAAAGAAAGAAATAAAAGAAATCATTGCCCAATCTAAAGTCATTAAGATTCTTCTGGGGCTGGAGAAATAGTACAGTGGATAAAGGACTTGCCTTACATGCAGCTGACCCCGGTTTGGTCCCTGGCTTCCCATATAGTCCCCCAAGCACCACCAGGAGTAATTCCTGAGTTCATAGCCAAGAGTAACCCCTGTGTATCGCTAGGTGTGACCCAAAACAAAACCTAACCAAAAAAAAAATTTTTTTTTTTCTAGGCCAAAGAGATAGTACAGTGGGTTAGACACTTGCCTTGTATGCAGTTGATCCAAGTTCAATCCTTGTCACCCCATAAGAGGCTGTCCTCAACCCTGCTGAGCGTGGTCCCTGACAGACCAGGAGTGAGTCCTGTGCAGTCAGATGCGCCCCCAAACCACCACCACCACCACCCCCAAAAATAATTTTTTTTTCCATGTTTCCTCCTAAGTGGTAGTTTTACCACTTACATTAAGTTCTTTGGTCTATTTATTTATGAAAATTATTTGGTTTTGGTTTTTGTCTGTGGTTGGTCTTAGACTCTAGATTTATTCTATGTTTGTTTTTTAAAAAAATAAAAACATTATCCTTTGAGAAGAAAATGAAAGGGGGTCAGAACAATAGTACAGCAGGTAAGGTGCTTCCTTGCATGTGGCTGACGTGGCATTCCATATGATCCTCAGAGTACTCAGGAGTAATTCCTGAGTGAAGAGTTCTGAGCACTACCAGGTGTGGCCCTAAAACCAAAAAGAAAAAATATTTTCCTTCATGTGGATTTTGTCTCTTTGTTAAACAGAATGTTCTTTCACCATTTATTGTTGAAAACCAGTACACCATAGGGGCTGGGGAGAGGTTCTGATGGCAGATACATTCCTTTTGCATGTTTCAGGCACTGACCTTAATCCTTGGTACTGCATGGCCCCAAACACTGCCAGAGTGTTACTCAAATTAAATTAAAGCAGGAGATATTGGGGCCAGAGCCATAGTGAATAAAGCAGGTAGGGCATTTACCTTGTAGCTGACACGGATTGGATCGTTAGCACCCCATATGTTCCTGTGAGCCCTCCTAGAGCAATCCCTGAGCACAGAACCAGGAGTAAGCTCCTGGTGTAGCCAAAAATATTTCAGGAATGTATAGGAGAGATAGTATAGGCGGCAAGGCTTTTGTCTTACAGTGCTGTCTTCATTCGATCCTCAGCACCAGTGGTCCCGTGTGTTGCCAGGTGTCACATCTGAACACAGAGCCAAGAAGAGTACCTCAGGGTGTAGCCCACTCAATCCCAGCACTCACCCCCCAAAAAAAGAAAATCCGTTGTCCTTAGATACATGGGTTAATTTCTGATTCTCTGCATATGTTGTTTTGTTTGCTGGGGGTAGGGAGCACATCCAGCTGTGGTCAGGGCTTGCTTCTGGTTTACACTCAGGAATCACTCTTGGTGGGGCTGGGAGACCATATGTGATGCTGAGGATCAAACCCAGGTAGGCTGAGTGTAAGACAAGTGTTCTACCCACTGTACTACCTCTTAGGCCTTCATATGGTTTTTTTAGGTTTCTGCCACAGCCTTTTGATTATTATAGCAAGTTTTCGTTTTGTGATTCCGGGGATTGAATATAGGACTGACTTCACATGTAAGGCAAGTGATCTACTGCTGAGCTCTATCTTTGGCTTTTAATAAATTTTTGGAATCAGGAAGTATGAATATTTAACTGTTTTTTTTTTTTTATTTTGGGTTCAAACCTGACAATGCTCAGACCTGCCTGGGGGCCCATGTGGTGCTGGAGTCAGACCTAGGCCTCTACATGCAAAGTGTGCAATAAATCTTTTAAGCTTTATTTTTTTTTCCTAAGATTTTTTTGAATATTCAAGAGCCTTTGCAACTCCAGATCAACTTAGATTCTAGTTATCAGGGTCTGAGTTTTTGAGTCTGTTGTACAAATGTAACACTGGCTTTTGTTCTTCTGACTAGCACAGGGTTCTCTAATATTTTTCTTTTGTTTTTGGACCACTCGCGGCAATGTTCAGGGGTTATACCTATGCAGTTTCCTGTGCTCTCAGGCATTACTCCTAGAAGTGCTCAGAGAACCATATGAGATGTCAGAGATCGAACCTGGGTTAGCTGTGTGCAAGGCAAGCACCCTACCCACTGTACTATCTCTCCAGCCCCCAAAACAAGTATTTTTTGGGGGTGACTGAATGGACAAATATATTTTGCTTTTTTGTTGTATCTTACAGGTGAACAACTTTGTGATTTTCGAAGGCTTCTTTGCCCATCAGCATCGTAAGTTTTATCGCCTTTTGTATGTTGGTCACGTAGTTGGGGAGGGGAAGGAAAAAGGTGGCTTCTGGTCCCCACTGGCCCCCTCATTGAGGGGCACCACCGCTTCCTTCCTCACAGGGCCCCCCGCTCCCTCTCTGCGGGCAACTCGACACTCTCGTGCTGCTGAGCCTACACCCGCTGGTAAATGCGACTGACTGGGTGGAATTACTATGCGTAGGTTTAGAATTGTTGTGCTTACTCTGGACACAAGAAAGCACAGTGCAATCTGTAGCTCACCGGGGAGACTTGTAAAGCAGCTCAAACCTCCATCTGTCATTACCCATTTGCTGATGCCCTTATGGGGAGCTCAGTGAATTTTACACCTGTCAATGCTTTAAACTAAACAAGGTCACTTGTAGCCCATTTGTTTTTGTTGGGGGGCAGGAGCCCTGGGTCAAAACCCCGGCCCCTGAATATCTGACATTGACAGATGCTGCCTTCAGCTCCATCCAAGTAGGCGAGAGCCATGTTCCCTTGTAGACTCCTTGGTTCTCTGACAGTAAGGAACTGGCAGGTGCAGTCAGACCTTATAGTTCCTGTCTTAGAACAGTGACGTAAAGATTGTTTAAATATTAGCTTCTAGGGGCTGGAGTGATAGCACAGCGGGTAGGGCATTTGCCTTGCATGCGGCTGACCCGGGTTCAATTCGCAGCATGGTCCTCTAGCACCGCCAGGGGTAATTTCTGAGTGCAGAGTCAGGAGCAACCCCCGTGCACCGCTGGGTGTGACCCAAAAAGCAAAAATCAATAAATAAATATTAGCTTCTAGAAATATTACTCGGAATTTATAACATTTCTAACTGAATAATGAATTTTATTTGGAAAAACTAAACCCATGGGGAGCTACTGCAGTGCTGCCCAAGTTCCGACTCCGTCCATATGCACGCAAACCCTGCCAATATGAGCCCCACTCCTTTCTGCGTTGCTGCCCAGAAATGGTGAGGCACAGCCTATGTGGTTGAGTGCCTGCTTGCACAGAAAGGCCCTTCCCCAGCTACTCAGTGGCGAGTTCTCGCCTCCTCTGTGACCAGAACACAGTGTAAACTCCACCCGGCGGACAGTCCGTTTTCCACCATTCACTTCAACCAGTGTCGGGTGCTGAAAGTTCATATCGTAACTCACGATGAGTCTTCATCTCCTGGCTCCAAGAGGGCAGGAGAGCCAGGAAGGATGTGGTGGTGCTTAGACTTGCAGGGAAGGCATAAAACTTAAGAGGTCCTCTGAGAAGTCCCCCACTGACACATAGATGGAAAAACCTCTTAAGGGAAGGAGCGGAAGCAGGTAGAGGAGCAGACGAGAGATGAGCTTGGAGAGTCTTTTGTTCTGGTGGAGGGGGCTGGGGGCTTGGGTCACACTGGAGAGTGCTCACGGGCCACTCCTGGCTCTGTGGAGCTCGGGCAGTCTTTAACTTCCTACTTATTCATACCTCCTTTACAGATCTGTTTTTCTCCTCACCCTTTCCCCCCTCTAATGAAATCTTTGCACTGGGAGAGGTTCACCTGAATCAGTCCTCCATCTCTCCAAAGCAGCTCCTGATTAACCAAGGGCTCTGTCCATCTCCTCTAGAAGGACCTGGGGTCCTCCTTGGCCCAGCTGGGACCATTCTCCTGCCCCAGAATCCCAGGGGGGCCCGACAGCGCCCGCTCACAGTAAGAGCTCACCTCCCTTGGCTGCCTCTACACCCCCCAGGCCCTAGAGTCTCCCCTCGAGCTACCCTCCTCCCTACTGTCCCCAAGTCTGCATTCAGCCTGCTCCTCCTGGTTCTCCACAAAAGTGCTCCTGAATTCCTTTTGGTGTGATGGCATTACCTCAGCTGCTTCTACGATGGAGCTCAACTCTCCTTCCCCAAGACGAACTGTGATGTCAGGTCATGGGGAGGGACGATTTAGAGGAGGGGGTACACAGTGTGTTTCCTAACACTTACTGGCCTGTGTCCTTTCCATCACCAGCTCCAGCAAGGAAGCTGCCACCCAAGAGAGCAGAGGGAGACATTAAACCCTACTCCTCTAGTGACCGAGAATGTAAGCGGGCTGGGGCAGGGTATCCTGGCGAGGGGAGACTTTGACTAAGGGGTTGAGGGCTCAGGACTTGTTTTCTATAACGGTTCTAATTTCTTCTACGTGAATGGTTGCTGTCATGACTCTCCCTCTTTTTGCTTCTTTCTCTGTCTGGCATTTCGTTGTCTCTCCCTAGTCCTGAAGGTAGCTGTGGAGCCTCCCTGGCCCCTGAACAGGGCGCCTCGCCGTGCCACACCTCCAACCCACCCACCTCCCCGCTCCAGCAGCCTGGGGAACTCACCCGAACGGGGTCCCCTCCGTCCCTTTGTGCCCGAGCAGGAGCTGCTGCGTTCCCTGCGCCTCTGCCCCCCCCACCCCACTGCCCGCCTTCTGCTGGCCGCCGACCCTGGAGGCAGCCCTGCCCAGCGTCGCCGCACCAGGTAATAGTTGTTGGTGGGCTGGGAAGCCTAGAGATGTCGGGATGTTAGAAATGGCAGTGACCACTGGAATCCTTCAGAGATGTCAAACAGTAGGCCAGGAGGATTGAAGAGTCCTAAGACCTTTCGAGAATTTATGTTCGGAAATACCTGTGGTGGTGATCTGGAAATAAGGGAGTGAAGGGAGCATGATAGGACTTTCTTGTGCATTAGGAGGAAGGTAGGCAGAGCCTGGGTCCTGGGGGTTCGGGGCAGTGGGTGGAAGGGAGGGCATGGGCTGAGACTCCAAGATTAGGGAGATCTTGGTTTTAGGTGTTTTGAGATGGTTTGGGGGGAAGGGGGTTGGCCCACACCCAGCAGTGCTCAGGGACTATTTATCCCTGTGCTCTCTCTAGCCTGAGGTTTTAATACTTGCTGTATTAAATACTTGCTGTATAATAGAACAGTGTGTCTGAAGGTTTCAGGGGCTACTGGCTTTAGGTCAGTGCCTCGTATGGCAGGAACCCATTCACAAGGAAGAGTGGGTATCTCCTTTATTTCTCCCCCAGCTGTCTCTTTACCTGACTTCTCTTGTTTTTCTCTCTCTCTCTCTCCCATTTTCCCTCACCCTTTCCTCTGCCCAAAACATCCTTTCATAGCTCCCTTCCCCGCTCTGATGAGAGTCGTTACTGATAGTCACGCCATCCAGAACCCCAGAACCCCTCTTCCATTACATCCCCAAGGATCCACTGGAACCTGAAAGAGCTCTATGATTCCCTCTTCCTTTTTCTTAGAAAACTGAGCTATCTGGGGTTCAGATAACCTCGTACTTTTCCACTTTCTTAAAATAGGAAGCACCCCTTCCCTCCTACTCTGGGCTCTGAATGTTTTCACTCAGCCCAGTTTGCTATCAGACCCCTTGTCTAAGCCACTGATACAAACTATCCAGAGAAGCACACTCTTGCTTGCTGTCAGACCCTAGAATCCCACGAAATTTCCAGGGGCCTCTTCTACCAGGTAAACCTTCAAGGAGTTTTGTCCATGGAATAAACCCCATCACCCCTCTACAGTCTACTTAGGATAGCACTAATAAATGCTTTCGTGCTGCCTCCTCTACTTAGAGGCCTTCAGCCCGCTGAGGCCAGCCCAGGGGCTCTGCTTCAGAACAGTCCAGGTGCCTAGGACTAGGGTGTACCAGCTCCCTAAAGGGATCCATTTAACATTGCCAAACTCTTGATTTCAACACATTTAGTGTATTTATGAGCCAGGGAAGCCCCAGCTGACTAGCCACCCTTCTACAGATATCCCCATTCTTCCCAGAGTCTGTGAGGGACTTTGTTTCCAGGCAGTAGATCCCAGCAAATACCCTGGGATCACGCTTAGCCATGAGTTAGAAGATAATCCTGAGTCTCAAGACCTACCAGCTCCTGCCACATCCATCCCTCCTGTAGCTATAGCTACTGACATGTTCCCGTCTTGTGAGATTGTCTTGAGATAATGGGGAAATCCTTCCTTTGCCTTCCTTCCTTCTTACTCCATAGCAAGAACCTTCCTCCCTGCCCTCTGAATGTATGGTAGATCAGTATCCCCCCCAGTGCGTTCCCCCAAAATCCTTGGGAGCAGGATCTCCCTCTCTCCTGACATTCCATTTTTGTTTCCCGTTAATGTTGTCTGAATAAAGTGTGAATTCTTTTGTTTTTTAAATGGACATTTTCAATGAAAAAAAAAAACACAGACAAAAAAAGTCTCCGCCTCATTTGTGCGTCACCCTTGATTTTCCTGGGATCTCAGAAATCTGTCCCATCCATTTTCCTCACCTCTGAGATCTGCATCTGCAGGTCTTTCAGGCAAGAGTTCTGAGCATCCCTGCTTTCTGCCCATTCCCATCTTGATTACTGGATGCTCACCCGTGGGATACTTTTACTCATGTCATCACTGGATCCCTCCATGTTGGTTTCTCTGCCTGCTCCCTTATTCCCTCTAGAAAATTCCCAGCTCTCCCCAGTTAATTTTACCCTTTACCTCGGGCCAGGACATCCAGAATATATCTTTTGGTTGGTTTTTTTTTTTTTTGCCTTTTACTTTTTTTGACACACCCTGGTGGTGTTTAGGTCTTATTTTCCAGCTCTACACTTAGGAATCACTCCCGGTGGGCTCAGGGAACCTTCTGGGATGGTCCATATGAGATGGACCATGATAGGATGGACCACCACAGATTGGCCTCATGTAAGGCAACCGCCCTACTCACTGTACCATCGCTCCGGCCCCAGGCCAGAAAATTTCTTACAGAAATGTCAAAATATACCAGTATCTTTGAGATCCACTAACTGCCTCCCTATAACATCCCCTAATTGTTCCCTGGATCTCCCCCATTCCACCTGTGAACATTTCTCAAGATAATCATTTGTGCCCATTAAGAAACCAACATCTCACTTCTCCAAATGCTCCTTTCCATTTTCTCCTAAATTCAACCTTGTCTCTGCTATCTCGCATGGCTGAGGTGCCCTATAATTTAGGTCATTAGTTTTTCTACACCAAACATCAGGGTGCCTGATCCAACAAATTCCTTTTTGGCTTGGTGGAGAGCCTGTTCTTCTGATGTGACTTGGATCCTATTTTACTGTATTTTTAACACATGAACTCAGCCAGAATAACAAGGCAACAAATCACGACAGGTCCAAATCAATCTTGGGGAATAAAATAAGTTCCCTCCCTTTTGCTTGGGCACAGTTTAGATCAAAATCCACAGGAATGATAATCACCCTTTCCTCTTTGTTCTTGTACTGTTCCTTTTATTCCTCTGCTCCCATTCTTCCATTACCCACTCATCTTTCCTCCTGTATCATCTTCCCCATCATCTCCCATTTCTTCTACAGGGGGACTCCCCCAGGGCTGGTAGCCCAAAGTTGCTGCTACAGCCGCCACGGGGGTGTGAATTCCTCATCCCTCAGTACAGGTAAGTACTCTCTCCTCTTTGCACTCAAAACCAAGTAGTAGGTCGAATTCACTACCTACGATTCATTGTCAGTGTGTGCAGCTTTCCTATGCACATGCCTGGTATTTTCACAGGCAACCAAGAATCAAAGCAGGGGGATCAGGAAACAGAGACTAGGTGAGGTCCTGGCCCTTCCCCTACCAGCTTCCCTGCACCTAACCTTCTTTCCCATCACTCACAGCTCTCTCACCTGATAAGTCTTATTGTCTGGACTGGACACCAGCTCCTTGCATAACCTAACATCCCACCTAACATCCTACCACCCTCTTTCCCCCTAGGTTCAGTTCCTTTGGCGCACTCGGATGGGTTTCGAATGTGGGCTTAGCATCAGTGTTTCCCTGTATCACCGTCAACCTAAAACCCAAGTCTGAGGAGTCTGTGATCTTGAGTTCCACGTAATTATTCCTATCCCTCATTCTCCGTCTCCCTCCCACAACCAGGCCAGCCCATGAGGATCAGAGCTTGTCACAGGATGGACCGAGCGAGGAGGACTCTTCACACACGGCCCCTCCACAGGCCCAGACGCCTGCTGCCCAGGCCTGGACAATGGGGAACATGTTCAACGCCAGGTTCATTCGAAACTTGCAGGAACGTCATGGCACCAGACCTTGGTGACCACGGTCCTCTCGTAACGTCAAAGTCAGTATTATTTTTCTCTCATTGTAGGAAATGCGCAACTCACCCCCAAAATGACATTCTCATTCATTCCTTCATTCAACAGGCAGCATATCAGTGCCAAGATCACGTGTATCTTATTTTTAACAGCAATAAAACACTTCTTTTCATCCCTCCGGTAAATGCTGGCTCCTTTCAGCCCCTTCCCCCTCGCTCGACGCACCCGACGGCGCCCGCTCCCTCGCGCCAGCGCCGCGGGGCGGGGAGGGGACCGAGGCTCGGGCCGCTAGCTTCCGGCGCAAGCGCGCTGAGGCCGCGAGTGGGCGAGCGCGCGCGCAGGCGCCTGGGGCCGCGGACGGAGCGCCTCGGCGGCTCCCCGCAGTCCGCAGTGCGCAGGCGCCGCCCATCTCCGTTTCCCTCCCCTCCAACCCTTCTCCCCCCTTTCCCCTTTCAAGAAACCGGCTCCGGGGCGCGCTCACCCCTGGGAGGAGGCCGCGGGCCGGACTCGCGAGGCGCGCGCGCTCCCCCGCCCGGAAGATCATGTACCGGCCCGGCCGGGGGGCGGCCCGGCGCCTGGGCCCCTGCCTCCGCGCCTACCAGGCCCGGCCCCAGGTAGCGCGGCGCGGCGCGGTGCGGCGAGGCGGGAGGAGGGGGCGGGGAGGGACCCTCCTCAGCGGCGCGCGGGGGGCGGAGCGCGCCGGGTCCGCGCAGGCGCGGTGCCGCCGGCCGCCCCTTCCCACCTCGGCGGGGCGGCGCGTAGCGGGCCTGGGGGGCGCGGGCGGCGTGGCGGGTCCTGCCTCCTGCCTCCGCGTGCGCGGTGTCGGGTGTCGCGGGGCCGGGCTGGCCGGGCCAGGGGGAAATGCGGGCCGCGGGACGGGGCTGCGCGTCCCGCCCGGCTCGGCGGTTACCTGTGCCTGGAGGTGATTTGAAGGGCAGGAAGCGGGGAGGCTCGCCACGGCCGCGGCGCCGCCCCGGCCTGCCCCGGTGCTGACCCGACAGACAGCCCGGGGTGAGCCCTGCGGCGCGTGCGGGTGGCACCCGGAGAGCGGCCCCGGGCAGGAAGTGGGGGCTCGGGTGGACCCGCACCCCGAGCTGGCGGGATGGCCACGCCCCCGCCGCAGCGGGCGCCGGGGACACCGTCGGGGACCGGCCCCGCGCGCCCCGCCGCCGGCCCGGGCCGAGAGCCCCTCCTCGGAGCCCCGCGGGAGCCGGGCAGGCTTGACCTGGGGTAACCCCCACCCCTCCGACACGGCACCGTCGGTTAGCCAGGGAGGGCGAAGTCCTGCCGTTAGCCTGGGTTCTTGTCGTTAGAAGGGCCCGAGATGATGATAGCTTAACTTGCTGCTCTGCCGGTCCCTAGATTACGGGGTTTAATTGCCCCTATTATCTCACTAAGCCCTTGTAGTAATAAACGGTATGGCTTCAACGTCCTCATTTATAGGCCATTTATTGAAAGGCCCAGGGCATGCAGTGCCTAAGGTTACGTGATAGAATTAAACTCGGATGGCACATCTCTGCATGCTTGGATGTCCTTGACTTTGGAGGCTCTGTACAACTTCTGCCTCCGCGTTGTAGAATAAACTACATCTTTGCATGCACCTGACTATACAAACTGTTACTCATTTAAGTACTTAATCTTGCTCTGAGAGGGAAATCTGCCTTCTGGATGTAAGGGGCTTTATTACTATTTGGGAAAGGATTTTTTTACTTGTGAAACAGGAAAACTATTTCCTCCTGTTTTCAATAGCGAAATCTATCCTTTTTTTTTTCCAATAATCTCTCACCCCATCTCCTGTCAGGAAGAGCAGTTGGATTGGAAATTTGTTAATAAAGTGTGGATGAGAGGATCCTTAGGCAGCCCAATTCTTAGCCTTTTCTCTTTCCTTTCTCTTCAGGATCAGCTTTCTCCAAGGGTTCTGCCATTCCCACCTCTTTGGCCCCTCAGCACGACAACCACATCTCCATCTTCTCCTCCTCTCCGGTCTCCCTCAGCTCCGCACTGGCCCACCCTGCTTCCCCGAGCTCCCCACCAGCCTCTCCCCCAGGTCCAGGCCCTCAACTCACCATGGGTGGTTGTTCCCCCAGGAAAGAGGGAGGAAGGGCCAGGACCCGAAATGCATCGTGGCTGCCTTGAGGGGCTTAGGAGCCTATTTGAGGGACCTCCCTATCCCTCTCCTGGGGCTCTGATACCTTTCCAAGCCCCTGGGACCACCTGCCCTTCCCCTGCCACTCCATCAGGAGACCCGAGTATGGAGGAGCACCTGGCTGTCATGTATGAGAGACTAAGACAAGAGGTATGTCAGTTGTGAGTGACTTTGTTGCTGTGGAAGGGGCTTCGGTAATATTTGAAACAGTTAACTGAATTTTCTCTTGAAATCCTGAGGTGGGCAGAAACCATATAAACATTCCTCATGAAATGATGCTCCTCAGGGGTTGGTAGGGCATTTATTTGCCTTGCACATCGCCAACCCAGGTTCAATCCCCAGCACCCCATATATTCCCATAAGCCCACCAGGAATGATCCCTGTGCACATAGCCGGCAGTAAAATGCTTAACAAGTGTGACCCAAAAACAGCAAAACAAAAGATGCTCTTCAGCTTGAGTTAAGTGTTAAACATGGATTGAGATGATCTTTAATGAGGGAAATATGAGGCACTGAAAAAATCGAACTAAAAAAAGATGGGGTAATTCCTTTCCCTCTGACTTGACACTTTCTTCTTCTACCTAGCTTCCCAATCTCTTCCTTCACTCCCATGACTACACTCTCTACTCATCGGACGTGGAATTCATCAATGAAATCCTGAGCATGCGTACCAAGTGAGAATCCAGATGTGGGTAGGGTTTTGGGAGGAAAAGGACAAGTGCTACACACCTGATCCTTTTCATTTACCAGATAAAATCCTAGGCAGCTTCTTCTAACACTTTCCATTCTTCAGGCCATGTGGTTTTTGGATTCCACCCCAAGATTTCTTTCCCACCCCTTCTTCTCAGGGGCCGGACGTGGTACATTTTGTCACTGACACTATGCCGCTTCCTAGCCTGGAACTATTTTGCACAACTTCGGTTGGAGATTCTACAACTCACCCGCCACCCTGAGAATTGGACCCTACAAGCTCGCTGGAGGCTTGTGGGGCTGCCAATTCACATGCTCTTTCTACGCTTTTACAAGCGTGACAAGGAGGACCTTTATAGGTAAGAGAAAAGAGAGAATTTACAAGACAATTTCCTAATCTTTCAGGAGTTGACTATCTAATCTAGATAATTCTTGTTTTATTCTGCTTTAACTGCAGGCTCTTTTAGGGTGGTGTCTTATTCTAGTCTACTTAATTTTTTTGTTTTGTTTTTGGGTCACACCTCTCGATGCTTAGGGTTTACTTCTGGCTATGTGCTCAGGAATTACTCTCGGGGTGCTCAGGTGACCATTTGGGATGCTGAGGATGGAACCCGGGTCAGCTACCCTCACTACGGCTCTGGCCTCAATTTTGGTCTACTTGAATGTAATAGGAATTTGACTATTTTAAGAAGCCTCTGAACTGTGTTTTTTGTTGTTGTGGTGTATTACTTGGTATTTGTAGGTAGTCAAATGCCTACTGAGCAAATGAAAATTCTACCTAGTTTTATAAGATTGAGCTTCAAAACCTTAAAGGGCCTAGGGGTCAGAGATAGTATTGAAGGTAGGACGTTCCCAGAATCCCACATGGTCCCCCAAGCACCACTGAGAACAATTCCTTAGTGCAGAGCCAGAAGAAACCCCAGAGCAGAGCTATGTGGAGCACCAAAACAAAACAAAAAACTCGAAAGGATCTGGTAAATTGGCTTTTTGGTGAGACTCTCACACTGCACCCCCCTTCCCCCCCCCCCCCCCCAGCCCCCAGACTGCTCAGGACTTTACTCCTGGCTGTGCGCTTAGGAATCATTTCTGGTGGAGCTGGGCAGGCCTTATGAGGAGTCAGTGATCAAACTTGAGTCCGCTACATGCAAGTAAAGTTTCCTACCCATTGTACAATCACTCTGGCCTCAGATCTGGTAAATTTCTGAGTAGAAATAAATTGTTGGGGACTGGAGCGATAGCACAGCCAGTAGGGCATTCGCGATTTGCCTTGCACGCAGTAGACCTGGGTTGAGTTCCAGCATCCCATATGGTCCCCTGAGTACTGCCTGGGGTAATTCCTGAGCAGAGAGCCTGGAGTAAACCCCTGTGCATCGCCATAAAGAAAAAAAAAAATTGTTGAACTAGTAGTTCCCAAACTGTTGCATCAAAGAATCTTTTGTAAATGTTGTGGGGGCTGAAGAGATTGTATAGCACTTGATACTCAGTTCCATCCTTAGCACCACGTGTGGTCCCCCAAGCCTGGCTAGGCGCGACAAGCCAGGAATAAAACCCGAGCACAGCTTTGTGTGGCTCCTAAACCAAAAATAAATGTTGGTGCCAGATACTGTTCTCATCAGGAGAGGTGATAAAGTGGGCATCAGAATTCTTCAGTTTTATCAGCTGATGTGTACCAAAGTTTGGGACAACTACTTAAAACAGATGCTTTGATTAACTTGGAGGCTGTCGTCTTCTCCCTCATTCAAACTATTATTCTCCTTTCACCAGGACCTATGATGCCTATTCCACATTCTACCTGAATTCCGAAGGTCTCATTTGTCGCCATCACCTAGACAAAGTGAGTCCTGAGGCTGGGTGGGATGAAAAGCTTAAACATCTTGACACCTGGCATTGACCTTTCTCCCTGCAGCTGATGCCTTCACATTCACCCCCAACGCCTGTGAAGAAGCTGCTAGTGGGAGCCCTGGTAACACTGGGGCTGTCAGAGCCAGAACCCAACTTACATTTGTGTCGTGAGGCCTGACTCAGGATCTGGGGTGGAGACAGCACTTAAGACTTTCTACGCACATGGGGAGGAGGTAGAGCAGCCAAGAGTCTCAGAAGCCAACTTCTTCCCCTTCTCTCTTGTTTGGTCCCTTCCATCTCATGCTTGTTACTGTAAAGCTGCTGTGTAATTTAACTTGTAAATAATAAAGTTTATGTAAGACCAGATTTCCATGTCACTTTCTCTGGGCCTCAAAAGTCCTCACAAGGGACTGGAGCAGTAGCACAGCGGGTAGGGCGTTTGCCTTGCAAGTGGCCGACCCAGGTTCAATTCCCAGCATCCTATATGGAGCACCGCCAGGGTTAATTTCTGAGTACAGAGCCAGGAGTAACCCCTGTGCATCACTGGGTGTGACCCAAAAAGCAAAAAAAAAAGTCCTCACAAGCTTTATTCCATAAATACTTTTATTAAAAGATATTAATGTACAGAAGGAAAGGAGCTGATGTCAGGCTGTTTAGAGCCTTTTCTCTTTATCCTAGCTCTTCTCGTGTCTTGCCTACTTTTTTGGGCATCTTCTTAGCATGGGGATCTTCTAGTTCCTTGGCCTTGTAATAGTGGGGAGCAACCTCCAGAAGCCAACTGCTCTCAATCTCCAGTACCTAGAAGAGGAAAGATTCAGTAGTCCTTCCTTCTTACCTAAATTCTAATGTGTGTGTGAGATCAGAAAAGCTTTATGGCTGGAGACAGAGTACAGTGGTAAGGTTCCTTCCACTTGGTTCAACCCAGTACCCCATATCATCCCCCAACGACACCCAGTATGATCCCTGACCATCACTGGGTGTGGCACAAAAAAACAAAAAGGGTTCCTAGGGGTTAGACATAAAACTGGTAGCTAAGTACTTGCCTTGCAAATCTCTGGCCCTAGTTTTGATCCCTGGCATACACCTTTCCCTACCCACCACAAAGGTTCTCTTTTCCCCCTTTTCTTCAGAAAAGGAGGGTGAAGGGGAAAGCTAGGCTTTAATACACCCTAGCAGACATAATTCTTTATACCCAGAATCTCAAACAGGCTCTCTCTAAAGTACACTCCAGACAGCACATCTGCTGTTTGTTATCAGGGCCCCATTCTCAGAAACTTGAACACAATAGGCATCCAAGCACTGAACTAGGGAAGTACAAGGAACGGAAGTGATAGTACACTTGCCTTGCACACGGACAGCCCATGTTTAATCCCTTGCAATCCAGTGGTCCTCTGAGCACCACTAGGAGTAATTTCTGAGTGCAGTACCAGGAGTGAGCCCTGACTGCTATGGGTGTGGCCCAACTTCCCCCACCTTGTCAAAAAAAAATAGTCCCAGTGGTGTGAAGTCCTGGGTCTGATCCCCAGTACCATACACACGAATTCCATAGATCAAATATTGAGTATTACAATTTATGTCTTTTGGACCTTTTTGGTTTTTGGGTTTGGAGCCATACCTGGCAGTGCTTGGGCTGACTTCTGGCTCTGTGGTCAGGGGACCACTTTTTTTTTTTTCTTTTTGGGTTATTCCTGGCTCTGCACTCAGAAATTACTTCTCGTAATGCTCGGGCGACCATATGGGATGCCAGAGATCAAACTCGGGTCAGAGAAGTGAAAGGCGAATGCCCTACTTGCTGTACTTATTGTTCTGGCCCATCGGAATCACTTCTGGCTTTGGAGAACCATATGGGGTACCAGGGATCAAACTTGGAACAGCCACAAGGCAAGCATCCTATTTTGCTATACTTTCTCTCCTGCCCCAGTTACAGGTTTTGGATCTTAATAGTTGCTAAGATAGCTGTCAGGAGAGATGTCTAGCTTACCCTATTCTTAAGCGTAGATGTTTTCTTGAGTACTGATTTTATTTTAAGGGGACAACTTGCAGTATTCAGGGATGTGGTAGTGTGGAGTGAACCCAGGGTTCCTGCATATAAAGCCTTTGAGCCATTTCCCCAGCCCATGAACCTACAAGGTTTGGTTTGGTTTGGTTTGGTTTTTCTGGTTTTCGAGCCACACCTGGCTATGCTCAGGGCTTACTCCTAGCGCTGTGTTTAGGAGTCACTCGTGACAGGGCTCAGAGGACCATACGGGAGGTCAGAGATGGAACCTGGGTCAGCAACATGGAAGACAAATATCCTACTCGCTGTACTACTCTCCAGCCTAGGTTATTAGGCAACCAGAACACCACCTCCAGTGCAACCTCTAGCTCCCGGGCAAGGGATGGGCCCCTCACCTGTCTCATGAACTCCTTGGTAGTCAAGACGAGCTCATGGTAGAGCAGCCAACGTGGCTGTTCCTCGAAGAGAGACGAGTTGGGATGAATGAACACTGTCTGGTGCTGTTTCACAGTGCGATAGCCACTGCGAGTTAGCCTTGCTGTGTGGTAAAAGTAACCAGCAGTGATGGCCTAAAGAGCAGACAGGAAAGAAAGTCAGTGGGAAGGCCAGACATCCAGGAAGCCCTTGGCATTTGCTGCTTTCCTCATTCGGGCTTTATGAAAAGCACAAAGGTAAGGATGAAGTCCATGAGAGGCCTACCGAGAAGGAAATGCAGGGATACAGGCAGACTCACAGGGAAGGCACTCCTAGCACCAGGGGGAAAGGACTGATACTAACAAGACGGAGAGCCACAGGCCCTCGGAGAAGTTTACTCCCTGGGAAATACCGGGTAGATGGCAAGCAGAAAAATGCTGACCTTGCGTACACGGATGTAGTCCCCCTGGCAGGAGCTGAGACCAACTTCCACACGTTCCAAGAGTCCCTCCAGCTGCTCCCGCACATCCCGGGCTCTGCGCATTGATCTGAACTGTACAAAGTTCTCATAGCACCACTGAGAAGAGTAACCACTTTCAGCCCACTGAAACAGCATTAAAAAGAAGGGGTAAATAAACAGCAAGGTGGAAGGGGTCCATGTCGCCCGCATTTTCATTCCCCCAAGCCCAGTGACCTGTGTATAGACATTTAGGAGAACCAGGTGGTCCCCACCCGGGAGGAAAAAATTGACACGGGCATTGTCTGCATGGACCACTTTGTCCTTGGGTCTGTAGAAGATCGAGTTGTTGACAGAGAGCATGGCAGCCACCGTGAGGATCTCTTCTGAACAGCTATACCTGCAGCGGGAGAGGAAAAGCATGCTGGTTAAAAGTAAGATACCTGGCGCTGGAGCAATAGCACAGCGGGTAGGGCGTTTGCCTTGCCACATATAGTCCCCGGAGCACCACCAGAGGTAATTCCTGAGTACAGAGCCAGGAGTAACCCCTGTGCATCACCGGGTGTGACCCAAAAAGCAAGGGGGGAAAAAAAAGCAAGATACTTAAGCATCCTGGGGGAAAGTGATCACTGTGTGATGCATATTTTCACATTGGGATGGCTGGTCAGGATGGTGACTACAGAGTACTCAGATTCTGGTATCAAGAGAATACAGAATGCCAGGGACTGAACCCGGGTTGGTCACAAGCAAAGCAAGCACCCTACCTGCTGTACTCTCTCAGCCCCAGGATGTCTGTTTCATGCTTTGTCCCCTAGAGTTGAATAAACTTGGTGCACAGCCACCCATCGCAACATGCAAGCCTACAGTCTCTGTCTGTAACAGTCCATGTTCAGGTTACTAAAAAACTGGTAAAAGGCCTCCCAAAGCTGCCAGAGATTAGCAGTTTCAGGCACTAAATCACTACTTGGCCAGCTTTAGCTCTCATGTAGCACCAAGAATAAGGAAAAACACTAACAAATTCAATAGCAAATGGATGAAAACCATGTCCATAAAGTCCTTAACAACAGTAGAAATTTCTTTAATTTTTATGTAGGGGTGGCGGTGATGACGGGTGGAGCCCACCCAGTAATGCTCAGGGTTTTGCTCCTGACTCTGCACTCCAGAATCTCTCAAGGTAGTCTTAGAAAACCATATAGAATGCTGGGAATCAAACCTCAAATGGCTGCATGCAAGGCAAGCACCCTACCCACTGTAGTAAATTGGTTTGTTTTGGGGTTACACCCAGCGATGCTCAGGGGTTATGCTCGGCTCTACACTCATGAATTACTCCTGGAGGTGTTTTCGGGACCATATGGGATCAAATCTGGGTCAAGGCAAATGACCTACCCACTGTACTATGGCTCCAGTCCCTACAACAGAAGATTCTAAACTGCCTGAGGAGGAATTGAAATAAGCAATCCTCTGATACAGCACTTGGCTTGAAAATACAAAGTCACCAGTTCAGTTCCCAGCACAGGGGTTGTGGAATGGGGAAGAGAGAACAATAGCAACAAAAAGCCTCTCCAAAAAAGGGCCAGGGATATAGCTCAGCAGCAGAGCTATACTCAGCAGCTTTGCTTTGCGTGTGTGAGGCTCTGGGCACGATTTCCGACATGGAAAAGTACAGAGCATTAATTCTCTCCATGTTTAGGCTATCTTTGGAGGAGAGAATCATTAAGCTTACAAAAAGCTTGATGAAAACAAAAAACTCATTCAAGCAGAAACAAAGGAATGGAAGAACAGAGCACTCAGCAGAATGGAAAAACCTAAAATTCAACAGGTGACCTCAAAGACAATAAAAAGAGGTAAAGGGGGCCAGCCTTGCGCGTGGGCAGGTTTGATCCCTGGCATCCCATAGGGTCCCCTGAGCATTGCGGGGTGTGGCCCAAAATACCAATAAATAATAATAAAAAGAGGTACAGAGCTGGGAAGAAAGAGCTGGGAGTATACCTTGATACAGTGGAACCCGGTTTGATCTCCAGCACCACATGGTCCCCTGAGCATCATCTGGTACAGTCCTGGAGATAGCTAAGCACAAGGTCCAAGCAATACTGAATCCTCAATCCTCTGCAATGAATTGGTGGCCCAACTGGCCAAGAATCTCCAGGAAGGGCCCCCACTCCCAAAAAGAAGAAGAATTTTTTTCAATGAAGAGAATTTAACAGGGGCCAGAGCTAAAGTACAGTGGGTGGGGTGTTTGCCTTGCACGTGGCTGACCTGGGTTTGATCCCTGGTACCCCATATGGTCCCCTGAGCACTGCCAGATGTGATCCCTGAGCATAGAATCAGATGAGCCCTGAGCATCCCCAGATGTGGTACAAAAACAAACAAAAAACCCTCTTTAACTGTTGCTGGGAAAGTCATCTCTAGAAGTGTGGAGACATCTCAAAAACTAACAATCGTTTGTTTTATATGACCCAGAAATTCTATTACTTGGTATCCATCACAGCACTAATTAATGGGAAAAGATAAATGCACACCTATGTTCACTGCAGCACTGTTTAATATAGCCAAGATTTGGGTTTAGAGAAAGGACAGGGGTTAAAGCACTTGCCTGGAATCCAACCACTCCCCAAGCACTGCCAGGGGTCACTAATCAGCACAGAGCCAAAACAGCTCCTGAACACCGCTGGGTGTGGCCCACCCAAAATAACCAAGGTTTAAGTCATAGAGACAGTTCAACAGACTAAGAACAATTTTGCATATGGGAAGACCTGGGTTCTATCCCCAGAACCCCATGGTCTGCTGAGCATCCATCAAAATAAACTTGATACACCAGAATAAACCCCAGAGCACTGTTGGCTCAAACACCAAAAAAGCAAGAAACATCCAATAATGGGCTGGATAATATAGAAAGGAAGCCATGTGCCTTGCACATGAGCAACCCAGGTTCGATTCCCCAGCATCCCATATGTTCCTCTGAGTACTGCCAGGCATGATTCCTGAGTGCAGAGCTGGTTGTGGCACCTACCCATTCCCCCAAAATAAAATTCAACAACAGATGAGTGGATTAATGTGGTATGGTGTGTGTACACACACATATATAATGGAAGATGAATTATTGCCTTTTGCTACTAGGAGGTTAGAGTTAGAGGGAGACATATTAAGCAAAGTAAATCAGAGGAAAGAGAACAAACACTAGAGGAGTTCATTCTTGTGGAATACAGAATAAACAAAGCAAGGGAATGAATGGGCAGTGTCCAATGATAACAAACCCTTGACCTTTGACTACAGAGCTGAGGTAACAAGCAGTGGCAGGAGAAAGGCTGGGGAGTGCAGGGGCTGGAGCGACAGCACAGCAGGTAGGGCATTTGCCTTGCACGCGGCCAACCCGGGTTCCATTCCCAGCATCCCATATGGTCCCCCAAATACCGCCAGGAGTAATTCCTGAGTGCAGAGCCAGAAGTAATCCCTGTTCTCTGTCAGGAATGACCCAAAAAAGCAAAAAAAAAAAAGGTTGGGGAGTGCAGAAGGATGATATGAACTAAAGTAAAAGGACAATGGTGGAGGATCTTTGGCAGTCTGGTGGTGGTGGTGGTGATGCAGAATTTTGTACACAAAAAACATGAACACTAGAGTAATCACATTACTACAAATACAGTTTGACAAGAAAAGCCATCCCTCTCTCTGCAGCTACATCCAACCTTAGTAAGTCACTGAATCAGTCTCAGCTAATTCATCCCTGGCCCTAGTGTGCTTGTTAACTGTGACTATTGATAACATCATGAAAATTGAACGGTGTCATATCAATACTGTGGCCCAGAACATGGCAGTATGAGTTCTTTGAAATTTTAAGTTTTGGGGCTGGAGCAACAGTAGGGCATTTGCCTTACACACAGCCAACCCAAGTTTGACCCCCATCCCATATGATCCCCTGAGCACTGAGCATTTCCAGGTCTAACCCAAAAAGAAAAAAAAATTAAGCTTTGGGGTGCCAGAGAGGTAGTACAGTAGGTAGGGCATTTGTTTTGCAATCCAGGTTGAATCCCTGGCACGCCATAAGGTACCCGGAGCCCACTGGGAGAGATCTTAAGTGCAGAACCTGGAGCAAGCCCTTGACAGCACCAGGTGTGCACCCACCCCCACCCCAACAACAAAAAAAACACCACCAACTTTTTTTTGGTTTGGGGCCACACCCAGTGGTACTCAGGGCTCCTAGTTCCAAGTACTTTTAGTTCCCTACTCATCCTGGCGAGGCTCAGGGATCATAGTAGGTACCAAGGAGTGAACTGAGTCAGCTGCATGCAAGGGAAGACCTTACCCTCTGTTCTATCTCTCCAACCTCAAAAACACATTCTTGTTACAGAATAGTATGGAAGAGGGTCAGAGATACAGCTGGAAGGTCTGAAAAGACCTTTGCAAGTGGGAGTCACAGTTTCCATCCCTGGCATTTCATTCCCCTAGTATAGCTGAGCACCACTGGTGAGGTCCCTCAAAAAAAAGAGGAAAAAATAGTATGAAGGGGAATTAAGTGAGATAACAAAGATGGACCGTGGGCTGAAGTGACAGTCCAAAAGGTAGGACACTTGCCTTGTACACAGGTGACCAGAATTGGAGCACTGTCAGGAATGATTCCTGACTGAAGAGCCAGGAATAACCCCTGAGTATTGCCAAGTGTGGCCCCAAAACAAACAAAAAAACCAAATACAGACACAGAGATAGGAGGAGAAGAATGGCCAGTTTATACGCTGGAGGCCAGATCAGAATGGGGGACTTACTTCTCAGAGGCCAAGATCATTTTAGACAGCATTGGGTCCACGGGAAGTTCTGCCATCTTTCGACCAGACTAGGGAGAGAAAAGACAAGAGCTGATGCCTACCCTCCTTCAAGTGTCGCTCCATTACCCAAGGGGTCACTTTGAGCCCCTCTGCCCTTCTCCAAGCCCGTCGCCCCGCCTCACCGTGGTAAGCTCCCCGAGGTGGTTGAGGGCTCCCAGAGCATACAGCTGCTCCAGTGCCAGCATCAGAGTCTCATATGGAGGAGGGTCCAGGAAGTCAAAATGCATGAGGTCATGGATCCCTAGAGGAAGATGGAGGGGTTAGGACAGTGGGCAGCCCTTCAGTGGACTAGTGGCACCAGTTCCACTGTCCTCCAGGAGCACTGGGCAACCCAATCACCTAAGCTCTTCAGCAGCAACACAACATTGCCCAGGCTGGTTCTCTGGATCTCGGGCACTGTGGTTTCCTCCAGCTCGTGCTGATATGCCCAGGCGGTATAGAGGCGGAAGCACTTCCCGGCTGCCACCCGGCCTGCCCGACCCGCTCGCTGATTGGCTGAGGCCTGGAAAGAAAGGAGAGGCAGGCTGGCTGACAAGTGGGAAGGAACAGAGTGCATCGGGAAGCCACCCGAGAAGACCCCCGCTGCTTACACCCTGCGCTCGCTCGGAGAAGCCCCACAGGCCTGAGTGAAACCTTCAGGCAAGCTCCCGCAAGCCCCTCCAGGAGACTCAGCTGCAGCACAGGCCCACCTTGCTACAGGGCGTGACCGTGAGTGACTCCATGCCTGTGCGGGGGTTGTAGCTCTTTTGCTTACAGAACCCTGGATCCAGCACGTAAATGATGCCCTCGATCGTCAGTGATGTCTCTGCGATGTTCGTCGCCACAACCACCTGAGTGAGATGAATATGGGGTCACCCAGTACCCTAACCCATCTACTCAGAAATTATAATCCTGAAAATAAAAAGAAATTCTAGTTCTGAAAGCATTAGAGTCAAACAGCAAACAGGCACACAGTAGAAGCCGAGTTGCTAAAGTGAACAGAAGGGTGAGGGGAAGTGAATTTTTTCTTTTTCTTTTTGCTTCTTGGGTCACACCCACTGATGCACAGGGGTTACTCCTGGCAGCACTCCGGGGACCATATGGGATGCTGGGAATCGAACTCAGGTCAGCCACGTGCAAGGCAAATGCCCTATCCACTGTGCTACTGCTCCAGCCCCCCTATTTTAAACTGTTTAAACTATTTGATGTTTTATTTCAGGTACTGTGATCTACGATATCAATAATGGCAGGTTTCATGCAAAAATCATTCCAACACCACACCTTCCACTACCGTGACAGATTCCCTCCACCATGTCCCTGTGTCCCCCTACTACCCTCCCGGTCCTATCCCCCTACAGTGATGTGCTTCCTATTAAAGATCAGGTCTCAGTCCTTAGTAGGAAGTTTGTCACTGTGACAGAAGGTATAGGCCAGGGAACAGGGAAAGGATAACAACAACGATAGAGGGAAGTGGATAAAGACTGGGAGCTGAAAGGAGGTAAGGCATATAACTATGCAAGATGCCGTATGTAATAGTACTGGGGGCTGGAGACATAGTAGAGCACGTAAGGTATTTGCCTTGCATGCACCTAACCCAAGTTCGATACCCGGCACCCTATATGGTCTCCCAAGCGCTGACAGGTGTAATTCCTGAGTGCACCAAGAGGAACCCCTGAGGATCACTGGATGTGACACAAAGATTGAAATAAAATAAGCTGCAGTGCCTAAAAGGTGGGGAGGGGGCAGAAAATAGAAAAAAAAAAAGTGCCTGACACGGGGCAGGAGGAAACTAGGGACACCTGCAGAGGGAACTGGACACTGGTGAAGAGACTAATGTTGAAATACAGTAGCCTGAAACTCAACCAGGAATAACTCTGTAACCTTGTAAGATTTGTTCAGTTTTATTTTAGCTCTGGTTTCTGGGCCTCACCCACTGATGCTCAACTCAGGTGTGATTCTATAAAAATAAAGACCAGCTTTCAAATCTGGAGAGATAGTAGAGTGGGAAGGATATTTGCTGTGCATGTGGTTGGCCTGAGATCCATTCCAGCACCCCATATGGTCCCCCAAGCCTACCAAGAGTGATCCTTTGAGCACAGAGCCAGGAGTACACCCTAAGCATCAGGTATGGCCCAAAGATCACAACAGTAAAGGCCAGTTCTCAGTTTTTGTTAACTTTGAATATTTGTTGTTTCTATACTATCATACTTTATATCCACACCAGGGAAATCATTCTATCATTCTGTATCTGTCCCTCTCCTGACTAGCTTCAGTCAGATCTATCAACATCGTCACAAATTATAGGATTGTCTTTTCTTTCTTTCCTTTTTGTATTTTTGGGCCACACTTGGACACCAGCAATGCTCAGGGCTTACTTCTGGTTCGGCACACAGGAATGACTCCTGGCAGTGCTCAAGGGTCCATATGGAATGCCGGGTATCGAACCCAGGTCAGCAGCATGCAAGGCAAACACCCTACCCTCTGTACGATCTCTCTGACCCTGATTTCATCTTTTTTTCGCTGAGTAAAGAAGAGGATTTAGAGGTTTACGGAGATGGAGACGCCCAGTCCCTGCCTGTCTTCCCACCTACACTTCCATCTTCACTTTCCCACTTTACTTCCTGTAATAGCTTCCCGAAGGGTTTCCCTACTGCTCCTACTCCAACCCGAGTTACATGGCATCCAGAATGATCCTTTTATTTTTTTTGCGGGGGGGGAGGGGAGTTGAAACATACTTGACCAGGGCTTATTCCTGGCTTTGCACTAAAGGATCATTCTGGCTGTGCTCTGGGTATCAGATGGGACGCCAGGGTTTGAACCCAGGTCGGCTGCATATAAGGCAAATGCCCTACTCTCTTACTATCGGTAAAACTGGGGGCTTGCCCTGCAAGTAGCCAGCCTGGGTTCAAGCCCTGGAACCCCATCTAGTCCCCCCACCAGCACTGCCAGAAGTGACCCCTCAGCACAACTAGGCATAGTCCCCAAATCAAATAAATAATAAAAAGACAAACCATCCCATCCCTCATCCATCCTTCAATGGCTTCCCACCCTACAGGATAATTCTATCGAAGACCTCAGAGCCCTGAATCCTCCATCCCCAGTTGCCCCCTGGCTCCTAAGTGTATCTGCCTTGCTGGCCGCCATCCACTAGCCAGTGCCCACACCATACCCAGGGCCCTGTAAAAGCTGTCCCCTCAGCTTGGTGGCTCACTCTTCTTCAGGCTACAATCTCGGTTCCCCCTCCACCTCATTCAGGCTTCACTGTCTCTTATCAGAAAGGGAGAAGCCCTCCCTGCCCCCACAAGGAAAATCTGTCTTTTTTTTTTTTTTTCATTTTTTTCTTTAGTTTTTGCATCATCCCTGGTGATGCTCAGGGGTTATTCCTGGCTGTACACTCAGAAATCATGCCTGGAAGTGTCCAGGGGACTATATAGGATGACAAGAATCAAACCTGGTCAGCCAAGTGCAAGGCAAATGTCCTACCCACTTCATTATTTCTCCAGGTCCGCTTCTTGCCAGTTTTTACCCCAAGAAGAGTCCACCTCCTTCTTCCTATGTATGCTGCACTGTATCTACTCAGAGCATCTGTATGTTCATGGTCTAACATCCTATAAGCTCTTTGAGTTGAGGGACTTCAGACTGTTCCGCACTATATTCTTATCCCCCAGAACACTGGCATGTGGGAGGAATTAGTTAAATACCGGTTGAATGAAAAGTTTCATCTTGATAAAAATCTTTCGACTGCTACTCAATCGTCTTAAGTCCAAATTCTCCTATCTGCCATCAAAAGCCCTCCCTGGCGCCAGCTTGGAGATAGCTCAAACGGCTGAGCACACGCTTCCCACTTGGGAGCACCAGACTTAACCCCTGACAGACAGAAGCAAGCCCTGTGCACCAAGCTGGGAGCGGTCCCTGAGAACGGGCAGGTATAATCCCCCAAACTCTACCTGCTTATCCTGAGCACCATCAGGCTGGCCTGAGCAACAACACAGCATCAGGCCCGAGTACTAAACACTGCCCTGAGTGATCCCTAAGCAACATCCCCACCATGAAACAAGCCCGCCCTGGTGGCAGTCTGCAGTTACTTTTAGAGGCTGTGGAGACAGAACAAAGAATTAAAGGTGCATGCCTAAAAAGCACAGGGTCCTGGGTCTGATTCCTGGCACCTTTCAAGCACTGCAGGGTGTAGCCCTGATGGCCCTCAACACTGCAGGGGAGACCCTAAAACAAAGACAAAACAGATCAAGCTGTGAGGCCAAAGTGATAGTATAATGAACAGGGTGTCTGCCCTGCACATGGCTGATCTGGGTTCAATCCCCAGTACCACATATGGTCCCCCTCAGCCCACCAGGAATGATTGCTGAATGCACAGTCAGTAACATTCCCTGATCACAACCAGGTATGGCCCAAAAACCAAATTAAAAACAAATCTTGACGATCTCCCACAACTTCACATTGAGAACCACCGTACCTTCTAGATCTGTGTTTCTCAACCTTTTCTAACTATGGCCCTCTCCCCACCTTGTTTTCTTCCTGTGCTCCTCTGTCCTACTAGATGTTCCCCATGTCTCATGCCAAGGTCTATTCATGCAACTGTCACCTGAGTGAGAGCAGAAATGCTATTCTAAATTATACTATGACCTTAAACACATCTTGGGCCAGCCCAATGCTCTGACACAGTTTTTCTTAAAGGTTCTGATCCAGATCAACCCTACCCGGCCCCCCAAGTCCCCACGTGTGCTCTGCAGATCACCCACACTCTTCCACCCTCCACAGCTTCAGTGGCAAGCAGCTAACTGCGACAGCCTTGAAGCTGAGAAGCGCCCAGCGCCCACCAGGATTACCTGCTATCACTGCTAGCTACATAGACAAACCCAGAGAACGTGGGTTTCCCCACTTTACCTTTCGTGCTCCCGGGGGTGTGGGCTGGAAGATTCGAGCTTGCATGTCAGAAGGCAGGTTGGCATAAATGGGCAGCACCAGGAGCTCAGGGATTTTGGACCCCAGGCGGCGGCAGCGATCCTGCAGCATCTCACAGGCCGCCTCAATCTCCTCCTGGTATGCAGCGGGAACAGCGGCAGCGCCAGCGTCAGAGGAGGCCCACCCGCCAGCCCTTCCCAACCCTCCACCCTCCACCCCCACGCCACATGTGCACCTGTCCTGTCAGGAACACCAGGATGTCCCCAGGGCGCTGGGTCACATGGATCTGCAGCACTGACACCACACAGGCTTCCAGGTAGTCAGCCTCCGGGGCCTGGGAGTGGGGCAGGGACCGTCACTGCACAGGCCTCACCCCCCCCCCCCCGCCCCCGACAGAACAGGCTCCCTGTGCACTCTCCCGGCCCCACCTCATTCCCTCACAGTTGAATACCGTCTCGCACCTTGGTATAGAAGATGTCAACAGGAAACCTGCGACCAGGGATTCGGAAGACGGGGGCATCATCAAAGAAAGTAGAAAAACGGGCAGTGTCCAAAGTGGCTGAAGCCACCAGGACCTTGAGCTCTGGTCGGAAGCGAGCGACATCCTTGATCAGCCCGAAGAGAATGTCTGTGTGGAGGGTCCGTTCATGAGCCTCATCCACCATCACCACGCTGGAGAGAGGAGGTGGCGGTAAGGAGGAGAGGCGATGAGGCAGGAGGGGAGGGCGGGAAGCAAGGAGTCCCCGAGGGAATGTGAATGTTGAGAGAGAACAGGAGGCAGGCACTTGCTAACAGACCAAAGATTGGAGCAGGAGAAAGAAAGTTGCATATATATTACTAAGTTAGGAGACTCAGAAATCAGGGTGGAAAAGCTCACCCTGTGCCTCACTCCTGAAGGTCTGCAGATACACAGCAGTAGGCCCAGAGGACGCTGGAAGCTTCTAGGCTGTTCTCTTGGTAATGCCAATTGATCTATTCACCCCTACCAGTCTGAGTTCCCAACGTTTGTCAGAGTCCTTTATATCTCTTTTTTTTTTTGCGTTCTGGGTCATACCCAGCGATGCTCAGGGGTTACTCCTGGCTCTGCGCTCAGGAATTACTCCTGGTGGTGCCTGGGGGACTATATATGCCCGGGACTGAACCCAGGTCAGCCACATGCAAAGCAAATGCCCTACCCACTGTACTATCGCGCCAGCCCCTAACCCTCACTTTTGTTTCCTCTGCTGACTCTACTGGACTCGTGATCCTGATCTAGAAAGATGAGAGCTTTGTTCTGGCCCTGGCTCCAGCCTCCAGATTTCAGCTGCTGCCGTCTGCCCAAGCCAGGAAAGGCGCAGACTGTGGATTCTGACCTCAGGTTTTCTGCTGGTTTGTCCTACTGGTGGTGACCGGCTTCTCCTTGGCGTTCCCTACCCCCAATCCCTCTTTTGTTTCGCTTTGTTTTGGGGAAATACCCAGCCAAGCTCATGGCGGGATCACCCCTGATGGGGCTCATGGACCCTATGCGGGCAGTTCTGAACCCAGGCCCTCGTGTGAAAGACAAGCACTGTACCCACTGCACTACGGCACCAACCCTGCTCCAGTCTTTGCGTCCTGGGTGGCAGCAGCCTGCGGGTGTTCACCCTCCTTCCTCCGTGAGAAAAACCCACACCAGGGGTTCTCAGGGTTCTCTACAATGGGTCCAGTCACGTTTGTCCCGCTCCCCACTGTGAACCTCCAGGACCACAAATTCACAGACTCCTTGAAGCTGAAGGCAGATCCATGTCAGCTGGCCTGACCGTGCACGGTAGCACGGATCTCGTCCTTCAACACATGCTCCAGGAGGCCTGCGTGGCCCACTGAGAATTCACTCCTCACAACCCATATTGTCATAACACGACCCCAAAGGGACTCCAGCAGAGAACTCCCATGGCCCCTGCGATCTTGAACGTTCCAGGGCTCCTTATGTTGTGCTGAAATCTGTCTCCTACAGGAGACAAATCTGCCTCCCCTTTGGCTCTGTTTTGTCTCTGGTTCCTTCTGCCCTGGAAAAGCCCCTCACATTTCAAAGGGCAGCAGGAAGTGCCCTCCAGGGGAGCTGTCCATAATTCCTCAAGTGAGCGTCACAGGATTTTAGGTCCCACAGCACCACTCTACTGCCTGGATGCTTTCGAGACTCCAGAAACAATTAAGGGAGGAAAATTGTCTCTTCTACAACACGGTCCAGGAACACTGGAACCGAAAAGCTCTACAAGAAATGGCAGATAAATCAGAAAACCACTGCCAAAGTAGCTGGGTGGGAAGGTAGGAGAAAAAGGACAGAGGTGAATAGAAACAGAGAGAGGCACGGGATGGGGGCCGGAGCTCCAGGGAACTGACTTGGTTGGCAGGGATAAGGCAGGGGACGCCCCCGCAGGAGATGGCCTGCGTGTACCTGTAGCTTGCAAGGTCAGGCTCAGAGAGGAACTCCCGGAGCAGCATCCCGTCGGTCATGTAGCGGAGGACCGTTCGCTCTGACGTGCAGTCCTCAAAGCGGATGCTGTAGCCAACCTGTCAAAGGGATCAAGGGTGATACAGATTGAACTGGTGCCGTCCAAAAGAAGTGCGGAGCGAGGGGTCGAGGACTCAGCCCAGACCTAGAGAGCACAGCCCGGAGGGTAACGTGAGGGAGGCCTGACGCTGCGGGGACCCCATCACCCATGAGTCCGAGGAGATCTCACCTCATTCCCGAGTTTCACACCCATCTCCCGGGCCACTCGCGCAGCCACACTCATCGCTGCCACTCTCCTGGGCTGGGTGCACGCAATCTTCATACCGTTCTTTGTGTAACCCTGGGTAACAAGAAACAAGTTTACTGGGACCAAGGGATGTGGCTCAGTGACAGAGCAAATGCTTTCTAAGTACGAGGCCGCAAGTTTGATCCCCAACACTACTCCACATCACTGGGCACAATTCGTGGCACTGCCATTTGAAGGTGCTACAATAAATGCACGGACATTTTGTGACCACAATAAATACGGTCCTGGGACAGAGAACTGCTGTAGTAGGTACAGTGCCTGCCTTTCACACAGTCAACTTGGGTTTACCCCCAGCACTGTATATGGTGCTCCAAGCTCTGCCAAGAGTGATTCCTAAGCCAGAGGATTGCTAGATAGGGCCCAAAACAAAGATGTGGCCCTGTGTACCACAGTCAAGTATGCAACTCCCAGAAATCACAGCAGTGACAATGACAACAGAAAGGGGACAAAGTTCTTAAAAAGAAGGAGGGCAGAAAGAAGGAGATTTTCCCTTTTCCCTTTGCCAAGAAGAATTCAGAAAAAACAAGGCAGGGTTAGGGGAAAGAAGGACCAGACAAGAAGTGCACAGACAGACAGATAGACAGATATAGGGTTACCCAAAATGACTCCTCACCCAGTCCGAGCAGGCCTGAGCAGTCCCAGCCCTTGGATTCAAGTCCAGGGGCCACCCAGAACTTGAAAAAAAATCGAGAAAACAAATCCTTTGTGTTTTTCGGTTCTTGGGTCACACCCAAGCTATCCTGGAGATGTTCAGGGAACCAACTAGAACTGGAACTGAAGCCAGGCAAAAAAGCACAAGCTCCAGCCTTTTGAGTTACTGAAAAAAGGAGTCACTAAACTCTGTTCTTTGGCCTGCAGAAGCTTTGGCCTGATGGACTAAGCTGGTTGGAGAGTGGGGAGGTCCACGGCCATATTCATCATCCACCACTAGTGGTTTAATGTCCATCCAACCAGAAGGTGCTAAACTCCTACCAATCATGGACACTGGCAGAAAGTGACACTAAAAGGAATATAGTGCAGGGCCCAAGAGAAAGTATGGGGCTTGCATTGCAAGTGGTCAACCCCAGTTCAGTCCCTGGTAGCATCAAAGTCAGGAGTGACCCTGAGCAGAGTCAGTAGTAAGCGCAGAGTACCGAAGGGTGTGGCCCTAACAGACCCCCCCCCCCCCAAAAGAAAAGGGACAGTCTTTTTTGGTTTTTAGGACTACACCTGCTAAAATGCTCAGAGCTTACTCCTGGCTCTGTGTTCAGAAGTCTTTCCTGACAATGCTCAGGGGACCACAAGCAGTGCCAGGAATAAAACTGGGGTCACCACATGCAAGATAAGTATCTTAACCCTACACTATCTCTCTGACCTTAAATATGGTCCTTATCCTCAAGAATCCCAGGCTTGGGGTAAGAGATAGCTCAACGGGTTAAGCACAAGTGTGGTATGCAGGAAGCCTGAGTCTGATATCAGGCATCACCCAGTCCCCTGAACACAGAGCTGGGAAGAGCCAGAAAACTGCTGGTGTAGCCCCCAAACAAACAAAAACAACCTCATGGGGCCAGGAGATAGTTTGGTGGTTAGGATGCAGCCTGGCATACACCTGACTCAGGAATTCCACTTAGGAAGCCCTGGAATTCCTAAACACGGATTGGGAGCCCTCTCCTCCACCCCCTAACCCCAGCAAAAATAAAAAAATAAAAATTATGATTTGGTAGAAAGACTAAATGTTCAAGGGGCTGGAACGATAATACAGCAGACAGGGCATCTGCCTTGCTCGCGGCCGACCCAGGTTCGATTTCCAGCATCCCATATAGTCAGCTGAGCACCGCCAGGAGCAATTCTTGAGTGCAAAGCCAGGAGTAACCCCTGTGCATTGCCGGGTGAGGGTGAGACCCAAAAAACAAAAGAAAACAAAACAAAAAGACTAAATGATCAAGAGTAGAGTAGGTAAGCGATAGCTCAAAATGCCAAGTAAAAGGAATTCTGACAAGACAGAGCTCACAGCCTGGACCCTAGAAACCCAGAGGGCGAGGGGGACTGTACCTCCTCAAACAGGTACTGAGGGATCTGGGTGGTCTTCCCGGAGCCTGTTTCGCCCTCAATGATGAGGATCTGGTGGTCAGCGATGGCAGCCAGGAGCTCCTCGCGGAACGGGAACACGGGCAGGCTGCGGCGCACGGCCTGGATGGACTCTTTCTGCTGAGCCTGGGTCGGCATCGGGGGAGCTGATGGCTCCTGGGAAGGAGAAAGGGGCTGAGTGCCGCAGTGGCTGGCTGGTCCTCTCCGGGTGCACCAGAGCCCGCCACTCACCTCATCACCCTGTAGCTGAGTGGCCCGAACAAACTCAATGGTTTCCTCTTCCTCCAGCACCAGCTGGTACTTGGGCTCCTGGGAAGCCGCGTCTCGAGCCCCAAACTTCAGGGAGGCGGCCCCGAGCCGGGCTTCCTCCCAGCGCCGCTGCTCCTCTCCCGGGGCCCCCGACTCCTCCTCCACGAGGTCCACAGCACGCGCCGGCTAAGAAGAAATGCGCCCAGGAAGCACAGGCAGGACAGGGAAGGGAACCTCCCAGCACTGCCCCACACCCCGAGGTCCTCTCTCCGGGGCGCCGGGACGCTCACCTGTCCCCGGGTCTCCTCCGGCATGTGGTAGCGATTTGTGGCCTCCAGCTTCTCCTGCTCTCCGGCAGCACGGTACTCGCGGGCCAGATCACGCACCCGCTTCTTGTACTTGAGCTCCTGCCGCTCGTGGCGGCTCAGCTCCACGTCGCCGAAGAGGAACTCCTCGTCGGCCAGCTCGGCCTCCAGGTCCTCGAGCTTCTCCCGCTCCCGCTTCGCCAGGTACTCGCGGCGGGACTTCTTCCGCAGCTCGGGGACCTGGTTCAGGACAGGGCAAGTCACATCTTCATGCTGGACCAGTAACCCCTTCGCCAACCCAGGGGGAAGAATTACAAATTCCGGGCTGGAGAGATAGCACAGCAGGTGGGGCGTCTGCCTTGCACGCGGCCGACCCGGATTCGATTCCCAGCATCCCATATGGTCCCCCAAGTAACTCCAAGAGTAACTCCTGAGTGCAGAGCCAGGAGTAACCCCTGTGCATCACCGGGTGTGACCCACAAAGCAAAAAAAAAAAAGGATTACAAATTCCCTGAGAGGCAGCTGGAAGGTCATTGCCTTTGCCTTCCCTCTCCAAAGTCAGTAGTCTCTGTGGCAAGGGCAGGGAGGGAACCTTAAGTTTCCAGAGGTCCCCCAAGCACTGCAGGGGTAATCCTGGTGGCCAGAAAAGTATTGCATCTCATACTCTGAACCATCTGGCCTAAGAAACACTTGGGAGGTCCCCCCCCCCATAAAACAAACATAAAAACAACAAAATAGGGAGAGGCTCAAAGGGCTGGAGCTCTGCCTGGGGTCAATCTCCAACACTTAACAGTCCCCTAGCAGAGCCCGGTATGACCCCCCCCCCCAAATTATGAAGAAAAGAAAAATGAAAGGACTTCAATTTAAGGAGGGGATAAATAACTTCTATGCACACAGCTGGAAGAGTACCCAAGTGCCTGGGCCAGGCTTCTCCCCTGACAGTGCTCCATTTAGCTTTGATGAGCAGGTCTCTGATGCAGCCTTCCAAGACCCACAGCCTGCCAGGCCCTTCTCAGCTTCAACCACCACCCCACCACCCTCCCAGGGCCGCAGCAACATCACGACAAATGCCCACCCAGTAGGACTCTGATTCTGTTGAACGGTCTTTCTAGATTTCCTTTATTTTTTTTAAATAAGGCCCGAGCGGGCCCAGTAACGTCTCCATTGGAGACTTTGTTGTTACTGTGTTTGGCATATCGAATACTCTCGTTAGCTTGCCGGGCTCTCTTTTTTAAATCTTTTCTTTTTTTCTAATCACCATGAGAAATGCAGTTTCTGCTTTATTTATTTATTTTTTTTGCTTTTTGGGTCACACCCAGCATTGCTCAGAGGTTACTCCTGGCTTTGCACTCAGGAATTACTCCAGGCAGTGCTTGGGGGACCATATGGGATGCTGGGAATCGAACCTGGGTCTTCCGGGTACAAGGCAAATGCCCTATCCGCTGTGCTATCGCTCCAGACCCAAGAAATGCAGTTTCAAAGCTGTTCATGACTGAGTTTTAGTCACACAAGTATAACTTTCTTATTTATGCTTTGAAGATATAAAACGAAGCTTGTGCTCAAGGCTGATCTGAATACCTAAAATGGATTCCAGTTTGGAAAGAGCAATTACTAAAGTCATTCGGGGCAACTGCACTGCAGACAATTCTTACTTATGCATAAAAGTTATGTATTGGTCATCAAGAAAAACTCAACATTACCAGACTAACATACACCTATTAAAGGACCATCAAAATATTTAAAACAGGGGCGAGAAAGATAGTACCGTGAACAGGGCATTTGCCTTGTATGCAGTCAATCAGGGTTCAATCTCTGGTACCCCCTATGGAATCCCTGGCACTGCAGGGACTGAGCAGCACCACATCCTTGGGCCAAGCACTGAATCCCCCAGGCCTCCTGAACACTGTTTGGCAGGACCCAAAAGAACAAAACAAAAAAGACCATCAGTTTTTGTTGGCAGGGAGACGGTTTAAGCTGCAAATACATGCTTTGTATACAGGGATCTTGGGCGTGATTCCTGGCATTACAGTCTCCCAGTATTGTCAGAAATAACTTCCAAACACTGAACCAGGAGTGACCCAAAAAGGACCAAGATGTATAACTGAAAAAGTGGTAAATGAAAAAGAAAAACAAGAGAGGTTGCACCATGAGAGGTCTCAAGTCCGTGGTCACAACCATCCTGTTCTGTGAGTCAGGAAAGACCTGAGATTATTTTTTTCTGCTTGTTTCTGGGCCACACCCAGCAGTGCTCATGGGCTTACTCATGGCTCTGTGCTTCAGGGATAACTCCTGGAGATGCTCAGGGGACTGTATGTGGCATATTCCTGGGTTGCACCATGCAAGGCAACTCTCAAGCCCCCGAGACCCTCCGCCAGAGACAGGGCACGCAGTAGCATCCCCACCACCTTGCTTCAAATGTCTTCTCCCCGCCCCTAAAAACAGGCTCAGAAAGTCAATCCTTGTGTCCTGTGAACTGGGCTTCCTGGGCACAGACACTCACCATGGCTTTACGGTCTTCCTCGGCGATCTTGAGGCGCTTCTGAGCCTCTTCATAAGCCTAAAAGAAACCAAGTGTAGATGGGGATAAGGCCAAAAGCCCCATGCCAACAGCTGTTCCCCACACCTTCCTTCTCATACTGCGCTGTTTCCAAGTTCACAGAATTGCCCTGGCCACAGGACCCCAGAGGTGACCAGATCTGCATAGGCAGAAGGTCTTCTCTTTCCTACAACCACAATTCGCACTATATACAACCTCAATTTCTTTCTCTTTTACTCTTTGGTGGTGGTCTGGCTCTAACCCAGATAAGAGGTATCACACATGCCAGGCAAGAACGCTACCACTGAGCTACACCCCTGGCCTCTCCACCATAGGCTTGAAACAAGGATCTGCCTGGGATTTACACACCTTTTTGTCCGACCGCTCCAAGACACTGCGAGTCCGATCCTTGTCGCGCTGCCGTACCCGCTCGGCGAAGGCGTCTCGTTCTTCCAGGTCCTGCAGGCGCTCTCGCTCCGTCCGCTCCCACTCATCCTCGGACTCTGGCTTCTCTGTCTGCGGGGCGCTCCCCCTGCAGCCCAGGACACTCAGAAGGCTCACATCTCACCAGCCACCCACCCCACCCTCTCGCCCTGCTTCCCACTTACCCTGTCTTCTTCCTTTTATCAGAGACCTCTTCCTCCTCCTCTTCTTCCTCCTCCTCTTGCCGTTTCTTCCTGAGGTGTTTCCGCTTCTTCCGCTTCTTCTGCTGGCTATTGTCGGGCCTGCCTACGGTCTCCTCACTGCTCTCCTCACTGTCTTCCAGCAACCGGTAAGATCGATTCTTCTCCAGCAGAGCTCGGGCCTCTCGCTCAGCTGCCCGCGCTGGCTTTTCTACCACTGCCTTCCGGGGTACCTGTGGGCAAGGTAGAATTGAAGGGGGTCTGAAACATCCCTGACCTCTGTCCACCTGCTCAGATCTATTACTAAAGAATCACTGTGGGGGGCAGAGCGATGGTACAGCGGGGAGGGCGTTTCCCCGCACACAGCCAACCCAGGTTCAATCCCCAGCATCCCATATGGTCCCCCAAGCACCTCCAGGAGTCATTCCTGAGTGCAGAGCCAGGAGTAACCCCTGTACATCGCCGGGTGTGACGCAAAAAAAAACCATGATGTATTCAATATGCCAAAACACAGTTAACAAGAAGTCTCATAATTGATACGTTACTGGGCCCACTCAAACAAATCGATGAACAACGGGAGGACAGGAGGACCGTGATTGTGATAATAATAAAGACTTCAGATTTTTGTTTTTATTTTTAGGCCACATCACACGGTGCTCAGGGGCTACATCCACCTGTGTCTTAAGGTCACTCTCGGTGATTTGGAAAGCTATGTGGTGCTGGGGACTGAACCCAGGACTGTGTGCAGAGTACATGCTCCAGCCCTTTGAGCTCTCCTGACCTACCAACGAGCTGATATGAAACCAGACTGAACAGGACCTCTCATCTTCTGAACTTATTTGAATCTGTCCCACACACCAGGTACTTGTTAGGTACTAGAAATTCAGGAATAAGTAAAAAACCGAAAGTCCTGCACTTATGAAATTTACATTCTCAAACCCACTCCTCAACTGCTCTGCCCCTGTGCTTCCCTGCAATGGATTCATTCCTACAAAGACTGTCATGATGCTGAGTCCCCACAGAGACCTGCCAGGAGCCAGGCACTTCACATTCGAGTGATACAAGGGGTGAACAGATTAACATCATTCACATCTTCAGTGCACCTACATTACTTTTGTGGGGAAGGGAGGGCGATTCAGGGACATACTCTGTGCCTTATTTCATGTACCATCTCTCCTGCTCTCACCTCGTGGATTTTTTTTGTGTGTGTTTTAAGGGTTTTTGCTTCTTTTCTTCTTTTTGTTTTTGGGCCACACCGGGGATGCTCAGGGGTTATTCCTGGCTCTGCACTCAGTTAACTATTCAGGGCGGTGCTCCGGGGACCATATGGGGATGCTGAGGATCGAACCCAGGTCAGTCACGTGCAAGACAAGTGCTGCACTATCCTGCTGTACTGTCACCCGATCCCCTCCCCCACCACGGAGGACACAAGGAAAACAAGCCTGAAATTTGAGTTTTTCCACACTCACTGGGTGTCAGTTCTGTAAAATGCTCTGCAGGGTACAAAGTCAAGAAAAACAGCTCTGCCCCTCAGGAGCCCCTTCCTCCCTTCTCGTCCTGACAAACTTTAGGGAATTTTCCTGCCTCCCCTACCCACACGTACAGTCTCGCTATTCAGTGTGGTCAGGATCTGGTTAGAAACACACAAACTAGGGGCCGGAGCAATAGTACAGCGGGGAGGGCATTTGCCTTGCACACGACCAACCCGGGTTCAATCCCCGGCACCCCACATGGTCCCAAAGCACCGCCAGGAGTAATTCCTGAGACCAGAAGTAACCCCTGAGCATCGCTGGATGTGTCCCAAAAAGTGAAAGACAGACAGAAAGAAAGAAAGAAAGAAAGAGAAAGAAAGAAAGAGAAAGAAAGAAAGAAAGAAAGAAAGAGGGATGGGAGGGATACTGGGATCACTGGGGATGGAGAATGGGCACTGGTGGAGGGATGGGTACTCAATCACTGCATAACTGAAACCCATGCACAAAAACTTGTAATGTCCTTAACTGTACCTCATTATGTTTCACTAATAAAAATTTTAAAAATATACTTTAAAAAAAGGAGATGAGCATGCTTTTCATGAAATTTTTTTTACTTCATAAATTTTTGAAGGCAACAATAAATTTCGGTGAAATAGCTGATTCATGCCAAGTTGTGATTTAATTTTTCTGAAAATAGGCTTGGTAGTTTCAATTTAAATAAAAATTGTAGGGGCTGGAGCAATAGCACAGCAGATAGGGTGTTTGCCTTGCACGCAGCTGACCCGGGTCCAATTCCCAGTATCCCATATGGTCCCCTGAGTACCGCCAGGAGTAATTCCTGAGTGCAGAGCCAGGAGTAACTTCTGTGCATCGCCAGGTGTGACCCAAAAAAGAAAAAATAAATAAACAGAAATTGTACACAGAGGAAAGAAAAAAAAAGAAAGAAAGAAAAAGAGACACAAACTAGGAGGAAAAGAAAGAAAAAGAGAGAGAGAGAGAGAGAGAGAGAGAGAGAGAGAGAGAGAGAGAGAGAGAGAGAGAGACAAACTAGGGCCCCAGACAAAACGAGAGCTGGGAGTCGAGATATCTTGCTGTCTAAGCACTGAGCGTTCCGAGCACTGAACCCAACAAGAAAGAAAGATAGGGGGGAAAAAAGAGAGAAAGAGAGAGAGAGAGAGAGAGAAAGTGAGAAAGTGAGAAAGAAAGAAAGAAAGAAAGAAAGAAAGAAAGAAAGAAAGAAAGACAGACAGACAGACAGACAGACAAACTAGGGCCCCGGACGAAACGAGAGCTGAGAGTCGAGCAATCTTGCAGTCTAAGCACTGAGCGCTCCGAGCACTGAACCCAGCAGCACCTAGCACAGCACCCGGTGAACGCTCCCACTTAACCCCCGCAGGAGCAGAGAGCCCGGCCCACCTGGCCGGCCGGTCCCCGCCCCCCCCCCCCCCCCCCCGCGCCGAGGCTCCCGGGTCCGGCCCGCCCCAGCCGCGCCCATCCCGGCCGGAACCTTGTTCCAGAGCCGCTGGGCGAAGTCCCGCGCCGGCCCGCCCAGGTCCAGAGTGTTGGTGTCTCGCAGGCGCTGCACGAACTCCTCGGCCGAGGCGCAGCGCTGCGCGGTACCGATCAGGAACTGGGCCACGTGCCGCTCGCTCAGCCCCAGCACCGAGTGCAGCTCGTCCTGGACCCAGCGCTCCAGCCCCGCCGCCGTCTCCATGGCCGCTGCTGCTCCCGTCAGCGGCCCCGAAGGGTCTCGGCCAGACGCGCCGGCGGTCGGGCCGGCCGGAGACCTGGGGCCCTGGGCCGGAGCCCCCGGCCGCCACAGGAAAGCAGCCTCGGCCCCGCGGCTCGGGTTCCGAAGCCCGGAGCCGCCGCACCGGACCGCCGGGGCCGGAAGCGTTCGCCCTTTTCCGGCCTCGGTACTACGGCGGCCGAGCCAGGTCAGACTTCGCCGGCGACCGCCGAAGCGCAAGGTGCAGGGTTCTTATCCGCCGCCACTCCGGTCATCTGCTGCCCCCTAGTGGTCGCTACTTCACTTATTCATTCATTGAACAAATGTGGGCCACACTTGAGCCTCTTGGGATACAGCAGCGAGCTAAACCCACCGAGAAAAAGAAATCCTCTTACCGAATTTCTATTGAAGGAGAAAGAGAAGACGCGGAGATGTATCTGCGCTGGGATTAAGGCGCTTGTCTTGCACGCAGTTGACCCTGATTCGATATAGTCGCCAGGCCAGCAGTGATCCCTGAGCAAGAGTCAGGAGTAAGCACCGCTGGAAAAGAAACACACACACACACACACACACACACACACACACGTAGGTTCTCTGAAGTCAAAAATAGAGAAAGCTGTATGTGGTAATGGAGATTCTGTTTCAAATAGGAAGGTCAGGTCTACGCTGCTTAATAGACTGAGGCTGATTAGGGATCTTTCTAGGATTGTATCTGAAGCAGGAGTAAGTTGTACACAGGTTAAGTATAAACAAATCTCCAGCACTAAGAAACTTGAGGTCTGGTGGAGCAGGGGAGACACAACAGCGTACTTTTTGTTGTGGCAGCCTCAAAAAGTTTTTAAATTTATTTTTGTGTTTGGGGCTATACACAGTGGTGCACATAGTTTACTACTGGCTGTGTGCTCAAGGATCATTCTTCGTGGTACTCGAGGGAATATGGGGTGTTGAGATCAAACCTGGGTGACCTGGATTTAAGGCAAGTTTCCTATTCACTATACTATATCTCTATATCTCCAGTTTTCTCATTTTTAAATGTTTGATTGTTTGTGGATTTCACCTAACAGACCAGGAGACTGAAGCCAGGGCTCCCAAACGTACTCTAGCCCTATCTCAGAAAGTTAGCTTTGTTTTTTGGAGGTTCTTCTGTTTTGTTTTTGGACCATGCCCAGCATTGCTCAGGGCTAACTCCTGACTCTGCTCAGGGATCATTATTGGTGGGTCTCAGTGAACCATTTGAGGTGCTGGGGATATAACTCACATTGGCCATGTGCAAGCCAAGCACCCTACCTGCTGTACTATTTCTCCGACCCAGAAAATTATTTTTAAAAACTCTGCAGAACCAGAGCAATAGTATAGCAGGCGGAGTGTTTGCCTTGCATGCAGCCAACCCAGGTTTGATTCCCAGCATCCTATATGGTCTCCTGAGCACCACTAGGAGTAATTCCTGAGTGCAGAGCCAGGAATAACCCCTGAGCATCACTGGGTGAGACCCAAAAATCAAATAAATAAATAAAAGTAAAAAATAAAAAATCTCCAGGGATAGGGCGCTTGCCTTGCACCGACCCGGCTCTATTTCGGTCTCCAGAACCCTGTACGATCCACCAAGTCCCACTAAGAGTGATCCTTGAACACGGAGTCAGGATTAATCCCTGAGCTTTGCTGGATGTAGCCAAAAACAAATCTCAAAACTAAGAAATGCGTGAAAAGTGTTATGCATTTTTTTGCTAAAAGCACAGAAATTTATTAGAGTCTACTTATTTAAAAATAAGTGGATGGGGCTGGAGTGATAGCACAGCAGGTAAAGCATTTGCCTTGCACTTGACGGACCCAGGTTCGATCCCCAGCATCCCATATCTGGGTGTGACCCAAAAAGCAAAATAAATAAGTGGAGGTTAGGGATGGAAAGATTGTGCAGTGGGTAGGGCACTTGCCTGCACAAGCCCTAGCTGGGTTCATCTCCAGAACCCATACCATTCCACTAGCACCACCAGCGGTGATCCCTGAGCACAGAGCCAAGAGTAAACCTGAGTATCACTGGGTGTGGCCCAAAAAGGGGGAAAGGGGAAAAGGACAGGAGCAAAACCTTAAAGGGCAGGAGAACATGTTTTTCCCAGATCCCAGAACTGGTAGTGAATGATCCCTGGAGCACTGATCAGGAATGGCCCCAAACACTGTTGTTGGGTGCAGCCCAAACAATCAAATGACAATTCTTTGTGACAATGGAGGAAATAGGATGCTTGTTATAGTTAAGTGGGTAAAGAGTCTGTCCAGTCAATTACGACTCAGGAAAGCAGAGGTGGGAAGTTCTGAGATGCCAGAGATAACCATCGTCCAGCTCAGAAATGGAAAACATCTACCCAACAAAAATTTGTCACTGCCGGCTTGGAGCTATAGCACAGCGGGGAGGGTGTTTGCCTTGTACGTGGCCAACCCAGGTTCAATCCCCGGCATCCCATATGGTCCCCCGAGCACCGCCAGGAATAATTCCTGAGTGCAGAGCCAGGAGTAACCTCTGTGCATCGCCGGGTGTGACCCAAAAAGCTAAAAAAAATAAAGGCCCTCCCGTTGATCGTCGATTTGCTCGAGCGGGCCCAGTAACGTCTCCATTGGAGACTTTGTTGTTACTGTGTCTGGCATATCAAATACTCTCGGTAGCTTGCCGGGCTCTTAATTAAAAAATTGTCACTGTCTGTGCCTATTAGAATGACAATGTTCCATTTCCCAACAGTAGGGTCTGATAACTCCACTTAACCTTATAAAAGCATAATGCAAAGTCAAAGAGGTCAGTAAGCAGATGGTTCAATAACAAACTTCCCATTATTTGCTTTCCTTATTTGGGGGCTCCACCCAGCAATGCTCCGGGGCTACGCCTGGCTCTTCCCAGGACACCATGTAGTGACCTGGGGTTACGCCCAGGCCTCCCGCATGCAGAGCGTGTGCTCCATCTGTTGACTGTCCCGCCTGCCCTCTGATTAGTCTTTAATAGTGGCAGTGTTGGGGAGCCCCAGATACCTGGAGGAGGAGCTGGTCGGACATCACTGCTCAGTGGCTGAAATATGTTAGACATGTGCTCTAACATGCACTGCACTGTAGCACTGTCCTGTTGTTCAGTGATTTGCTCGAGTGGGCACCAGTAACGTCTCCATCGTGAGACTTGTTACTGTTTTTGGCATATCGAATATGCCACAGGGAGCTTGCCAGGCTCTGCTGTGGGGGTGGGATACTCTCGGGAGCTTACTTGGCTCTCCGAAAAGGCGAAGAATTGAACCCACGTCGGCTACATGCAAGGCAAACGCCCTACCCGTTGTGCTATATTTTAATTATTTGAATTATCTTTGTAGCCCCCAATATCTGCTTCCCCCTTTCTTCCTTTTGTTGCTGTTGCTGTTGTAATAACCAGAGATCATGCACACATGCTCAGTTTTGATAGATGTGGTAGTGTTTTTTGTAGCGTTTGGGTCACACCTGGTGATGCTCAGGGCTTACTTCTGGTTCTGCATTCCTGGCAGTGCTTGAGAGCATATTATGCCAGGGGTCAAACCCAGGTAAGCCACAGGTAAGGCCTTATCCACTGTGCTATCTCTCCTGGCCCTGCTATGTGCTTTTTTTTTGCTTTTTGGGTCACACCCGGCGATGCACAGGGGTTACTCCTGGCTCATACATTCAGGAATTACTCCTGGCGGTGGGATGCTGGGAATTGACCCCAGGTCGGCCACATGCAAGGCAAACGCCCTCCTTGCTGTGCTATGCCTCCAAGTGACCCCTGAACACAGAGCCAGGAGTGGTCCGAGCATCACCAGGCATGCCCCCTCACCTCACACCCCCACTTACCAAGTCTTTGGGGACATAAATCCCATTACTAGCCAAGAAGATCATTTCCAGGAAACTGTGCTGTTGGACATATACTTCACTTCACTTAATCACTTAACTTCCCGTTAGTCGTCGATTTGCTCGAGCGGGCGCCAGTAACGTCTCCATTTGTCCCTGTCGCGTGCTAGTGTAGCCCAATGGCATCTCTTCGCTCCGGGAACATGGAGGGCCTCAAACCGATCGTTCATGATCTTGACAAAGAAGTCTGACCATCTGGTAGGTGGGCGGCCACGCGGTCTCTTGACATCCCGTGGAATCCAATCAGTAACAGCTCTAGTCCAACGGTCGTCTTTAAATCTCATTACGTGACCAGCCCATCTGATTTTCGACACCTTGGCGAAAGAGACAGCGTCCCTGATCCTTGATCGTCGACGGATGTCAGAACTCCGGATTCTTTCTCTCATTTGAGTGAAACGTGATATTCCAAGCATAGCTCTTTCTATTCTTCTTTGGGAGACCTGAATGGCGTTCTCATCTTGTTTGCGTAGGGCCCAGGTCTCTGAGGCATATGTTAATGCAGGAAGAACAGTGGAATCAAAGAGATGTGCCCGGAGCCGGAGGTTCTTCGTCCTCTTAGCTATTTCTTCGACGTTCTTGAAGGCGTTCCAAGCCGCTCTCTTCCTCCTGCGCAGCTCGGGTGCCAGGTCATTTGTCATGTTGACCTCTCGACCTAGGTACACATAGCTGTTGCATTCGGAGATGGTCGTTCCATTGAGAGCGAATGGGGCGTCAGGAACAAGGCTGTTTCTCATAAACATTGTCTTCGTAAGATTCAGCTGTAGTCCTACCTTTCCACACTCACGGTCAAAGTCGGCCAGCATTTGTGCCGCTTGGCTGATGTTTGGTGTTATTAAAACAATGTCATCAGCAAAGCGGAGGTGGTGTAGTTGCCGACCATCTATCTTCACTCCCATTCCTTCCCATTCCAGTCGTCGCATGATGTTCTCGAGGGTGGCACTGAAGAGTTTTGGTGAAATGGTATCACCCTGCCGCACCCCTCTCTTGACATCAACGATCACATATACTACATTTTGCAATTTCAAGAGATTTATTTGTGATCCCATCTTGGAGTAAAACCCCTTCTCCAGTCAAGCATACACTATCTGACTGCTTTTCTGTAGCATCAGAATACTGGAATCCTTCAGTTCAGAGGTTCTGTGCTTCCAGTTTTGTTTGAGCCACACCCAGCTGTGCTTAGGGCTTACTCTTGGCTTTGTGTTCAGGGATCACTCCTGGCAGGCTCAGGGGACCATATGGGGCGTCAGGGATCAAACCTAGATAGGCATCGGACAAGGCATACACCCTACCCACTCTATTGCTCTGGCCCTTTCAATTTTTTTGGTTATTTGTTTTGTGTAGAGAATTGAACCCTGGGCCCTACCACTGAGCTATATCCCTGAGCTTCTTCCAATGTATATAAATTGGGGGGGGGGTGAGGATTTTATTTATTTATTGAATCACCGTAAGAAACAGTTACAAAAGCTTTCATGTTTGAGTTTCAGTCATACAATGATCGAACACCCATCCCTCCACCAGTGTATATTTTCCACCACCAATGTCCCCAGTATCCCTCCTGCCAGTCCCCACCCCACCCTTGGCAGACAGTTTCCCCCATACTCTCTCTCTACTTTTGAGCATTATGGTTTGCAATACATATAATGAGAGGCATCATGTTTGATCCTTTATCTACTTTCAGCACATGTCTCCCATCCTGAATGATTCCTCCAACCATCATTGACTTTGTGATCCCTTCTCTATTCCAGCTGCCTTCTCCCCCAGCTCATGAGGCAGGCTTCCAGGTATGGAGCAATATTCCTGACCCTTGTGTTTATTGTCCTTGGGTGTCAGTCTCATGTTAGTAAGTAAGTAAGTAAAGGCCCTCCCGTTGATCGTCGATTTGCTCGAGCGGGCCCAGTAACGTCTCCATTGGAGACTTGGTTGTTACTGTGTCTGGCATATCAAATACTCTCGGTAGCTTGCCGGGCTCTCCGAGAGGGGCGGAGGAATCGAACTCGGGTCGGCCATGTTGGCCGCTTGTAAGGCGGACGCCCTACCCGCTGTGCTATCGCTCCAGCCCGAGTCATGTTATGTAGCATAAATTTTTGAAAACTTTTTCCTTCTATTTTTTTTTCTTTTTGGGTCACACCCAGTAATGCTCAGGGGTTACTCCTGGCTCTGCACTCAGGAATTACTCCTAGCAGTGCTTGGGGGACCATATGGGATGCTGGGAATCGAACCCTGGTCGGCCGCGTGTAAGGCAAATGCCCTACCTGCTGTACTATTGTTCCAGCCCCTTCCTTCTAATTTTTGGCCACAGCCTATGGTACCTGGAAACTTCTCCGAGTTGTCTCTATCACTGATGCACAGGAGACTAAAGCATTGAAGACTGAAGCTGTATCTACATGCGAAGAATGAGCTCAAACCCTTCCTTTTTTTTTTTTGCTTTTTGCTTTTTGGGTCACACCCAGCAATGCTCAGGGGTTATTCCTGACTCTGCACTCAGAAATAATTCCTGGAGGTGCTCAGGGGACCATATGGGATGCCGGGGATTGAACCCAGGTCAGCCGCGTGCAAGGCAAATGCCCTACCCGCTGTGCTATTGCTCTGGCCCCATCAAACCCTTCCAATTTTTAGTTTTTTATTTTGGGGGAGTGGCATCACACCCAGCAGTGCTCAGGGTTTACTCCTGGTTTTACATTCAAGAATCACTCCTGGGGATTAGAGCAATAGCACAGCGGGTAGGGCGTTTGCCTTGCACGCGGCCAAACCGGGTTCGATTCCCAGCATCCTGTATGGTCTCCTGAGCACTGCCAGGGATAATTCCTGAGCACAGAGCCAGGAGTAACCCCTGTGCATTGCCAGGTGTGACCCAAAAAGCAAAAAAAAAAAAATGAATCACTCCTGGAGGTACTTGGGGGACCATATGTGGTGCTCGGGATCAATCCTGAGTTTCCTGTAAAGTATGCTCCCTACCTGCAATACTTTCTCTCCAGCCCTTTATTTATTTATTTATTTATTGAATCACCATCCATGAGATAGTTACAAAACTTTCACGATTGAATGTCAGTCATAAAACGAATACCCATCCTTCCACTGGTGTACGTTTTCCACCACCAATGTCCCCAGTATCTTTCCCACCACCCCATCTGAGCCCACCTCCCACCTGTATTAGCACTGTAGCACTGTCCTCCCGTTGTTTGATTTGCTCTAGTGGGTGCCAGTAACGTCTCACAACAAATTGTGAGACTTGTTGTTACCGTTTTTGGCATATCAATACGTCAAGGGTAGCTTGCCAGGCTTTGCTGTGGGGGCGAGATACTCTCAGTAGCTTGCCACCAGGCTCTCCAAGAGGGGCGGAGGAATTTAACCTGGGTCGGCTGCATGCAAGGCAAATGCCCTACCCGCTGTGCTATTGCTCCAGCCCACCTGTATTGGCAGACAATTTTCTTTTTTCTCTCTATTTTTGGGCATTATGGTTTGCAATACAGATACTGAGAGGCTATCACGTTTGGTCCTTTATCTGCTTTCAGCACACATCTCCCATCCCAAGCGATCCCTCCAGCCATCATTGACTTAGTGATCCCTTCTCTCTCCCAGCTGCCTTCTCCCCCAGCTCGTGAGGCAGGTTTCCAACTGACTCTCCAGTCCTTTGAATTCATTTATTTTATTGTATTGTATTTTAGGTAGTGTGGTTAAAATAATGATAAGTCTTCTGGTATTGATAAACAAAAGTTATTGCGGCTCTACCAACACAAAAGTGCTCAGTACTCTCCATTAGAGTTCCTATATCGCTTCTGGTCCAGTCTTTCTTTTGGGGGGGATGGGGAGGTGGTCACACTTGCCAACAATGCTCAGGAGTCACTGCTGGCTCTCCGCTCAGAATCTGGAATCACTCCTAGTGGTGCTCAGGGGACCATATGGAGAGCTGAGAATCCCCTGTGCCAGACAAGTGCCCTACCCCCTGTATTATCACTCCAGCCGGTTATTTTTATTTTTAGTGTTTTGGCCACACCTGGCTGTGCCCAAGACCCATTTCTATTTCTGTGCTTAGAAGTCACTCCTGGCAGTTCTCGGGGGACTACTATACACGGTGTTGGGTATTAACTAGGGTTGGCTGCAAGGCCATCCCCTTGTACTATCTCTGTCCCCATCCAATATTTCTAAGCTTTATTTATTTATTTATTTATTTAGCCTATTTGTTTTTTGGGTTTTTTTTTATTATTATTATTAATATTATTGATCGTCGATTTGCTCGAGCGGGCCCAGTAACGTCTCCATTGGAGACTTTTGTTGTTACTGTGTCTGGCATATCGAATACTCTCGGTAGCTTGCCGGGCTCATTTTTGCTTTTTGGGTCACTCCTGGCTTTGAACTGAGAAATTACTCCTGGCGGTGCTTGGGGGACCATATGGGATGCTGCTGGGAATTGAACCCGGGTCGGCCGCTTGCAAGGCAAACACTCTACCTGCTATGCTATCGCTCCAGCTCCAATTGCCTATTCTTTTTTGTTTGCTGTCACTTAGCCTAGAAATAATTTTGTGAGTGGTAGGCCCTGGGAGTAGGGATGCTGAAATAAAGCCCTGCGGCCTGCTGGGCACCTCCCCTGCACTGCATCGTCCTCCAACCAGTCTCTTTACTACTACCGGTGGGCCTGGCACCCGGAACGGGCTCTCAGTGCTCTCCAGATGTCCAGTGCTGAGTTTCCACTTTACCCCGGTCTGTCTTTCCCTCCAGCAGGCCACAATCACTTCTTTTTTTTTTTTTTTGGCTTTTTGGGTCACACCCAGCGATGCACAGGGGTTCCTCCTGGCTCTGCACTCAGGAATTACTCCTGGCGGTGCTCAGGGGACCATTTGGGATGCTGGGAATCAAACCCGGGGCGGCCGCGTGCAAGGCGAACGCCCCACCCACTGTGCTATGGCTCCAGCCCCACGGCTACTTCTTCTTCAGGACAAGTAGGAAGCTGAGAAAGGCTGAGAATGAGGAACTCAGGGCCTCCCTTAACCTGCACCCCCCGCCCCGAGCCTGTACCTCCCAAACAGGAAAGGCAGCCGAAGACTTGGAGAAAGCCCCATTTTATTATAGAAAGTTTAAAAAAAATCAAAAACTGGGCAATTAACAACAAAATAGAATCAGGTGCCATGGTAGCCACCCCACACCTTGGAACAATTCAATTCAATCGTGAATCACGACAGGGAACAGAATTAAATAACCGTAAAGGGGAGACAGTTAAGATGCACACAGCCTTCCCTCTGGGAGAAAACCGAGACTCAGAGATACAGAGCAAACGTGGAGGAAGCCACACCCGTCACTCCAGTGAGGGGACAGCAGGAGACAGGGCAGAGGAGGCCACACAGACGGGGCATGTAGGCATGACTTGTAAATGTGGGACTTTGGCAGGTGGCGCTGGGAGCTGGTGGTGTGGGCAGGGAGGAGGCGGGAGCTGTAAACGGAGGACCAGTGACACCGGACAGGATGGGGTGCCTGTGTATGAGTGGGGACCAGGCCTCACAGGGACAAGAGTGCTGATGCCCAAGAGCCCCTGGCGGGTGAGCAGTCAGGAGTGCTGCAAGGAAGGTGAGCGGTGTTCACGGAAATGGAGGGGTGCTCCATCTGCACCCCTGCCCCTGTGACTTGTGCTCTCCTCAAGGCTCGTGTTCACTCTAGGACACGCCAGCACACACCAGGGTGACTCTCACCCCAGTGACCCAGGGTGAGTGTGGGAATGGGACAACTGCCCTCAGGAAACAGGATGAGGAAAACAAGTTGGAAGACCTTGGTCGCCCTCCCCTGCAAGGCTCATTCTCAGGGTCCATCTGCTCTGCATCTTCGGGGCTCTTGGATCTTCAGTTCTGGAAGGAGTGAGGTAGAGCCCCATGTGGGAAGAGGGTCACCTGCGGCAGGACTCATCTGCAGGAGAGAAGCAAGAATGACTGAGTGATGGCCCTGGCCCCGGCCCCTCCCCACCAGCCCTCCACAGCAGGTCAGGGGGCAGAGATGCATCTGATCAGATCTTCCAAGCTCTCAGAGCTTGTTATTACCAAGAACAGCAGTCACCACTCACTGAGCTCGCATTCTATACCAAGAATCCCAATTACGCATTTCACAGTAACCCCAGGGGAAGTTTAGAAATCTGATGTCCGGGGCAGGAGCGATAGCATAGCAGGTAGGGTGTTTGCTTTGCACGCAGCAGACCTGGGTTCAATTCCCAGCATCCCATAGGGTTCCCCAAGCACCGCCAGGAGCAATTCCTGAGTACAGAGCCAGGAGTAACCCCTGTGCATCGCCGGGTGTGACCCAAAAAGAAAAACAAAAAAGAAAAAAAAAGGAAAGAAAAAAAAGAAATTTGATGTCCATGGGGCCAGAGCGATAGTGCAGTGGGTTGGGTGGTTGCCTTGCATGCAGCCAACCTGGGTTCGATCCCAGGCATCCCATATCCATATGGTCCCTTGAGCCCTCCAAAACTTAGGAGACTTGGGGCAGGGGGTGGAGCAATAGTACAGTGGGTAGAAGACTTGCTTTGCATGCAGTCAACCAGATTCAATGTCTGGCATCCCAGGAATGATCCCTGAGCATCAAGACTGGAGTAGAGGTGCTGGAGCGATAGCACAGCAGGTAGAGTGTTTGCCTTGCAAGCAGCCAACCTGGGTTCGATTCCCAGCATCCCATATGGTCCCCCAAGCCCCACCAGGAGTAATTCCTGAGTGCATGAGCCAGGAGTAACCCCTGTGCATCGCCAAGTGTGACCCAAAAAGCAAAAAAAAAAGACTGGGGTAGAGATTGGAGTAAGCATAGTTAGGTGTGGCTCCCCCCCCCCAAAAAAAAAAATCAAACCAACCCTGGGAGACAGCTAAAAGGGCTGCACACTTGCTTTGTATGCAGGAAGCCCGGGTTTGATCTCTAACAAAGTGTGGTCCTTCCAGCCCTGTGTGGAGCGCCTCTGAGCAATATGCCAGGAGTCACTGAGCACTATAACACAAAAGCAAACAAAACCTGGGCCAGAGAACACAGCACGTAGGCACTTGCCTTGAATGTAGCCAACATGGGTGTGATCCCCAGCACCCCAGATGGTCTCCCAAGCACTTCCAGAAGTGATCCCTGAGTGCAGAGCCAAGCACCAACAGGTATAACTCCCCTCCCCCAGAAACAAAACAAAACAAAACAAAACACCTTAACCCTGTCAAAAAAAGGCGAGGGCTGAGGAGAGAGCATTCATGAAGACTTGAGTTCAGCTCCCTCAGACAAACAAACAAAAAAACACTTGGGTGCTGGTTATTATTAATTCTGTTTCATAAAGAATAAACTGTGTTAAGTGAGTCCCTGAGGCCGTACCACAGAGGTCATACGGAATTCAAACCCAAACCCAGGGGTTATAACCAGGGGTTTTGTTTGTTTTATCTTGGGGCAACACACCCAGCTATGCTCCTGGCTCTGCACTCAGGAATTACTCCTTGGAGGTGCTTAGCCGTCTGCATGGAATGCCAGGGATCAAACCTGCTGGACTCTCGCTCCGACCCTATGTTTTAGCCACTCCGAGAAAGTTCTGGTTATGAAATGGATTCGCTAGGATTCGCTAGGATTGGCTTCTCCGGGTCTCAGTTTCTGAATCTGTGAAGTGAATGATTCGGATCCAGAGCCAAGTCCCTGTAGGAGACCTTTAGAAATTCTCCCCTTCCCCTTGCTCCCTCCTTGCGTGCAATGACCGCGTTCAACACCAGGGGGCGCTGGGGCCGGCGGGAACTGCTTACCCACGAACAGGGCCTTGGTGCGCAGCCCGCCCTGGAGCTCCCGCTGCAGCAGCAGTTCCTCCTCATCCTCCTCGTCGTCAGGCTGTGCAGCTGGGGGGCTGGGGGAGTTGGGGGCCTCAGGCTCTGGGCCCAGCTCCTCCAGCACCGAACTCTCCGACGGGTATTGGTACGTAGTCTCCAGTGCCGTCTCACTGAAGGAGATCTTGAGCTGGGAACGGGAGAGATGGGAGGAGGAGAGGTCACTAGGAGCAGGTGCAAGGTAGGGCAGGAGGGGGGACCGGCTCTGAGGTCCCCAGGAACCCTGCCTGCCCCGTTCACTCTGCCATCCAACTTTCCTTTCCGTACCGCCGGTCTGTTTTTCTTGCTTTTTGAATCACACCCACCCAGCGATGCTCAGGGGTTACTCCTGGCTCTGCACTCAGGAATTACTCCTGGCGGTGCTCAGGGGACCATATGGGATGCTGGGAATCGAACCCAGGTCGTCCGTGTGCAAGGCAAACGCCCTACCCACTCTGCTATTGCTCCAGCATTGAGAGTGTGCTTTGCAGACATGAAGGCCGGGTTCCACCAGCACCCCCTCCCCCCCAGCACTGAATGATGCCTCAGCACCAATGGGTGTGGCCCAAGGCAGCAACAAAATATGCTGCCGCTCTAAACCCCTAATTCCCCTTCAATTATATTTCAAAAACAGCAGACTTTGGCCTGAGCTTTGGCAGCGTCCCAGGTGGCAGAAAGGAGACACACAAGACCAAGTGCCTACGCTTGAAAAGAAATAAAACGACACAGGAAGAAGTCCTGGTTGCAGAATGGAACCTTTGGGTACCCTGGGAGTCATCAGGAAGGCTTCCCAGCGAGGGTGAGCTTGGAACTGACTGAGGAAGGAGTCCCAGGCAAAGGGGCTGTGCGTTGATCTCCATTGTGAAACCCCTTTCTCTGCTTGGGAAACCCAGAATTCTGGACACCAGCCCCTCCAGCTCTCTCCCTCCGCTCCTGTAGCAGATGTGGACCCCCTTGGCAAGGGGCGAAAGGAGACCCGGAGAAGCCACAGATGAAGGGCTCTCTCCTCCTGGACACAGGGGAGAAGGTGACCTGCTGAGGGAGGTGAAGGGCAGAGGGGAAAGTCCATGTAAACATAGCAGGGGTGGTGACACCGCGGGGACACGCAAAGGCAGAAAGACCAGAGGGACTTTTCAGGGGCCAGAAAGTCCTATGGAAAACCCCCAGCCCCAGACCGGGGGAACCCTGTTGTTCCCAGAGCCTGCCCACCCTTCCCACCAGTCCTCCTAAGTACTCCAGGGGGGGAAAACGCAGGTGGGATGAACTCTGGGAAGCAAAGTGATTATGGAGACACACAGGATGAGTTCACATGAACCACTCAAAAAGGATCAAAAAGGGTGATTTAGGGGCTGGAGCGATAGCACAGCGGGAAGGCGTTTGCCTTGCAAGTGGCCGACCAGGGTTCGATTCCCAGCATCCCATAGGGTCCTCTGAGCACCTCCAGGAGTAATTCCTGAGTGCAGAGCCAGGAGTAACTCATGTGCATTGCTGGTGTGACCCAAAAAGAAAAAAAACAAATAAAGGATGATTTACTCAGGGCTTTTCCAAATCTGTCCAGAAATGGGCTGTGACTCTGCAGAGCTGGATTTCCACAGGATCCTGGGGAAAGAAGAGCCAGGGTGCAGCTAGGCCATGGTTGCTTAAGTTGAATTGGTGGCAGGTGACATGCCTTGATCAGGAACCTGCCCAGAAAGCCAGAATCTAGCCAGGATGTGCAGGGTCTCCCAGCGCACCTCCCCACTCCCGTCTCCAGGCACATGGACCACTTCCTCCGGGAGTCCTGTCCCTCACAGATGCCCTTCTACCTGGAATACTCCCTGACCAGCCACTCGAACCCCTCTCATACAGTGGTCAGAGATCTTCCTCTCATCCTCCAGCCCTCGAGGTTCCAGTTATCCCATTCTAATTCCCCCCTTATTCACTTTCCGCCTTGAAACCCATCAGAACATTTACTGAACTGTTTTCCTGTGTCTGCGTTATTTAAGAACACGGAGGAAGAGACCGAGACATTCTACGGGAGTTGGATGCTCGCCTTGCACGTCGGCAACCCTGGTTTGATCTTACTGTCCCCGAGCGTGCAGGTCTGATCCCTGAATGCAGAACCTGGAATAAGCCCTGAGTACTGCCAGGTGTGACCCACCCATCCATCCCAACCCCCCCCTCAAAATGAACATGAAAGTCGTTATACTGGATAAGGTGAAGGTTCAGGCAGACCAAATTAAAGACTGGTGCTGGGGGGCTGGAGTAACAGCACAGCGGGTAGGGCATTTGCCTTGCATGAGGCCGACCCAGGTTCAATTCCCAGCATCCCATATGATCCCCCGAGCACCGCCAGGAGTAATTCCTGAGTGCATGAGCCAGGAGTAACCCTTTGCATCACCAGGTGTAACCCAAAAAAGCAATAAATAAATAAACAAATAAAGGTTGGTAGGCTGAAGCGATAGCACAGTGGGTAGGTCGTTTGCCTTGCATGCAGCTGGCCCAGGTTCAATTCCTCCGTCCCTCTTGGAGAGCCCAGCAAGCTACTGAGAGTATCCTGCCCGCACGACAAAGCCTGGCAAGCTCCCCGTGGCATATTCGATATGCCAAACACAGTAACAACAAGTCTCACAATGGAGATGTTACTGGGTCCGCTCGAGCAAATCGATGAGCAACGGGAGGACAGTGCTACAGGCTACAGTGCTACCGTACTGGGTGAACAATGTGGGGAGGGCCAGTCCAGGCTCAACAGTCCCCCCCCTCCCACCCCAAATACAATCTGTCTATGGCACGGCTCATAGAATCCAGTGGCAGTGACCAGACTTTTTGCAGCCCGGATTCTCAAAAGGGACCTATTCTGGTTCTGTTACGGCCAGATCTACCCAGACTTCTTGGGAACTTTTGGGATGGGTAACTGGCTCTGTAACTTCCTACCCGCTCTAAACAAAGATCCATTTCATCTGAACTCAATTTCTGCTGGTCTCCCCCCCTGAACTCACATCGCATCTCCCCTATACCAGCTTCTGACTGGGCTTCTCAGGAATGCAGAGTCGGCAGGGGAGGGGGGGTGAGTACAAGCGGGGTGACTCATTTGCTCCTCTCTCATCAGCTATATAAGGTCACAAGGGGGCCGGGGAGGGGAGGAGCTGGCCTCCTGCGTGCAGAGGGGCCTCTGGGGCAGGGCAACCCCCCACCCCCACCCCTGCCCCATCCAGCCCTGGGCTTCTGTCCTGATAGGATTTGTCTGATGGAATGAGCCTGCCAACCGGAGTTATGTAGGGAAGGGGGGGGGCGGGATCCCCTTCTCCCTGAGCCAGCAGGTTGTGACAGGCGACAGAGGGCATGTCCACCAGCTGGGCTAGAGCTGAAGATGGAGCCGGCCTGAATCAGGAGAAGGGCAGGTGTCGGGGCTGGACACTGGGCAGCGCTTCCCCTCTCCACCCCCACCCTGCAGCCGCTTCCTCCTTCTCTCACCACATCCTGCACAGTCCTGGCGGGCCCAGGGCTCAGCCTTCCCCACGCACCCCACCAGCCTTCCGGCCCCCACCCAGGCTTCCTGTTTGGGCGCTCTGCTTCCGGCTCGCTGCCCCCTGACCTCCACATCGTCACCATCCCCGGCCCCACTCTGCGCGCCGCCAGTCTCCGGCCTGTGCTTCGGGCCTCCCTTTCCCGTGCCTCAGTGGGAAGGGATGAATCCCTCTCATGGCTTTGTCCTCACCAACCTTCTTCCGGATCCTCAAGGGGAAGGAGAACAAGAGTGAGGCCCAGCAGGGCCCTGGGGCAGGAAGGAAGCTTCCCAAGAGGCTGACCTGGGGGACCAAGTGACCAGCCCCAGCTTCATCTGGGTCTTTGGTCCCTGTTACTTTCCCCACGCACACTGAGAACACAAAACTGGAGACTCAGGGCTGGAGCGACAGATAGCACAGTGGGTAGGGCGTTAGCCTTGCATGTGGCCGACCCGGGTTCGATTCCCAGTATCCCAGATGGTCCCTCTGAGCACCACCAGGAGTAATTCCTGAGTGCATGAGCCTGTGCCTTGCCAGGTGTGACCCAAAAAGCAAATAATAAATAAATAAATAAATAAATAAATAAACTAGAGACTCAGAGGGCCCCCAGCCCCAAGGGAAGGGCTCGCACTTTCCTCAGAGACCTGCAAGCAGGACAAGACTGGCGAATGCGGAAGGGGTCAGGCCACGGTTGTGGGGAGGAGATGGGGGGAAAGTCCATTACTGCACCCACTTCCCCTGAAGACCTCCCACTTAGCTGGCCCGGCACCCCGCCCCTGTCTCCAACTCCTTGGTACTTCCCAGCCAGTCCCTGCTTTTGGTACAAGATGTCCAAAGTCACTTCTCTTTTCTACCAAGGACAGGGGAGAGGCTAGTGCGGCAGGAAGAGGGGAACACTGATGGCTAAGCCGGCAGGAGGGGCCCCCTGGAGGGAGCCTGCCGGGAAGGGGGGCATTTGGGAAGAGGAGAAGGCGTTCTTGTCCCAGGAGAGAAGGGAGCACTGTCTGAGGCGGAGGGCCCCGGGGGGGGGTGTGCAACCCCGAGGTCACCCACTTCAAATGGCCTCTGTGTGTCTCTCCCAGGGGGCACGCTGGGGGTTCAAAAGCCTTCTCTCTGCTCGTTTTTGGCCAGACTCTCCGTGCCCTCCCCCACTGTCCAAGGCTGTCCTTTCTTGCTCTCTTTCCTGCCAGAGACCTTCTCTCACCCCCGCCCTGTCAAGAACCCCAGAACCTTCTTCTTCTTTTTTTTTCTTTTTGGGTCACACCCGACATTGCACAGGGGTTACTTCTGGGTCTGTACTCAGGAATTACTCCTGGTGGTGCTGGGGGACCATCTGGGATGCTGGAAATCGAACCCGGGTTGGCTGCATGCAAGGCAAACACCCTACCCGCTGTGCTATCGCTCCAGCCCCCAGCACCTTCTGCATCTGAGCACATTCTCATCCCTGGACCCTGCAAGTGCTCTCTGGGGTGCACAGGGTAACGCCCTCGGACACTCCAGGCTCAGGTTCCTGCCAGATGGGCTGGGCTGGGTCACTAACTCAGAGGAAAGGGAGAAAGAAGTGGGGAAACTCTGACACGGAGGGGAGGCAGATAGAGCTGCTAGGCACCCCACGCACGGTGAGGGGGAGACACCCCAGGAAAGAGAAGCAGGCTGGGCAGGTGGGACCCTCGGAGCTAGAGGAGGAGGAGGAGGAGGAGGGCCGGAGGAAGGGTGGTGGCAGGAACGCAGAATGGAGGAGACAGGGTATCAAAAACGCCAGACTGGGCTGCAGACACGCTGAAGGGGCGCCTGAGAAGTCTGGTTTGGCCGCTCCCTACCTGTTTGTGGTGCCTCTCGGGGGGCCCCTTGGCAAGGCAGCTGCGGCTGAGGCGGAGGTACCCCCCTAGAACCAAGATCTCCTCTGCAGTTGGGTACCGCTTCTTGCCGGCCCCGGGTGCGGCTGCGTCAGCTGAGGCTGGGCTGGCTGGCGAGGCAGGGGCCGTGGCGGGCACGGAACGCCGGGGGTTGACCGTGAAGGTGTGTCCGCTGCGGCGGGGGGCTCCCACCCCGGGCCCTGGCTTCACCCCATAGAACAGCCGGCTCATGAGGGCATCCCCAGGAGGCTGGGGGGCCGATGGGGGTGCGGGAGACAGAGGAGCTGCCGGTGGGGGCCGGAGCTCCCCTGCTTCCTCTTCCTGCTGCTTAGGGCCTCCAGGCCCAGCAGCCTCTGAAGGGAGGGGGGCGGGCGCAGGGCTCCGACTCTGTGGGGTGCTCAGAGGCCTGCTCTGAACCCCTGCCCCCACCTCCTCTGCCTCTTCTCTGGGGGGCCCCACATGCTTCTCGGGAGCTTCTGGTTTCTGAATCAGACTGTCCATGTCCCGGGGTGTCCATTCTCGAACCTTCCCAGAGTTCAGGGTCCATTTCCACCCCTCTGTCAGCCTCGAGCCCTTGTCACCATCCTCCACAGGGCCGGGCCTCGGCTCCGCCGCCTCCACTCGCCTAGAGGGGTGCTCCGGCCCTTCCCGCGTCGTCGTTGGGACCTCATCTGGGGGTACCCTGGCACTCTGCAGCTCGGCTCTGCTCCCGCATTCCTCCAGGCAGTCTCTGCCGGCCTCGCCCAGTCTCCGCCTCCGCTCAGGAGCCTCCAGCTGTACCAAACTTTGCTCTTGTGTTTCTCCAGAGTCTGGCCTCCGTTTATGGGCCTCCGGCAGGCCCAACTTCTGGTCGTCAAGCCCCGGGGGACTCAGTCTGTTTTCTAGGCCTTCTTTTCTCAGGGGGCTTTGTTCTTGGGGCTCTGCTGCTCTCAGGATCCTCTCCGGAGGGTCCCCAGGACTCAGCCTCCTGTAGGCCTCGGTCAACCTGGAGCTCTGGTCTCTAGCCTCTCCCGGGCTCTGCCTCCAGTCCGAAGGCTTGGGGCTCGACTCTCGAGCTCCCCCTGGCCCCAGGCCACTCTCTCTACCCCCTCTGGGAGTCGGCCTTTCTTCTCTAGGTTCTCTTCCCTTGGGGCTCTGGTCCCTCGTCTCCCCAGGGCTGGGTTTCCGCTCCGCAGGCCTCCTCTCGGCGAGTTCTTCGGCCCGCTGCTGCTGCTGCTGCCTCTCCTGCCGGATGAATCGATTCTGGTGCACAGGCCCGATGGCCTCCAGGAGTACAGCCGGCTCATCTGGGTCGGGAGGGCCAGCCTCAGTAGTCCCAGGGGCAGGGCTGGGCTCTCCAGGAGACATGCCAAGCTTGGCCCGGCGGCGTTCCAGGAGCCCCCTCTTCCAGGCTGGCATCTGGGACAGCCGCTCCCTCTCGGCCTTCTCCCGACCTCGAATAGCCGCCTCCTCCTGCCGGCGCCGGGCTAGCAGCTGGAGCTTCCAGTCAGGCATGGTGGCCATGGTGTCCCAGGGCTGAGGGTTGGGAGCACTGGAGACAGAGAACAGGAAAGAGAAGCTCAGCGAGGGCTCAGGTGGTCAGCTAGGGATGGGAAGGGAGGAAGTGTCCTACCTGGGCTGGGACACAGGGCCCAGAGGAGCTAGGGCGAGGCCTGAGGGAAACAGCCCAGAGGGGGAGGGCAGAGACAGTGGGAAACTGAGGAAGTGGATGAAGGAAAAGCTGTGGGCTGAGCTGGAGTGAGGGGAGGGGAGGGGAGGCTCAGAGCACAGGCAGGAGTCCTCATGGGGGACTGGCCCGACAGAGTTACAGGAACCCAAGACCATGTGAGGGATGTTAGCGGGGGCTCGGAGAGGGCCCAGGAGGAGAGCAGAGAGCCAGGGCTTCAGGGTCGGCCAGCTCCATCCAACCGGGTGAGAGGGAAGAGATGGGGCGGCGGGAGAAAATGAGGCGCCGGGTGGCCAGGTCCAGGCGAAGGGAAGCCGGGGCGGCAGCGGGCAGGGAGCTCGGCGGCTGCGGCCAGCGCGTCTCGGCGCGGCTCCCCGCGGGCCCGGCTCCCCGTCCAGCCCCACGCAGGTCCCGCCTCACGGCCCCCCCACCCCCCGTCCACGTCCCCCCCACTACCCCGCACTCCGCCCCAGGCCGGCCCGGGGAAATACCCTCCCGCGGGAACTCTCCGGAGCCCAGCTTCGCGGCTGCCAGCGCCTTCCCGGGATCCGGCCGTGCATCCCGCCGTCCCGCCGGCATCGGACGCCCCCCCAGCCCTCGGAGGAGGGGGCCCGTCCACGCCCGTCCACGCCTCTGGTCTCCCCGCTCAGGGAGCCCCGACAGGGCCGGCCACCGGCACCCCGCGCAGACCGCACGGACCGACAATCTCGGCACAAAGAAGAGCCGGACAGGACAGCTCGGGGTCTGGCCGCGGGGAGCCTCCCCCCTCCCCGAGTCTGAAGCCCTCCCCCCCTCTGTCAACTCACACGCCGCGGGGCTCCCGGGGGCAGGGTGCGCGGAGGAGCCTGGCGCCCGGAGAGAGGAAGAGGAGGAGAGAGGGATCGAGGGAGATCCGGAGCCGGGGGAGGGGACGAGGGAGGGGAGCCGGGGGAGGGACGGAGACAGAGACCTGGGGGCCGGGCGGGGGGCGGCGACCGCTTTGTCTGAGGACAATGGGGAGCGCGAAGGGGGCGCCGGGCCGAGCCCGGGAGGGGCGGGGCCTCGCCCCCGCGGACCCCTCGGCGCTGTCCGGCGGCTCCCTCCGCCCGGCCCCGGGGGACCCGGAGATCCAGACCCCGCAGCCCGCCCCGGCTGGGCGGCGGCCCGTGACTCAGGCCCCCGAGGGAGCGGGGAGGAAGCGCAGCTGCCGGGAGGGCCCGCCCTGCCCTGGTCCGCCGCCGCTGCTCCCCGCGCTCCGGGCGCCTTTGTTAACGGCGGGCGCGGGGCGCGGCGCTGCCCCCCCCACGCGGGACACCCCCGCCCCGCCGGCCGCAGCGGGGAGACGAGGGATGCCGGAGAGTGGCCGCCGCCCGCGGTCGCCAGAGGGCGCGGTCCCGGCCCCGGGGTCGATCCCCCGGCAGTTCTGCGGCCGGAGACGCTCGGGACCGCTTCCAAGTGTCGGGAAACCAAGCGGGAGTTTATTTGACCGCCGCGGGGGTGCCACGAACCCGACGGCATCCCATCCCGACAGAGAGGGAGAAGGATCGAAACTGGAGTTCAAGAACAAGGCTCGTGGCGGGGCGGGGAGGGGGGGCGGCACTCTAAGGAGATGCCGCTGCCCCGGCAAACTTGCCGACTGGTCCGGTTGAGTAGGGAGGTGGTGCAGAGGTAACAGGTTGCCCCCCACCCGGCCCGCCCCTCCCGGTCCGGTGACAGTAGTTCTTTCTTGCCGCTGAGAAGTGGGCCAGGGAGTGTTTAAGGCTGGATTTAGGCTGAGTGGTCCGAACAGGTCAACCCACAGCCCCTTCATTCAGTTCATCAATCTGGGCTTCTGGGCTGAAGCAGAGGCAGCACAGGACAACAAAGGACTTGGAAGTTGACGGGGACAGGAAGAACAGGGCTTGAGAGCCCGGCTGGCCGCCCCTCACTCTGCATCCCCCTCCTGGGGGCCGGAGAGCAAGTGCAGTTTTCTCTGCAGCTGAGCCCGGAGGTAGCGGAGGTCCTGCTGGTCAAGTCCGTGGGCCATGCCCAAGTAGAGGGTCAGGAGCAGTGCGAGGAGGAGGCGATCGGTGCCCAGCGTGGGCACCACCCACAGCACCGTCAGCAGCTCCACACACACTGGGTGGCGCAGGTGAGAGAAGAGTCGCAGAGCCTTGGGAGACTTCAGGGCCAGAGGCTCACCCAGTCCCAACACGTGGTAGTACACCTAAGAGAGGAAAATTCCGGGGAAGTGGAGTCAAGCCCCTTTGCAGTGCAGCCGCCTGCCTGTGTCTAACTCAGGCGCAGGAACCACCCACTGAGGTCTGGGCCTGACTCCATCTATCTCCGATTCATGAACCTTCCCCTGGTGCAGGAGAGGACACTCAAGGTTTCTGGCTTTTGAGAGAGGACTGACTAGAGAGAAGGGGAGCGAGGTAAGGGGATGGAACGGGGAAGGAGACAACATGGGAGGGGGAGGGGAAATCCTGGGAAGGGAAAGCATGGGGGGGATTTGGGGGTCTCACCTGCTTGAGCCCCATGAGCTCAGCATAGTCAAAGACCAGAAGGATGCTGAAGATCAGGAGCCAGGAGATGACGTGGAGCACGAAGCAGAAGAGGGGCAGCCAGGTGGCCCAGGGCTCTGCCTTAGCCTCCCATAACACAGGGCCTCTGGGTACCGGCTCCCAGTACCGCATTACCAGCTGCGGAAAAATGAGAGGCTGGGTGTGCTAATAGCCCATGGGGGACACAAGACTCAGAGGCTTAGAACTCGCCATCCGCCATGAATATCACCCAAATATTCCTGTTCAGAATGCCAGGAAGGGTTCCACGGATGTAAGGCTGACTGGTCTCTGACCTGAGGACTTACAAAGGGGGCGGTGGGGCAGTGACTGACCAAACAGGTACATAAAGGAGTCTTTGGCAAAGCATTCTTTGAAGACCTAGGAAGTTGTATGTTATTTTTTGTTTGTTTGCTTGTCTGCTTTTTTATTTGGGCCACGCCCTGCTGTGCTCAGGGCTTAGTCCTGGCTGTGAGCTCAGGGATCACTCCTGGTGGGGTACAGGGGCCCGTGTAGGACACCAGGGATCAATCTCAGGTTGGCTGCATGCAAGGCAAGTGTCCTACCCACTGCACTATCTCTCTAGTTCCTGAGAGACCTAGGAAGTTTTGAAAAAGACTAGTAATGGAGGGCCAGAGTGATGGTACAGAAGGCAAGGTGCTTGACTTGTACACAGCAAACTGTGGTTTGATCCCCAGCACATGTATCATCTTCCAAGTACTGCAAGGAGTAAGCCCTGAGCACAGCAGGGTGTGACTTCTAAACAATAACAACAGAGTAGAATGAGGAGTTCAGAGGGGATCTTGTTCTGTGCACCATGAACAAAGTTACAGTAGTGAGAATGCATTTGGTACTTGGGAATATCAAGTAGAATGTCCTTTTTCTTATTTTATTTTTTGCTTTTTGGGTCACACCGGCAATGCACAGGGGTTACTCCTGGCTCTGCACTTAGGAATTACCTCTAGCAATGCTCAGGGGACCATATGGGATGCTGGGATTCGAACCCGGGTTGGACGCGTGCAAGGCAAACGCCCTACCCACTGTGCTATTGCTCCAGCCCCTAGCACATCCTTCTTTATAAAAAGTTGGGTATGTGCTATGGAGAAATGGAAGCTCAGAGGGGTAGGAGTGATAGCATAGCGGGTAGGGTGTTTGCCTTGCACACGGCCAACCTGGGTTCGATCCCCTGCATTCCATATGGTCCCCCAAGCACTGCCAGGAGTAATTCCTGAGTGCATGAGCCAGGAGTAAGTAACCCCTGAGCATCATTGGGCATGACCCAAAAAAGCTAAAAAAAAAAAAGAGAGAGAAAAGAAACGGCAGCTTAGATTAAAGTCTTGAACACTCCCAGTTCTCCAAACTCCCATTTTATTAGAAGCTCCGGTCTGCACCCTCCAATCTGGCCATTCCTCCCGCAGACTCGATTTCCCTTGGGGACTTGGTTTCAGGGCCTCCTACCTGCAAAGCCAGGGCAGTGCAAGCCACATACAGTGACCTCTGAAGGACCCCAAAGTACCGGGACATCCATGCCTTTACTGTCTCAGTTGCCATGAGGCTGTGCTGGCCCACAAAGAGTAGCAGAAGCCCCAGATCCCAAGCCAGGGAAGCAAGGACACTGCCATCCTGCAGAGCGGCCAGCCAGCCTTGGCGGGTTCCTAGGGGGTATTGGAGAAAAGGACAAGGTCAAGAAAGTGGAACCGGCCTTCCCCGGGATTCTCCCCCGGGGGGGGTGGGGGGGTCCCCTAGTTCATTTCCCTAGGTGCTTTCATGATCTTTGATGCTTCCTCTTTAGGTTCTGTCCCCCTCCCCCACTCGTTCTTTACGTTTTCCCTCTGAGCTGGGGAAGGGGCGTCGAAAGTAGTCACAAAGGCGGGCGAGAAGCCAGCTGGGATGGCGCCTCCTATTTCGGGTTTCTGAACACCCCCTTTCCGTAGTCCTCTCAACTTAGTCTTCTCTGATCGTCCTGTGCCCCGCATTCGGGGCTCCCTCTCTCCCACCCCTCCAAACCGCTGATCACAGAGTCCCTACTTGAACGCTCGGGTCTCTGCAGTTTCTCGGCGGCGCCGTTCAGAGTTTCAGTTCCCTCTCCCGGCTCCCCTGTCATTTGTCTCGAAACCCCGCCTCGCTCCCCCGCCGCCAGCTCCACCTCCCCACCGCGGCCACCCGCCCCGCGTCCCTCCCGCTCACCCGGACCACCGCTCTCCGCGACCCCTCCGAGAAGCGGCCGAAGGGAGGTGAAGCGCACGAACTCCACTCCGGTCCCAAAGGCCAGGATGAAAGAGGCGACGGCAACGGGAACCAGGAGCAGCGCGGGGGCCATGGCGAGGAGAGAAGGGGTGGGGAGGGAGGAGGGTTTGGGATTCCCGCGGCCGCAGACCCCGCCCCGCCCGGGCCCCGCCCCGCAGCCAGGCTCGGCGGTGCAGGCTTGGGGCCAGCGCGCCCAGCTGCCGCGGCCTGGGTCGTGTGTTTCCCGGGCTCAGGTCTCCGAGTCACAAAGGGAAGGTTCGAATCCCCCGGGAGCGGTGAGAAGGGCACACGTGGCTCGAATCCCGGCTTTCCAGGTTTCCCGTTTAAAACGAAGCCGGTGCCTTGAGAAGTTCTCGTCCTTTTTTTTTTTTTTTCTATTTGGGTCACACCTGGCGATGCTCAGGGGTTATTCCTGGCCCTGCACTCAGGAATTACTACTGGCGGTGCTGAGGGACCATATGGGATGCTGGGAATCGAACCCGGCTCGGCCGCAGGCCGCGTGCAAGGCAAACCCCGCCTGTGCTATAGCTCCAGCCAAGCCTCTTTTCTTTGACAGCCTTGGCTAGCAAACAACCAGAATTAAAGGTTACAGACCTTGAGTTAAGAGTTTAATGATACTGAAAGAGCAGTTCTGTTGGTCCGAGTAGAGAACCAAAAGTTTCTCAGTTACCTACTATTTTTTCACCTATATAAAATTACCTCTCCCCACCCATCTTGTTCGTATGGGTGGGGCTGGAAAGTTATAGATACAGATGCAAGTAGCCGCCCTGGCTTTGATTTCAAAACCCTTTATGGTCCCCGACTCTGACACCCCAACCAGCAGTGCTGGGAGTGATCCCTTCACACAGTTCCCCAGCCCCCCCAAAGTCTCTCAGTGGTAGAATGCATGCTTTACACAAAGGCGGAACCCTGGGTTGCAAGAACACAAGTATTTCACAAGATAATACTTTTTTCTGTAACAGTTGTTGCCTTTCTATTTGCAAAGGACAGAGAACTCTGTAGTACTGGAAGAATACTAATAATCCCAAAAGCCTTTGATTTGTAATTATGTTAAAAGTAAAAATGTTGGGGGCTGAAGCAATAGTACTGCGGATAGGGCGTTTGCCTTGCAAGCAGCTGACACGGGTTCGATTCCCAGCATTGCAGAGGGTCCCCCAGGACCGCCAGGAGTAATTCCTGAGTGCAGAGCCAGAAGTAACCCCTGTGCATTGCAGGGTGTGACCCCCCGAAAAAAAAAGTAAAAATGTTAGGGGATAGTACATTTTCCTTGTAAGCAGAGACCCAGGTTCAATTCTTAGTATCCTATATCCTTGTCAGAACACTGCCAGGAATAATTCCTGAGTGCAGAGCCAGGAATAAACCCTGACCCAAAGGGAAAAAAAAGTGAAACTGTTAAAATATTTGTGAAACTTTATTATAGTTGTACTTTTATACAAGCTTATGATAAACAATTAATTTCACTCAGCTCCTCACTACTTTGACTCCACTTAACAGTCAGAAATCACCAGTAGGATAGGGGCTGGAGCGAAAGCACAGCGGGTAGGGTATTTGCCTTGCACGCGGCCAACCTGGGTCCGATTCCCAGCATCCCATATGGTCCCCCTGAGCACCACCAGGAGTAATTCCTGAGTGAAGATCCAGGAGTAACCCCTGTGCTTCGCTGGGTGTGACCCGAAAAAAAAATCACCAGTAGGAGTTATAATACAACAGGTAAGGTGCTTGCCTTGAACTAGGCTGACCTGGGTTTGATCCCCAGCACCCCAAAAGACTCCCGAAGTCACACCAGGAGTGATCCTTAGTGCAGATCCAGAAGTGAGTCTTGAGCACTTTTGGGTGTGGCACAAAAACTATAAAATTTAAGAAGAAATCAATATATTCACATGTTTTCCCTACAGAACAATTCATATTCAAATAGCTAAGTTTTTCTCCCTTATTTTTTTTTGGGGGGGGCACACTTAGTGGTGCTCAGGGTTTATTGGTTTATTCCTGGCTCTGTGCTCAGGGATCACTGTTGGAGGAGCTCAAGGAACCATTTTGGGTGCCAGGGATCAAACTCAGGTGGCTGCATGCACACGAGACGCAAACACCCTATCAGCTGTATTATCACTTTAGCCCTGTTCTCCCCTTGTATTGGTTCTGTAACTGAAACCATAGTGTCAGTACAGAGGTTAAGGTGCTCGCCTTGTACACAATCCACCCGGGATTGACATGTTTCCCTCCAATCCCCAGCGCCATCAGGAGTGATTCATGAGCCAGAAGTAAGCCCTGGGCACAGGTAGGTATGGCCCCAAAACTAAAAACCAAACGAGCATCCGGGGAAAGGGTGGCGAAACTGGGGATATTGGTCTTGGGAAATGTACACTGATGAAGGGATGGGTGTTGAAAAATTATATAACTGAAACCCAATCATGAATAACTTTGTAACTGTATCTCACTGTGATTCGATAAAAAAAACCTAAATAAATAAAAATAAAAAATAAGCAAGCCTTAGCTGAGGACAGAATCTATAGTCACAGTTACCAGAATCACCACTGAAGCCTTAGATACCATTAATTTAATTACCTCAATTTATAGAAAGAAAAAACATAAACTGAGAGAGCTAAATTTCGCCTGATGAGAATTAAAGAGCTATAAGCCAGCGGGCTCAGGGATAAGAACATTATCAGGCGCCATCCCACAGGCTGTACATTCCTTCTTTCTGGAACTGAGTTCACCAGCCCTCCTTTGAAAGGAAGCTATTGTGTACTCTACCACAGTTTTTTTTTCTCTCCCAGTCACTCTCCACCCTGTTCCAGAAAGTTGTTCAAAATGAAATATGAAGATCATAACTTTTTTTTTCTTTTTGGGTCACACCCGGCAATGCACAGGGGCTACTCCTGGCTCTGCACTCAGGAATTACTCCTGGCAATGCTCGAATCACAACTTCTTTTGCTGTTGTTTTTGAGTCACACCTGGTGGTGTTTGTGGTACACTGGACAACTTCTTCCCACTGAAAATTAAGAGACAGGAAAGAATGGATTTAGGACAAAGTGAAATTTTTTAATTGGAGACAGAAGCAAGCAGGACAGCAGAAAGACCCCAAGCACATTGGGAGGAGGCTTCCACATGAAACTCCAGCAAAGGGGTTTATTCCCTCTCTTCTATATTTTTTCTAATGAAGTGAGCACACACTTCTTAGTTTTCTCATGAAGTTTAGTTGTAATAGCATAACTGTAGGGTAATTCTGCTCAATTTGTCATACAAATTGTCTCTCAGGATTGTACAGTGGTTGTACAGTGGTTAGGATATAATCCCTGGCATCTCATATCCCTGAAGCACTCCAGGAGTAATCCCTGAGCACAGAGCCAGAAGTAAAATTTGAGAAACATTGGGTGTGACACCCAAACAAAAAATTGTCACTCAGGAGTTGTCACTAAGTATACTTAGGGTTTCTGACCTCAGGCTAGGCAGAATGGCTACCATCTGGCATATAAATCTGTACTGCCTTTCCAGACTGGACCTTGTAACATCCATCCTACTTCCAAGATCCCTTTCTCTTTCTCTTTAACCCATCATATCCTTTCTCTTATTCAAGGCCTATTCCTAGTTGTATGTGGGGACCATGGGGTGCCAGTATCAAATCAGCGTAGGCTGTATATAAGGCAAGTTCCTTACCTGCTGTCCTATCTCTCTGACTCCTACATCACATCTTCTACTGCTTTCTTCTTTCAATGTTGTTTTTGGGCTATACCTGGTAATGCTCAGGAATTAATTCTGACTCTGTATTCACGGATCATTCCTGGCAGGGCTTGGGGGACCCTGTGGAGTAGCAGGGATTGAACTTGGTACAAGGCAAGCATGGGCACTATTACTGATCGATCACCCCAGCCCTGAAAATAAACTACTGTAAAGTGAACAATTCAGCTTTCAGACATCATCAGCAAAGTGGTGGTGGATTGGAATATTGAAAATTTGGTACAACTTGTAAGCAACGCCTGGCCAGGGAAAGCATTATTGGATGTATGATGGCCATTAATACTGCCTTACCAGACATGCTGGTGCTGATCCTATCCACAGTGACCTCACACATGGGACTCAAGAAGCTGCTTAGCAGAGACAAGAACCAGGTCAACTTTGTGTGCTTGTATCTGTGATAAACCTATATGTTCTAAGGTCAAGCTCTTTGTGCTGAATACTAAATCAGCTTAATTAAGGTCATTGTTTAAAAGGTTAGTAGGAGAATCACTTACAAACGAGGTAGGTCTCTGTTTTTTTGTTTTGGGAGCCACACCCTGTGGTACTCAGGGAATCTAGCTGTGTGCAAGTCAGTGCATAGCTAATGTGAAAGTCAAGAGCCTTAACTTGTGTCAGGAGACAGCGCATGTGTAGGCCTCTGTAAAGTTGACAGGGAAACCCAATAAAGTGGGTGGTTGCCTTTGTGTGGTCGCTAAAGATTGTGGCAGAGTTTTGGGCTAGGGATGTCATCAGGGAATACCAGAAATGCAAAAATGAACAAAAAAAGGTCCTTAGAAAAATAAGTGGGACTGAAGAAGATAGTACATTTGCCTTATACACAGGTGACCAGAATTTAAGCACCAACACTACATTTGGTCCCCTGAGCCCTGCCAGGAATGATGTTTGAGGACAGAACTAGCTATTAAGTCCTGACACTGTGAGGTGTGACCCCAAATACAAAAAAAAAAAAAAGCAAAGAGCACAATCCAAAGGGATTTGCACGTTTGGGATTTTTTTTTTGAAGGAGGGCACTCCCAATTGCTCAGGTATCTCTGACAGTGCTCAGGGGACCATATTGGGTGGTGTCAGAGATCAAACCAGGGTCAGCCATGTGCAAGGTAAGCACTTTACTCACTGTATTATATTGCTCAGTCCCTCCAACAACGAACTTCTAAGTGTAAGAAATGTGGGGCAGGCTGGAGCAACAGAACAGTGGTTAGGGTGTTTGCCTTGCATGTGGCCCACCCGGGTTCAATATCCGGCATCCCATATGATCCCTTGGGCACCACTAGGAATTATTCCTGAGTGCAGAGCCAGGAGAAACCCCTGAGCATCCCTGGGTGTGACCCAAAAAGCAAAAAAAAAAAAAAGTGGGCCAGTGAAACAGTCCAATGTGCTTCCCATGCACATTACTGATCATGGTTCAATCCCTGGCACTGGGTGTGGTTTTCAGCATCATTCACTGACCCCTGAACAGAGCCAGGAATAACCCTAAGCACCACTGGATGTGGTCCAACTCTCCCACACCCCCCAATAAAAGGAAAAAAGAAATGTTACATTAAGGAGGGTGGAGAGATAATAACAGGGGTTAAGGCGCTTGTCTTGCTTGCAGCCAATCCCAGTTCATCCCTCAAGTAACACCGTAAGATACCCTTGAGCAGTCAGTAGTAGTTCCTGATCATCTCTGGGTATCATCCCACTCATTAAAAAAAAAAAGTGGGGGTACTGAAGGATAAGGCACTTGCCTTAGACACAACCTACTCATTTTGATCCCTGGCACCCTATTTAGTTCCCAAGCCCTGCCAAGAATGATCCCTGAGCACAGAGACTTGAGCAAGTCTCTTGAGCAAGGTGTGGCCCAAAAACAAGGGGAAAAGAAAAAAAGGAAATGAAAGAAAAATAAGTGTTATATTAGGGTCAAGGACTGGAGCTCAGTGGCAGCATTGGATCCTAGCAGCACTACGCCTTGTTTGACTCCAGCACAGAACAGTGCAGTGCAATCAAGTGTATGGCCCCTGGACATCACAACAATGACAACTATAAAGGGGGCAGGAAGTAAAGAAATGGAGAGATAGCTGAGCACCTTTTACATTCTGGAGGCCCGGGTTTGATTTCCATCAAGCATGATCCTCAGAGAGCAGGGCCAGGAGTAGTACTTGAGTACTGCTGGGTGTGACCCCACCGCCCCTCGAAGTTACATTTGAAAAAAAGACACCATAAGAATAGAGTGAATATTTATTTCTCAGAAAGGCTTGAACTTAAGCTCTAATTTTATAAATAATATAAAAGCATGAAAGTGCAGCGACTTGTTCAAAGGCGAAGCTAAGGGACACTTCTAACATGACAGGATCAGAAAAGTTCAGAAACATTGCAGAACTCAACCCTCGAACTTTGTCACTTCAGGCATTTCTTCAAGTTTCTGATGCTAAAACTGTTCTCACTGTCTTACAAAGGATGAGAAAGTATCACAGTGAGGAAAGAGGAAGAGAGACAACATGTGTGTCAGGAAGCAGTAAGACATTGATTCAGCTAAATCTGAGCTGACTACAGATATTCAAACATAGGGTTGGGCACTGAAGAGAATCTCACTTTAAATCTCCTTATCTTTGTGGACCCATAATCTTTTTTGGTGCTGCCATGTTTCCAGACAAATCAGATTAGTACACCTCAATCCTCTCTTAGCACCCTAACCTCTTTCTTCCAAATATTTTCTATTGGTATGGGAGGAGGGTACTGGAGATACAGATTCAGGTGGATGCCTTTTCCAAAGCAGAGAAGATGAAGGCCTCTGGCTTGACTTCTTGTTTCAACACCCCAGTCAAAAGGAACTCAGGTGAGAGGATGGGAAGTCCAACTCGCAGTGGAACGGAGCACCGATGGAAGTCCTGGGAGCATGTGATCACAACTCTCTGAGGCTGGAGAAGGATACAACAAAGGCAAAGTCAAGAGCGAAAAAGAATCCAAGAAGTAAGTTCTCGATCCACCTATCATTCTTAAGCATTTCGCTATGAAGCTATATGAAGTATAAGCAATTGTCACAGACAGTCACAGTCCTCCCGCTGTTCATCGATTTTCTCAAGCGGGCCCAGTAACATCTCGATCATGAGACTTGTTACTGTGTTTGGCATATCGAGTACATCACGGGCAGCTTGCCAGGCTTTGCCGTGCAGGCGAGATACTCTCAGTAGCTTGCCGGGCTCTCCCAGAGGGGTGGAGGAATTGAACTCGCGTCGGCCATGTTGGCTGCGTGCAAGGCAAAAGCCCTACCCGCTGTGCTATTGCTCCAGCCCCTGTGCTATCGCTCCATTAAAAATAAGCAATTGATTGTAAAATAATTTGTAAATTAATTTTTATTATTTCTCTCTTGTTTCTTTGGCCATATGCAGTGGTGCTCATGAGTAACTCCAGGTGGTGTTTATGAGATTATATGTGGTAATGGGGACACAAATGGGTTGGCAGGATGCAAGGCAAGTACCTTCACACATACACTAGATACCTATATAGTACAGGTGCTACTATATACCTATACTATATAGATACCTATACTATTTCTTTGGCTCTTAATAATTAAACCTGTAAAATTAATTACAATTTGGCAGAGTACATGTTTACATGTATGAGGCCTTAGATTTAATTCCCAGCCATTCCCCTTTCCCTTCGCAGCAAATTTACAGGATATGTAAAGAACCAAACAGGTGGGGCTAGAGCAATAGCACAGCGGGTAGGGCATTTGCCTTGCATGTGACCAAACCCGGGTTCGATTCCCAGCATCCCATATGGTCCCCTGCCAGGGGTAATTCCTGAGTTCAGAGCCAGAAGTAACCCCTGTCCACTGTACATCACCAAGTATGACCCAAAAAGCAGAAAAAAAAAAAAGAGCACAAATAGGTAAGATAGTTGACATGTCAGGTGACAAAACAGAAAAATTCAAACTATGCAACATTCTGTTTTTGGGGGTGGGTTGGGGTGACCACAACCACCTATGAGTAGGGCTTACTTCTGCCTCTGTGCTGCTGGGGACTGAACCTGGATCAACCATGTGCAAAACAAGCATTTAACGCACTCTTCTATTGTCGGAACCCAAACTGTGGGACATTCTAAAGGACAATAACCTGGTTTCTGTAGGAGTAAATGACATAAAAAATACTGGCAGGCTAGGGTGATATGCTGGAGTAAAAGAGAACTTAGATGGGGCTGGAGAGGAGACTGGAGCGATAGTGCTGTGGGTTGGGCGCTTGTCTTGCATGTGGCAAACCAGGGTTCCATGCTTGACATCCTATATGGTCTCTCAAGCGCCATCAGGAGCTATTCCTGAATGTATAGCCCCTTAGCACCACTGGATGTGACCCAAAAACAAAAACGTTTAAAAAATGGGGCTGGAGAGATCAGAAAGTAGATTAATAAAAAATGAAAAAATGACCAAAATCTATTGTTAGTTTTTCTAGGGATCCCTAATATCACTGTGGTTACATAATGTATGCTTTTTTTCAGATATGATTTTGTTGGTGTAATTTTTGGAAACACCTGGTGTGCTCAGGACTTACTGTTGACTCTGTTCTGTGGTTAAGGGATCATTCCTGGGCTGCCAGGGATTGAATTTGCATTTGGGTTGGCTGTGTGGAAGGCAAGAACCCTACCCACTGTACTATTTTTTTTAGCACCATATATATATATATATATATATATATTTTTTTTTTTTTTAAATTTTAGTCTTTTTGGGTCACACCTGGCAATGCTTAAGAGTTACTCCTGGCTCTCCACTCAGGAATCACTCTGGGCGGTGCTTGGGGGACCATATGGTATTCTGGGAATCAAACCCGGGTTGGCCACATGCAAGGCAAACGCCTTACCCACTGTACTATTGGCCATATATGTATTTTTTTTTTTGCAGGGGGAGGGTTTTGGGCCATTCAGTGATGCTCAGGAATTACTCCTGGCTCTGTGCTCAGGGATCACTTCTGAAGGTACACATAGGGCTCTTTATGGGGGACTGTGGATCAAACCCCAGTCAGTTGTGTGCAAGGTAAGCACCCTATCTGCTGTACTATTGCTCTTGCTCATATATATATATATATATATATATATACACACATATATATATGTGTGTATATATTTATATTTTTGAGTATGTAGGAACAAATGTTTGTACTTTCCTTTGAAATACTTTCCTAAAAGGGGTTGGAGAATTAGTACAGGAGGTAATACATGCAACCAAGCTAGTTCGAATTCCCAGTGCCACATATAGTCTTCCAAGCACCATCATGCGCCATTTCCTGAACACAGAGCTAGGAATAGCCCCTGAGCACTGCTGGGTATTGCCCAACAGAAATGAAACAAAAACAAAAAAATAGGCTGGAGAGATTGTGCAACATGCTGAGGCCAGCATTCCACCTGCAACACCACAAATGCCCCCAAGCACTACTGGGAATGACAACAGCACAAAGCTGGGAATAGCTCCTGAGTACCACCAGGTGTGGACCCAAAACCAATGAATGAGAAATTATTTTTTTCTAAGTAAATGATAAATTTAAAAAGCACACATAAACAAAAACTTCAGAACAGGAAAAATGAAAGAATGATCCAGAGACATAACTCAATGTACATGGTACGCATACAGGAGGCCTAGATTGACCCCCAGAACACATGGTAGTTGTGGGTATAGTCCCTGAGCACCACAAGGTATGGTCTCAAACAAAACAATAAATCAGAAAAATGGGACCAGAGAAATAACAGTGGATAGGGTGCTTGCCTTGCATGCAGATGACTCAGGTTTAATCCCCAGCATCCCATATCATATGGTCCCCCAAGCCCACCAGGAATAATTCCTGGGTTCAGAGCCAAAAGTAACCCCTGAACAGGCAGGATATGCCCCATTCCCCCCGCCACCCCAGCCCCCCAAAAAAAAATTCAGAAAAAGTAATCAAACAAAATTTAGATTTTTTTTTTTCCGGTCCACATTCAGCAATACTCAGGGGATTACTTCTGGCTCTGCACTCAGGAATTACTCCTGGGGGTGCTCAAGGGATCATATGGTATGCCAAAGATCAAACACAGGTTGGCTGCATGCAAGGCAAATGTCCTACCCACTGTACTATATCCCCGACGCCCATAATCTAGATTAATTTGTTGAACTTGATTGGTACAGGGAAGTTCACTGCAGTTCTTCTTCCTTTTGAAACTTATAAAAACACAAATTAAGTCCAGTTGCTATCAGTAGATCCCTTCAATCCTCTTGCCTTCTATATATAGAACAGGCGCTCCCTTTACTTAACCCTGTGTGCCCATCTTTATCTATCTTGTCCTCCAGCCTTGTCCCATTCCAGCTGCCTCACCAACTCCAGCACCTGCTGCTCCTACCTTATAGGCCCGGGGCATGCTGGTCAGGAGAGTGCCCCCGCAACAGCTGATGATCTCTCCCATCTCAGCTGGCGGCGGCTGGACCCCAGGGGTCACATGAATCTCATAGCCCTAAGAAGAAGCAAAGAAACAGGAGATTTAAGATGGGGACAGTTAGGAGGCCCCAGGAGGACTAAAGTCTGGAAGACAACCTCACCTCCAATAGCCTTCGCTCCTGAGCCCGGCTCAGGGATTCCTTAAGGCTGAAGCCAAAGTTCTTCTCATGTTCAGGATCCATCACCACATAGTCATCCGGAGGTAAGAAGCGACGAGCCTTGTGGGACTAAGGGCAGTGGCAATTAACAGTCAAGTCCGCTTCAGACTGTCCCCAGCTCCTCTGCCCAGCCATTTGTGAGATCACAGAACCTTTTTTGCTTCTAAGCCCCCTGGTTTTCTCCTTGTCTCCTACTTTTTTTGGGGGGGTCACACCCGACAATGCACAGGAGTTACTCCTGGCGGCGCTCAGGGGACCATATGGGATGCTGGGAATCGAACCCAGATCAACCACATGCAAGGCAAATGCCTTTCCTGTTGAACTATAGCTCCAGCCCCGCCTTCTATCAGTTTCTCAAACAACTGTATATGTCTCCTACCTGGTACAACCAGTCCAAGGAGAGGATAGGGATGCCCCGCCCCAGGGCACACAAAAACTTGACTGTCCGGCGAATTCGATCAGTCACCAAGTAGGAAGCTTCTGCTACTGAATTGGCCAGGCTCCCCCCCAGGTCCAGCAGCGCCCGCTTGCCACGCTCATCCACCACGCCTGTGAAGAGCACCTGTGGAGGGATTAGCCGGGCCGGTCACAGCCACCCAGGCCCTCGGAGCCCATGTTGAGAACCCCCTTGGTTTCCTCCCACGTGACCCCTGGCAAGTCGTGTGCTCTTCTCTTACTTTAGGGGCTGTGGAATCTGGGTTAGATTTGGTGCGCCGGAGACTGCGCTTCGCTCTCCCCTCTGGCTCCTCCTCAGCCTGTGCTCTCTTCCTCTTGCTTGCTTCCGGAACCACTACATCCTGGGATGAAGAGTAACTTTGGTGGGAGATTCTGAGCCACCCAATTCTTCCCCTGCTTTGAGGTCTCAGCCTTTCTCACCTCTTCCTTTCCTGGCTTCTCCGCAGTGTCTTCTTCCTCTTCCTTGAGGAATGTTATCTTCTGGGGGACTTCTCCTCTTTGGAGTCGTTTTGGAAGTGGGGATGAATCCACAATGACCAGAGGCCTCTTTTGGCTTTGGGTGGCCTTAGGCCGGGTCTCTGGGCTGTGCCCAGACCTCTGGGTCGCCTCTATCTTTTGGACCTCAGGCACATGAGTGGGTGTTTCAGGAGGCTGAGGAGAGACTGGCTCAGGTTTGGTCTGAAGGGACTTAGCCGTTTTTACAGCTCGTTTCTGGCTCCTTGAGGACTGAGGAACAGGCTCAGGAGGTACAGAGCTGACTTCATGGACAATGGTAACTGCGAGGGACCCATGTTTCCTATTGGCCCTTGCCTTCCTGCCGCAGTTGGCTTGAGGGGTGGGATTTGGGGCAGGCGACTGGGATTCAGAGGTAGCAGCGCTTACTGAAGACCTCAGCCTCTTGCCCTGACCATCCTGAGCTTTGGTCTCAGGTATGACAGACTGGTCTGTGGGAATATGTTCAAGACCAAGGAATGTGGGTTCGGGTAACTGGGAGGTCTTCACAGATGTGCCTTGAGTGGTTTGAGATAGGGGTTCAGGGATGACAGGTTGATCTGTGGAAGTGGAAGGCTGGAGCTCAGGGTTTGGGGGGCTAGCTGATTTGGGGGTTTTAATAGATCTACGTGTTCTGCCCTGAGCAATCTCCAATGGAACAAGCTGGTCTATGACGACAGTAGGCTGAATTCTGGTGGCTGGAGGAACTGGTTCAGGGGTTTTGCCTGCAGAACTTCGTGTCCTGCCCCGAGTGGTGTGAATAACGGGCTCAGGGACAACAGTGGGAGTAGAAGGTCGGTTTTCAGGGGCTACGGGGACAAATGGTATAGAGGTCTTGAGAGACTTGGATGTTCTTCCTCGAGTGGTCCAAGATGTGGGTTCAGGAGTGACAGCTTGGTCTGTGGGGGTGTAAAGCTGGTGCTCAGGGGCTGGGGGGACAACTGATTCAAGGGTCTTGTCAGAGGACCCATGTCCTTTGCTCCTAGTGACACGGACTGTCAATTCGGGGGTGACAGGCTGATTTTCACAAGCAGAAGGCTGGAGCTCAGGGGTTGTGAGGACAACTGGTTCAGGGGTCTTGACAGAGGACCTACGTGTCCTGCCCCAAGTGGTACGAGTTGTGGACTCAGAAGTGACAGACTGATCAATGGTGTGGGAAGACTGCAGCTCAGAAGCGGTGGCTATACCTGCTTCTGGAGTCTTGACAGAGGACCTAAGTGTCCTGCTCCCAGTGGCCTGAGATGTGCGTTTGGGGATGATACGCTGTTCTGTGGAAGCAGAAGGCTGAAGCTCAGGGGCAGTAGGAACACCTAGTTCAGGAGTCTTGACAGAGGACCTACGTGCCCTGCCTCTAGTGACCCGAGATGTGGTCTCAGAGCTGACTGGCTGGTCTCTAGGAGTGATATTGTGGGGTTCAAGGGCAAGTGAAGAAACCGGAGGAGTCATTCTGGGAGACTCCTGAGTCTTCACGTTGGGCTTTGTGTGGATTTTCTTCGGTTCTGAGGACAAAGGAGTCATTGGAGCTTTCTGACTCCTTTTTTGCCTAGTCCTAGGAATGGGACACTCTAATGGTGAAGGGAGAGCAAGCACGGTCTGAGGGGCAGAGTGCTTTTGGTTATGAAGGATGAGGGGCTTTTGCTGAGAAGCTGAGGATTCAGGCACTGCAGAAGGCAGGGAAATATCTGGAGATTCCTGATCATCCTGGGAAAGAAAGAAGCAAGTGAGGGAGGAAGGGCAGACTCAAAGACTAGTTCATGGCTAGGGTGGGCGTTGGCATTTTTGTGACCTCTCCCATCAGATGGGAAAGTTCTTGAGACACTTTCCACAGACCTCTCCCCCTAAGTCAACCACTTTAGCGCGCCCCATATATGGGGACTGTAAAGAAGATAGCTGGTGAAAAGAGAGAAGGGACATCAAGAAAGTGACTTTGAGTTAGAGAGACAAACTTGGGAAACAGCTGGAAAGCAGTGCTGACAGTAAAGGGCTAAAGAGCAATGAAAATGGGGGCTGGAGCCATAGCCCACATAGCTTAGCATATGCTCTGCATATGGGAGACCTGGATTCAATCTCCAGTACTGCATGGGTCCCTGATCACTGTCAGGAGCAGCCCCTGACCGCAGAATTAGGAGTAGCCACCCCAAGCACTGCTGGGTGCATTCCCCCAACCTCCGCCAAAAAAAAAAAGTGTTGAAAATGGAAGAGTGAGAATACGGGGAAAGGAGCAGAATAAGACAGGCTGAAATGGGGGCAGTGGAATGCAGAGACAATGTGTGGAGTAATGCATGATGAAGGTAGTTCTCACCCTGGATGTCTCCTCAGAGGGTGGTATCTGACAACTGAAGCGGCCTGACAAAAAGTAAAGAAAATACTGCTAAGGTCTGAGCAGTTAATTACTGGGGATTGACTGCCCCAATAGCATATAGTATACCTTGGGTACCCCTCTGCCTTCTCTTATCTCTAAGCTGCTGCCTATGGTTCCTGCATCTGAATGGCTCCCAGAAGCTACCAGGGATGAAGCAAGCCCCTGAAAGTCCCTGATCCCCACTCCAGGTCCTGCTGTGGTACTGGAGACCTGACAGATCCTGGTTCCCGCTCCATCTCCTTTCTTGGTGGGTCTCTCTCCAATTCACCTAGGAATCTTGACTTTTTTTTTTTTTGCGGGGGGGGGGTCACATCCAGCGATGCACAGGGGTTACTCCTGCTCTGCACTCAGGAATTACCCCTGGTGGTGCTCAGGGGACCATATGGGATCCTGGGAATCAAACCTGGGTCGGCTGTGTACAAGGCAAACACCCTACCCGCTGTACTATCGCTCCAGCCCTGGAATCTTGACTTTTGAACTCACCTGGCTCCTGCTTTCACCCTAGGACTCCCTAGTTTTCACTTCTCTTGCAAGAGCATAATGCTCTCTCTGGTACTTTCTTGACTGTCTAAATTTCTACCTTCAGATACTTCATACCCTTTTCAGCATGAACATTTTTCTCCTTCGGATCAAACTCCTGTCTTTGAGGTTCTCCAGCTGTGTCTAACCTGTGTTCTTTCTCCCACATTACAGCTCTACCTCCTGCTCCCCTCCCTCTATCCCAGTGGTAGTTTCTTATTTGCCAAGAGCCCTTCCTCAGATGTTGTTCTCTCTACTGTTTCTCTTGTTATACCCAAGTCTTCTTCCACAGTTTGCATTCCTCTGTCTTCAATCTCCCATGGCTGTTTGGGAACTGGACTCTCAGGATGTTGGTCCTGTGGTGCTACTCCAGGTAAAGAGAGGCAAGATCCAGTGTCCTCAGGGAAGGCTGTAGCAGGCTGGCTCTCAGGGGTCTCAGACTCTCTTGAACAGAATGGCTGTGTAGCCAAGACCTCCCATGACTCATCCAGGGCACCTGAAGAGAGAGTGAAAGGTAGAAAAGGTCATAGGTAGGGGTTGGAGCAATAGCACAGGGGTAGGGCCTTTGCCTTGCACGCAGTTGACCCGGATTCGATTCCCAGCACCCCATATGATCCCCGAGCACCGCCAGGAGCAATTCCTGAATGCAGAGCCAGGAATAACCCTTGTGCATCACCGGGTGTGACCCAAAAAGAAAAAAAAAAGAAAAAGAAAAGGTCATAGGTAGAAAAGAGTTAAAAAAAAAGAGGTAGGAAAGGTTTATGGTGCTGGAGAGATTATATAGCAGATAGGGCATTTAGATTTCTGGCACCGCACATGGTGCCCCAAGTCCTGTCAGCAGAGTTAGGAGTAAGCACTACTGGATGGTTTGACCCCCAAACAAAATAAAACAAAAGGAGGAAGACTCTTATAATAAATGTTTGTCTCAATACCCAGAAAGACAGTACTTTTAGCCTGAAGAGATAGTAGAGGGGTTAAGACACCAACCCTGCATTTGGTTCATTCCTGGTGCCCAGATGAGTTCCTGAGCACCACCAGAAGTGAACACTGAGCAAAGAGCCAGGAGAAGCCCCTGAGCACCACTAGGTATGGCTCAAAAAATCCAAAATCTCTTATCCCTCAAAGGCCATACCTTTATACAAAGCTCTCATGGTAGCCTCTTTAAAATGATGCTAAAATATTGCAAACCACAATGCCCAAGAGAGGAGAGAGAGAGAGAGAGAGAGAGAGAGAGGAGGGAGGGGGAAGGAGAGAGGGAGAGTGGGAGAGAAGAAAAGAGGAAGAGAGGGATAGAGGAAGAAAGGAAGAGAGGAGAGAGGAAGAGAGAGAGAGAGAGAGAGAAGACAAGTGCCTGCCATAGAGGCAGGCAGGGGGTGGGAGAGTGATGGGAGGGAACCTGGGAACAAGGGTGGAGGATAGATATTGGAATACTGTATGATTGAAACCTAATCATTAACAGCTTCGTAAGGGTCTACCTCACAGTGATTCAATTAAAAAGTAAAATATAAATAAATAAAATAAAATGATGCTAGCAGATCAGGGTGATAGTACAGTGGGAAAAAGAGTTTGCCTTGAATATGGCCAACCTGGGTTTCATCCCTGGCATCCCATACATTCTCCCAGGCCTGCCAGGAATGATCACTGAGTGCAGAGACAGGAGTAATTCCTGAGCATCACCAGGTGTGGCCCCAAAACAAAAACAAAACATAATGATGCTAGACTGGTTGCCCTGTAGGTCTGACTTAATATGGAAATTTTTTCCGGATGAGACAAAGGCACATCAACAAAACAGTTGAAGGAAAAAGGTTGGAGATGTGAGTCAGTGCATGTGTTGAATACATGAGATCTAGGTTCAATCTCTGAAACCACAAAACTAGAAAACTGTTTGTCTTTTGGGGCCAGAGAAATCACTCAACAGGCTGAATGTAGTCTCTTCATGTGGGAGGCTTAGGTTTGATCCCTGGTACCACATGATCCCTTCAGCACTGCTGGCTGTGGTCCAAAAACAAACAATAACACAAGAGAGATGTGCAGAGGAAAGAAAACAAGGAAAGGTGCCAAATAAAGGCACAGAGGAATGGAGAGTTGTTTATACCTTGGGCCGGCATGCTGCAACAGGAAGGTCCAGGTTCATGGGGTAGCAGGTAGGCCTGAGTGGCTTCATCCTCCATGCTCTGTTCTGCTGCGAAAGGAAAGATGACCTCAGTCCTCAGCGACCCATTCCCCACCTCATCGGGACCATCTGTCCGATCTCATGGCTCTCACTGGCACCTGTAGCCACATGACATGACTGTCCTCACCTTCCACACTCTGAGTTTCGACCTTCACAAAGCACTGGGTAGCCTGCAAGTCTAGGTCTTCAGAATCTGGTGAAGGTGAAACACAGAATAGATAATAAGCAACCACAAATAACTCATAAATCTTTATTTCACCTCTACTATTTTCTCATTCCCAAACTCAATGCGAAGAACTTTTTGTATCCTACCAAAATTCAAATGTCCTATCGAGAGATGGGGGCCTCTGCAAGATGATTAAATTGTGAGGGGGGAGTTCATGAATGAACTTAGTGCCCTTGTGAAAAAGACTCCAAGTTCTTTGTGTCCTTCTACCATTTGAGGACAGTGAGAAGGCACTGCCTCTGAAAAAGGAAGCAGGCTCTCACCAGATCATAAATCTGCCTACACCTTGATCTTGGACTTGCCAGTTTCTGGAACTGTGAGGAAAAAAAATGGCTATTTACCAGTCATCTAGTCTATGGTAAGTTTTGGTATCACAAAGATGGATACAATTTTTTCTAGGGTCCAAGGGAGGAAGGGCAGTAGCACATACCATCATGGCTGTCTCCTGAGTCCTTGATTCTGTGGGCCTGGTGTTTCTCCTTTTCTAGGGGGCTCTGGGCTTCCTCTCTCAGTGGCTGAGTGGGTTTTTCCCATGGAATACCTTTGTCCACCACCAGATCTGTTGGGTTCTCCCCTGAGATAGGGCAAGAGTCCTCCTTCACTTGTACCACAGGTGACCCACCCTGAGCCTCGGTCTCCAGTTCCTTCTTTGGCTCAAGGAGAACCACAGCACACTCTGTCCCAAGGTGGCTCTTGCTTACATCTGCCACTGCTGAGGATACTAAGGATGTGCCCTTTTCTGCATGTGCCCCACAGACGCTAGCAGTGGACTGGGATGTTTCTGGATGCACTCCAGGCAGTTTTCTTGGATCCTCTTCTGCTTCCACATTTCTTTGATTTGTCCACACCACGGGTACCTGATACTTTTTCTCCACCTGTTTGCTGATGACCTCTGTGGCAGAGGCTTGGTTTCCCTCCAACTGGACCCCAGCAGAGCTGATATCTACCTTTCTATCACTGTCCCCAAGAGGAGATTGGTGCTTTTCTGGATGTGCCTTGTCTGGGTGACCCTTAGAGACAGTTCTTCCTTTCTTTTTCACAGGAATTCCCTTCTCCTCCATGTCTGTGTGACTGCCCCTCCTAGTGGAGGTTTGGTTTTGTTCTAGAAGACCCACAGGTTGGGCACTGCTCCCTTCTGTGTCTGGACTTCCGCTGCATTTAATGGCAAGGCTCTCTTTGGTTTCCTCTTTCAGGGATACCAAAGGGGGAGCTACTGAGATTTCTTCCTTGTCATCCTTCTCGTTGTCAATCTCCATGGAGCCTAGGCTTCTCTCCAGAGGAGCAGGCAGTGGGGCCTTGCTCTCCTCCACATCTGTGTCACTATCACTTGGATTCTCCTGCCGATGTGTCAAGTCTGGTGCCCCAGAACTGTTTGTGCCTACTCCATAGATGACCAGCCTCTGTTTCAAAGGAGCAACTGCGGGGGTTGCCGGGATCCCTTCTTCTTCCACATCAGTATCACTGTCCATGAAACCAGAAGAACGGATCATTTCCAAATGGTCTCCAGCAAGCCGACCTGTGGATATGCTCTTGTCATCCACATCCGTGTCACTGTCCTCGTCAGCAGCTTGGCTCTTCTCCCCACCAGGATCACTCTCAGCTTTGCTGTCATGGTTCTTTTTCTTCACTGCACATGGATCCTTTGCAATCTGGGACTCAGCTGCGGTTCCATCAGTTTTTGGTTCTGTCTCTGCAATGGCATCTCTTCTGGCAATGAAGGAGTCCCCTCCTGAAACTGGTGGCTTAATTTCTTCATCTGTGTCACTGTCCAGGTTGAAGACAAAAGGTGGCCCAGGACCATCCGGGGCAGGCAACCCTCCCTCTTCATCACTGAGAAGAGAACAGCAGAGAAAGAGTCAAAAGAATCTATTTTCCACCTCTGCACTGGTGGAGGGTTTGGGTGTTTGATCATTGTGTAATTGTAACTCAAACATGAAAGCTTGTAACTGTATCTCAGGTTGATTCAATTAAAAAAAAAGAATCTCTTTTTCTGTAAGGACACTCAATTGGCTGTGAGCTCTTAAGGGGCAGACACAGAATTTTTATATATATTTTTTGGTATCTCCAGTAATTAGTTTTCCACCTAGCATTTCAAGAGTGTGCAATAAAAACTCAGACACTGCTGGGTGCAGCCCCAAAGCAAATAACAAACAAACAAAAATTCAACCAAGCAAATACTTAACAGATGGGAGGACCGGGGTTCTACGCCCAGCACTGCATAATCCTCTGAACACGACGGGGGTTGGTGCCCAAACACAAGCTAAGTAAATAAATAATTCAGCTGAGTCGTTAAAGAGTATGTGCAGCCCCCACTTTCACAATGATGCTCTCTAGAGATGGCTTCTCCTTTTGAAGATTCAAGACATTTGGCCCTTTGGCACTCACCTCTCTGGAACTACTGTCGTCAAAGGGGAAGATGTGGTTTTTGGTTCTTCAAAAGTAGGATCTGTCAAAAACAGAAAGGAGTAAGTTAATTTACCATCCCATCTCCTCACTCCCAACACACTGAATACATAGACTTACCTACTTCCTCCTCTGAGTCCTCAGCCAACAGGAGTTCCTGGGGTTGAGCTCCCTGAACTCTCGGTGTCTGCTCCACAGTTAAAGGGCCCCGGCAAACAAACGGCTTGGGGATAGCCAGGCGATAATACTGGCAGGGCAAGTCACCAAAGAGAATCAACTCCTGGTCCCTCAGACGATGACTCATTCCATGTTTTAAGACTTTTGGAGGTCTCAGAATCTGAGTACCATTGAGGCTCCCACAATCTCGGAGGATAGGTGCCTTGTCACAGGCCAAGATTTCAATCACTGCATGTTGTTTGGAGATGGATGAGAAGGGCAGGGCCACAGCGCAATCAGGCATTCGACCTACCACATTCTTCCCCAGGTAGAGTGGGAAATCTAAAGAATAGAAAGGGAAAGAGATTCTCAGACCAGAGGCCTGGCCTACTATTAGAAAGCTGCTTCTATTAAGTTACATGCTATTCACTAAAGACCCCCCTCTCCCATACACACACATTTGGAAAACAAAAACGCCATAGGACACCTAGGAAGTGAAGATCATATACAACATATTATTACTCAGTCAATACTCAAGCAATCTGGGAAATGTGTACCTAATAAATGAAATGTATTTTGGGGGGCTTTTGGCCCACACCCAGCAGAGGTCGAGCTTACTCCTGGTCCTGCACTCAGGGATCACTCCTGGCAGAGCTCCGGGGACAATATCTGGTGTCAGAAATCGAACCCAGGTCAGTTTCATGCAAGGTAAGCACCTTAGCCATTGTGCACCAACCCTACCTCTACACTGGATTTTTATCTGTTGTGGCAAACTATATAGAAAATTTCCCTTGAGCAGGAGCAATAGTAGAGCGGATAGTAGGGTGTTTGCCTTGCACATGGCCAACCCAGGTTAAATCCCCAGCACTGCATACAATTTCCTGAGTCCCAGCAGGAGTGATCCCTGAACACAGAGTAGGAATAAACAGTTGAGGGTGCCCCCTCTCCTCTAAAAAAGTATCCAGAGTTGAAGCTGCAATAGTGGGTAGGATGCTCACCTTGCATACTGCCAACCTGGATTTGATCCTTGGTATCACATATTGTTCCCTAGCCTGCCAGTAATAATAATAATATTGTAATAATAATAATAGTAATAATAATAATAATAGTAATAATAGCCTGTGCCATGAGCACAGAAACGGGAGTTAAATCCTGAGCACCACCAGGTATAGCCCAAGCCAAAAAAAAAAAAAAAAACCAAAAAAAGTGTCCAATTCAGTGGTACTAAATACATTCACATAGTTATGCAACGATTGACATAATATATTTTTGCCCCGAGAAGCTCAGGGGTTACTTCTGGCAGTTCCCAGGGCGACCTTATGGGATGCTGGGTATTAGACCTAGGTTGGCCACAAATGCCCTACTCATTGTACTATTGCTCCAGCCCTATATTTTTAGACCTCACTAGAGTTTTGCTTTTTCTTTTCTTTTTTTTCTGTTTTGCAGGGCACATGCCAGATGGTATTGGTAGATGAGTTCCTGGGATCAAACCTGGGCCTCTGCATGTAAAGAATGCACTCACCCCTTTGAGCCATCTCTCTGGCCCACATACTAGATTTTTATTTGAATCTCTTCATTTTCTACAAAAGTAAAATTACCCACATTCACTTCTGGATAGTCATATGTAACTATCAACTTAATCAGTCTTCTCATCTCCATTCCCGATAATTTCCCCCAAGATGTCCTTCAAACATTTACAAGGTTCTTGCAACCCTCCAACTATCTCCCCACACACATTTGTAGTCTAGACCAGTACTTCAGCATGCAATACAAACTGACCTTTTTCTGGTGCTTGGGGACTGCTGAAGAAACGTAGTCTCCCTACAGGTTCCAAGCTATGCCCCAGAGGTTCACTGGGTTCTTCTGTTTCCTCCTCTTCCTCAAGGTCCCAGTTAATAACCTGGGTATCTTCCATGATCTGAGGAAAAAATATATGATTTTCACCTTTATCACTGGTGTACACACACACACACACAGACTCAGAGAGCAGATGGAGAACTGAGGGTACCTCTGGAAAGTGACGAAGCTTGATGCCTTTTTTCAGCCAAGCATTATGTTATTCTTCTGAATAAATTAAAAAATGCATTTTTATAGGCCAGAGCGATAGTACACCAGGTAGGGTGGTTACTTTGCATGCAATCAACCCAAGTTTGATCCTTGTCATCAAATATAGTCCCCCTGAGCTCACCAGGAGTGATTTCTGTGTCAGAGCTAGGAGTAACCCCTGACCACTGCCAGGGTGCACCCCCCAAAAAAAAATAATAAAATATTTGGAGGGACCTAAGGGATAGCATACAGGGTTGAGTGTCTGTTTTGCAAAAGTCTACCCAGGTTTGATTCCTGGCACCACATATGGTCCCCTAAGTTCTACAGTGAACAGATATCATAGCCAGGAGGAAGTTCTGAGTACCACTGGGTGTGGTACTCAAAACAAACAATAACAACAAATACACACACATTTGGGTGGCCTCTCCGCACAGTTAGACCCCTAGACCAGGGCTACAACTGGCAGTACAAGGAAGGTCATGTGGTGCTAGGGATTGAACCTGGGGCTTGTGCATACCAGGTATGTTACTGTACTCCAGTAGCCTTTTTGGGGTTTTTGTTTGGGGGTGACACTCAGTGGTGCTCAGGACCTGCTTCTCACCTCTGCGTGTGCTCAGCCCTTAGATCTATCTCTGCAACTCCCCCCACCATAATTAAAAAAAAAAATTCTTTTGGAGGGTCATCTCCAGTGGTACTCTGGAAGACTGGGGTCTCCTGGAAGAAATATGATCACATGATAACCTTTCAGACCACAGTGCCTAAAAGAAATAAAAGGTGGGGGAGGAGGGAGGGAGGGGGGGAGAGAATGGGGGACAGGGAGAGGGGGGAGGAAGGGGGGGAGAGGGGGAGAGAGAGAGAGAGAGAGAGAGAGTCTGTCATACACGCAGGCTGCGGTGGGGAGGAAAACGAGGGACATAGGTGGCAGGGAATGTACACTGGTGAAGGGATGAGTACTGAAACATTATACAGCTGAAACCCAATCATGAACAACTCTGTACCTGTGTATCTCACAATGATTCAATTTAAAAAAGGAAAAAAAGATATATAATGCCAAGCATACAAATACATGCAAATCTGTGTTGTGTTTATATAGTGATTTTTTTTGGGGTGAGGTGGTACAATCCATTGGTGGACTTACTCCTGGCTCTACGTTCAGAAATAACTTCTGGTAGGGCTTGGGGGACCCATTTGGGATACCAGAGATTGAATGTGGGTCAGTCACATGCAAAGAAAGCATCTTATCTGGATACTGCACTCTTCTGGCTCCTGTGCAGAGGTTGTTTTTGTTGATGTATTTTAGTTTTTTATTTTTTGCTCTTTGGGTCACACCCGGCAAGCTCAGGGTGCTGGCTCTGGCAGTGCTTAGTAGAACATACAGGATGCCAGGGACCGAACTTGGGTCAGCCATGTACAAGGCAAATGCCCTATCTCTACTATCACTCCAGCCCCTATAATGAGGTTTTGAGAAGTACTGCTAGCTTAGTTTTTACAATATACACCAGTAGTTTCTATTTTTATTTTTCTTTTCTCCCGGTATTTTGGTTGTTTTGTTTTTCAGCCATGCCCAGTTGTATTCAGGGGCTATTCCTGGCTGGTTTGGGGCTGGAAGTTTAATCTCGGCAGTACTCACGACTGAACTGGGGTCACAGCTGCATATAAACCAAATTTATCTTCTGTATTACCTTCCTAGTCCCTCCATTCCCTATTTTTATTTTTAAATTTTTGGTCTTTTGAGTCACACCCAGATGTGCAGAGGGCTTACTCCTGGCTCAGGGGCTGGAGCAATACTACAGTGGATAGGGTGTTTGCTTTGCATGCGGCCGACGTGGGTTTGATCCCCAGCATCCCATATAGTCCTCCAAGCACCGCCAGAAGAAATTCCTGAGTGCAGAACCAGGTGTAAGCCCTAAGCAACGTGACCCAAAAAGACAAAAAAAAAAAAAAAGCTATCTCTTTACTCAGGAATCACTTCTGGTGGGGCTTAGGGGATCACATGTAGTACCAGGGAAAGAACTCAGATGAAATGTTTGCAAGCCAAGTATACTACCCACTGCATTATCCCTCTAGACTCCATTCTCTATTTGGGATTTTTTTTTTTGTGGGGGAGAGAGCAGGATACACCCGGCACTGCTCAGGGATCACTCCTAGTGGGCCTCAGAGGACCATATGAGCTGCTAAGGATGGAATGTAGGTCAGCCTCATGCAAGGTAAGGGCCTTACTCTCTGTACTGTCTCTCTAGTCCCCCACTATTTTTTTAAAGGCCAATTTGCAACCTACTAAATTGATTTCATTATTAACTATGGACTGCAATCACACTGTTTTATAGGAAGCAAGTTTTTACCAATATCAACTGTGTCTGAGGCATTGTGTGATGTCTGGAATAGTAGCCATACAAAAGCATTTAGGAGCTAAAAATATTACATAACCTGCTGAGTATAATACATGAGGTATATGAAAAGGACAAAAGTTAAAGTGCTTCTGGCTGAAAAGTTCTCCTTTAACACATTACCACACCATCTCAGTGTAACTGGATTAAACCAAAAAAGATTTATAAAAGTGGAGATACATAGAAGTTCGCTATTACATTATGTTGAGGGACTCAATCATCACAAGAAACGCATCACAATAAAGTATAAACTTCCATTTCTCAGGCAAAGAAACTTCAGCACTGATGGTTAAGAAACTTGTCCAGAGGCTGGAGCCATAGTACAGTTGGGAGGGCACTTGTCTTGCACACAGCCAACCCAGGTTGGATCCCCCCAGCAGAGCCAGGAGTAACCCTGTGTATTGCCCCGGTGTAACTCAAACCCCTCTCCCATCACCCCACCCCCACACCAAAAAAAAAGGGGGGGGGGAGAAACTTATCGCAGGGGCTGAAACAATTTGCATACACCTGACTGGAGTTTGAACTCTGGCAACCCATATGGACCCCAGAGCACCACCAGGATTAATTCCTGAGTACAGAGCAGAAGTAACTTCTAAACTTCGATGGACTGACCCAATAACTTAAAAAAAAAAAAAAGAAAAAAGAAAAAAAAGGAAGAAAGAAAAGAAAAAGAAACTTGTCCAAGATCGACAAGAAAATGTCTCTTTAAAATTCTTTGACTGGGCCAGAGCAATAGTACAGCACAGTACATCGGAGAGGGCTTGCATGCAGCCAACTTGGGTTCGATCCCCAGCATCCCACATGGTCCCCTGAGCACCGCCAAGAGTATCTCCCGAGTGCAGAGCCAGGAGTAAGGCTTGAGTATTGCCGGGTGTGACTGAAAAAGCAGAAAATAAAATTCTTTGATGGTAGGGTGCTGAAGTGTACAGCGGGTAGGGCGTCTGCCTTGCACGAGACTGACCTGGGTTCGACTTCTCCTCACCACATATCGTTGTTTCCCCCACGCAGCGTACCGACTGTTAGGAGTGATCCCTGAGATCAGAGCCAGGAGTTCGTCCCAAGTACCGCAGAATGTGACCCAAAAATTACACTGTAGCACTATCTTCCCGTTGTTCACGGATTTGTTCCAGCAGGCACTAGTAACGTCTCCATTGTGAGGCTTGTTACTGTTTTTGGCATATGGAGTACGTCAGGGGTGGCTTGCCAAGCTTTACCCTGCGGGTGGAATGCTCTCGGGTAGCTTGCCGGGCTCTCTGAGAGGGGCAGAGGAATCGAACCCGGGTCGGCCGTGTGCAAGGCAAACGCCCTATCCGCTGTGCTATCGCTCCAGTCCAACCATCTCGGTGGGACCCAAACATTAAAAAAAAAATAAAAATTTTTATCTAAAAATTTATTTTCCTCGTCGCTTTCGATGGCCAAAGGATAAAATAAACGGTACCTCCTCAGCAAGTTTCTCAACGTCAAGTCCTATAACGCATGCCCAACTCCCTCAGAGCCTACGGGGTCCAGCCTCAGGGACCTTCTCCCTGATCTCAGGATGCGATTGGCTGGAGGGCGGGGGAAGGCGCTTGCCTTAACACGTGCCCGGCACGGGGATACCCCATTGGGCCCCCAGCGCTCCGCTAGGCGCGATCCCTGAGGACAGAGCCTGAAGCCAGCCCTGAGCACAGCCGGATGTGGTCTCCAAACCCAACCGTTAAAAAGGATATCCCAGATCCCCGTTTTCTTTGCCGTCTCCCCTGGCCCTGCAACAAGTTTCCCGGCCCGTCTCCCACCTTCCCTTCACAAGGCAGTTCAAAGGTCGCTTCTTCCCCGCTTTCTGACAACCGGCAGTGAACCCGTCCCTCACGTTTCGTCCCTTAGCGCCCCTTTTCGCGGCTGCCTTCACACACGGCCGGGCTCACAGACCCGTAGAACTCGGCCTCTCCCGCTACGCTCCATCAGGCCCATTCAAGAGTGGTTAGGGCGTACCTGGGACCGTTCGAAATAGCTGGGGGACACTCAAGAATCACACAGAAAAAGTAAACCTGCCCTCCGTGAAGGTTACATCTGAGTCTACTGATGGAAAACTAAATTATGGCAGGGTTCAAACTCAAGTGACACTGGTTGGAATTGACCTGAAAATGCCCTTCCCCGCGGCTGAAACGGGGAGGCAGGCAGAGAAAGACGGACGCCCCTCAGGAGATAGAACTAAGCCCATCCTTCTGATCGGAGAGCTGAGGCAGTGCCTACGACCCTTGATTCTCCCCCGGGGCATCCCCTCCTAGGCCCAACGTTTCCTGGTGTATTCATACCTAAATTCGGGAAGGGGCGTCAAGTTAGGAGGAGTATTATAATCCGAGTGGCATAAGTCCTCATCGTCTCCGCCCAGAAGAACCTGAGGCACGCCCCTCCCGCCCGCCGGGAGAATCAAGATGGCACCCGGGGCGACGTGGGCGAGGCTCCCCCAGAACTCACCTACTTGGAGATCCCGCGCGCGCGCTACCAGTAAACCGTCGCACGACCAGCTGGCGCGAGTGAGAGGGCTGGAACCGAGCCGATTCGTTGATTGGCTTCAGCTGCCGCCTTTCACAGGCCTGCTGCACCCCGATTGGCTAAATCCCAACGCGGAGGCGGATTCAAGCGCCTCCTCCCAGGCGGGAGTCCCGCCCCCTCGCGCTCAAAGGGGCGGGGTCTCCCGGGAAGCCGAGAGCGGTTGAGCGCTGTCGTAATTATAGGGCGCCGCCGGCATACGGAATAGCGCACGTCGATTGGTCAGCTCTACAGGACGCCTCACGACTGCAACGCCCAACTTCCCGCGCAGACTTCCAAACCGCGACCACAGAGTCTGGTTGCTCGCGGCGGATAGACGGGCTCACCACAAGGGCCAGAGAGCCCTTCCTCGGTCCTCCCAGGCCTCGTGATCGCTGACTCGAGGGAAACGAAGATGGGTTGCAGTCGTGGCTGAGGGCTGCATTTTGAAGAACAGCCTGCAGGCCTTCTCGTTGAGAACTCGTCACCCTCTAATAGATTTGATTTTCCGTAGAAAGCATGAACTTCCATCCGTGAGAAGACATCCTGATGGACATTTTGCAGAAGTGAAGTGAAACTATTTCGTTCACTATCGTAAAAAAAAAATAACCGAAGTCTTTCAGGGGTAAAAGGATGAGAAGACATTTACTTTATTGTTTCATGCTAGACCTGAAAAAACAATTTCACATGTGAATTAGGAAGTTCTTTTACATTGGCTATCTTATTTCAGACCACAATTGGTAGCCTTTACCTAAGGAACTGAAGTTCTGCGAGGTTAAGTGACTTGCAGCTAATATTTCTACAGCTAAAGTAGACAAACTTAAGGAAGTTCTCTAAAGTCTGAACTCTCTCTACTACCGCAAAATAACTTCTTCCTTAGGATTCATACCCTAAAAAAATCATTGTATGTTAATATGCAGAGAGGATCTTAAAGAACTTGATGTTTCTTTAGATGTAAACGAGAGAATGTGTTGAATTTAGTTGCCTTGATAGTTAGCATATGTCCTCTTAGATAGTGATCACAATACTGTTGTTTATCTACTGTTAACGGTGACTTGTGTGAAGAGGGGAGCAGGTGCTGTAGCCTCAAGAAAACAAATGCTTCCACCTCTCTGCAGTACCCATCCCCGGCCACCAGAGGAAATGACTGACAAGTCTTTTTTCCTTTTTTTTTTTGGCCGCACCCAGTGGGGCTTAGAGGTTACCTCTACCTCTGTGCTTAGGGAATACTCCTTTAGGATTTGGGGAACCATTTAGGGTTCCAGGGATCTAGCCCGGGTAAACTACGTGCAAGGCCACATGGTACCCAGTGTACTCCTCTCCAGCCCTGGGACAGATAAGGTCTCTTAAGGGTACTTACACTGTGCCTTAAATGCACTTAATAAAGTAAACTGGTCCCAGCTACTCCAGTTCTCTGGGAATCATGGACTCAGTCTTAAGGGAGAAATTGCTCTTTTCAGAAAAAGGAAATTCATTCCACACAGACTCTAGGATCCTTGCCTTCCTCCACAGAAAAGAATTTCAGGAGGGGACCTAGTGATGAAAAGTAGTTTTTTATTTTGGGGCCACACATGGTAATACTCAAGGGTATTGATCCCCTAGAGTCTCCTGCCCCTGCACCTGACTGTCCTTGCTGGGGCCCCTTGGAGGGAGGCGAACAGAGCTCCAGCAGCCGAAGACCTCCAGAACCAGCCACCACCATTCTGAGACCACTCTCCACACGCATGAAGGTGCCAGCAGAGGAACAAAGGCATGTGGGTCCTGGGGCTGAGATCTCCAAGCCTGCTCAGATCGGGGTTGAGCATCCTCCACCCAGATACTCCATCTTCCAGTAGGCTGGGGTCATACCCGCCATCTGACCCCCAGTGTCATGTAATCCCATCAATGGCCAAGACCCAGAGACTATAAAACCCAGTTCCTAGAAGCACGCAGCCACGTTTGCGGCCGCATGACATCTTATTATCTTATTCTTACTTTGGACACCCTGGCAAATTACCAAATGTTACCTGCCCACACAGCAGAGTCTGGCAAACTCCCTGTGGTGTACCCAATATGCCAAATACCAGTAACAATGATGGGTCTTATTCTCCTAATCCTGAAAGAGCCTTGAATATGGCATTTTTTAAAATCTCAGGGCTAGGATGAATAGACGTTACTGGGGCCTGCTCGAGGCAATCGATGAACAACAGGATGATCTTGATGATCGTGATTGATCCCCTGACTGAGGGATTGAAATTGGGTTGGCTGCATGCAAGGCAAATGCCCTATCCACTGTACTGTTGGTGCGCCCTTCCCCCCTTTGAAAAGTAGTTTTTATTGAAAGAAATTACTTTCAATAAAGAGAAACGTGAGGGGATGGAGCGATAGCACAGCGAGTAGGGCGTTTGCCTTGCATGCGGCCAACTCGAGTTCGAATCCCAGCATCCCATATGGTCCCCTGAGCACCACCAGGAGTAATTCCTGAGTGCAGAACCAGGAGTAACCCCTGAGCGTTGCCGGCTGTGACCCAAAAAGCAAAAAAAAAAAAAAAAGAGAGAAACGTGAGAGTAGAGATAGAGATATGTGTTCAAGATGGTCACACTGATGGTGCGCAAGGCTTACTCCTGGCTATGAGGTTACAGCCATTTGAGCCTGGTCAACTTCCTGGCTCCCATATGCCCTGCACTCCAGTCCTTTCCCTGGCTATGCTTGGGGGATTTTAAGGAGTGCTGTGGATCAAACAAAGGTTAGACATGTACAAAACAAGCACCCTACCCGCTGTACAATCTCTCTGTCCCTCATTTTTATCAATACCTTTATATTCTTAGGTAGCTTCTCCTTTTGAGGGAGTCCATCCTTTGGGTGGTGCTTCAGTTTCTCCATCTTCAAAGAGTTCAGGATTTGCATCTCGGAGGGATGTATTCCTCATGCCTTTGGGCTACTTCAGGGCTAAGTAATTTCTTTTAAATTTTATTATTTCTCAAAAACTCATTACCAGGGCTCCCCTACCTATCTGCCTGCTAATCACTAAACTGCATCCTTCTCTCTGGGGTTTTGATCCTAGGCACCACATGCTTCCCTGGCACTTCCGGGAGTAGCCTCCAGATGCCCCTGAGGATGGATGTGTCTCCCCAAACCAAACCAAAATAAACCAAACCAACAAACCAATAAACAAAAAGAAACTCATGAATCGGAGAGATAGTATAGTGGGTAGGACTCTTGCCTTGGATGCAGGCTAATTCAGGTTTGATCCTTGGCAACCCATATGGTACCAGCACAGCCAGCAGGAATTCCTGAGTGCAGAGTCAGGAGTAACCCCTGAACATCATCTGGTGCGGCCTAAAGACTTAAGAAAAAAAAAATTTTTTTTTTTTTTGGTTAAGGATGTTTTTGTGTGTGTGATCCTGTTGCCTTGCATGCAGCTGACCCAGGTTTGATTCCTCAGTCCCTCTCTGAGAGCCCGGCAAGTTACTGAGAGTATCCTGCCCTCACACCAGAGGCTGGAAAGCTCCCCGTGGCGTATTCAATATGCCAAAAACAGTAACAAAAAGTCTCACAATGGACATGTTACTGGTGCCTGCTTGAGCAAATCGATGAACAATGGGAAGACAGTGCTACAGAGCAGTGATCCTGTAGGGATAGAACACACTTGAGAGTTGCTCTCCAGTTGAGAGCTATACTGCCACCCCTTCCCCTGATCAGGGAATGAGGTAACTATTCCTAATCATTTGAATTCACTTAGTTTCTTTCTTTGGGGGGCTGGAGAGGGGTGAAGCAAGATAGGTTTAATAGCAACATTTAGAAAGATTAAAGGGAAGAGGGAGAAGTTCATGTTCCAGAGAGAACACAGGCTTCTCTAGAGTGAAAATAGGCAAGCAAAGAAACATCAAGATGAGCAAGCAAGAAACATGTTGAAGGGGGAACATCGACTTGAAGACAAAGCATCAGTTAATTTCTTTATTTTTGGTTTTAGGGCCATACCTGAGATGCTCAGGGGATTACTCTCAGGGATATGGGGTGGAGTAGGGAACCAGGTGGAGATCCAATCTAGGCCTCTTTCACTTGCACTAGATTTTATCCCCAATCCTTAGTGATTTTATTTTATTTTTGCTTTGGGGGCCACACCAGGCAAGGTTCAGAGGATACTCCTGGCTCTGCACTCAGGAATTACTCCTGCTGGTGTTCGAAGGATTACATGGGATACCCAGGATCAAACCTGAGGCCCTGTGCAAGGCAAATGCCCGCCACGCTGTGCTATCACTCTGGCCCCTTATTGTTCGTCACCTCCCCCCTCAAATAATAAGTTTTTCCAATCCTAGTGGTTGCCCCAGGAGTTTGAACCTGGTGGACTCCCTGGCACTTGGGTCCTTTGTACTCTTTCCCTGGCCCTCCTAATTCTCACACTCTAGCTTCTGGTTTGGCAGATTAGTATCTACTGTCTCTGACTTGAACCCACCTAATTTTCTCCCATAAACCAAGTTTCCTTATTTTTTTCCCCTACTTGTTTGTTTTCCGGCCACACCCAGCGCTGCTCTGAGGGACCATATGGTATGTGAGGGATGGGATCTCGCAAGCGCCCTGCCCTTGCTGTACCAACTCTTTGACCCAGTCTTTGCTTTTCAATTCAGTACTGAGGATTTTTGAAAGTACTGCAATATAGTACTAGTTATCTTGTCAGTTAAACTACTGAACTGAAAAGTTACTGATATATCAAAAGTGTTTAAGGCCAAACTTTAAATGCACAGAAATTCTACTGTATCTCACTCCAGTTTCTGCTTGACATGCTTGATCATATTCCCAGCTGGTCTAAGGCCCAGACCTCCAAACAGATTTCTAGCTTCAACGTTCACAGCTTTAGCTTTTTGAAGCCAGTCAACATTTTTGGTGGTGGGAGGGTGATGTGGGCCACACCCGGATGTGGTCAGGACTTAATCTAGATTTCTGTGCCCAGGGATCCTCTGACGGTGGTGTGGGGCTCGTATCTCTAGGGCTTCCAACTTAATTTTTAAAATTTATCTTCTTGATCACTATAGAAAATGTGTTTGCTACAATTGTTTCTCTTTCTAAACATTCGAAAACTCCCACGGAAATCGCAGGAAAGCAATTTTCTCTCTTGAACTCTCTGGGGGTGCGGCAGATTACTGGAGTTCAAGTCCAGTAATCAGTGGTGACCAATTCAGATGCTGGCAGAGTAGGGTGCCGCATTTCCTTTTACTTTTCGCTGAGCTAAGCAGCCCAGTTTTCCTAAGAGCTACCGCAGGGAGCCTCAGGGAGTGTCCACTCGCTCTACCTGCATGCTCCCCAGAGTTCCCAATTTCAAATTCCTGAAAACAGTCTTTTTATATAAAAAGATCGCGCGCAGAGTAAAGTTAATTAATTTTGCTCAAGGACATTTTTGATGAAACAATAAAAATTCAAAAGTCCAGTACCCACCCATTCCTCCCTTCATTTTGCAGCGTGGACAACAATAGAGAACTACAACTCCCAGAGAGCACTGCGCTCAGAGGCCAATGGAAGCCGAGTACCTGACGGGCTTTGACCAATCAAGACTAGCCTCGCTAGGCTTTGTCTCCCCCTCGCTGCGCTAGGCGCGTTCTCCCGCCTCTAAGCCCGGCGCACGCGCGCCCCGCCCTGCCCGCCTTCCCTCCTGCGCCCTCCCCTCCTTTCTCCCTCTCAGAACCTTGCTGTCGCGGTGTTCGGACCTCGCTGCTCCAGCCTCCGGGGCTTCCAGCCTGAGACCAGCAACAGGGGAAAAAAATTACATAGTTTCTTGCCCCGTGTACACCTTGAGGCGAGCACAAAATTAAAATAAATTGCTACCATGAGGGAAATCGTGCACATCCAGGCCGGTCAATGTGGCAACCAGATCGGTGCCAAGGTAAGAATTTTAAAGCTTTAAAAAAAAAATTTTTGTATCTGTTGAAAAGGAAAAAAAAAATCCAGGTGTATATTATGAAGGATGGTTATGGGACGTTTGCACGCACCATCCTTGATCAGGCTTTGCCAGAAAAAGAGTTTTACTTATAAATTGCACATTTTAGCCGTTAGAATTAGTTTTTCGAAGACAGGGTTTATTCTGGGTAGTCCCATTTTGGGGAAGCTATTATTAAAAGCTTTGAAATGGCTCTTGATGCGGGAAGATTCAGTTTCCGTAAAATTTTACTGAAAGGGTATTTCCTAACGGTTCAAGTGACGGGGAGGGAGGGAGGTGTAAGAAACAAAGCGAGGTGAGGTTTTCCTTCTGCATATCTACCATGCTGTGGGTTTGGGGGGGAGGGGGCTGAGCTATCGTGAGGCAGGGGCGATCCTGGGCTGCTGCAAAAGCTGGATCCCAAGGCGGTGGCCGCGATGCGCCAGGGTGGGCTGCCTTCCCGCTCCTCTGCACAAAAGATTAGCGATCTCTGCCCGCCCGCGATCTCTGGGGGAGGACTGGCGGGTTTTCGTGGCGAGAAGACGAACGTGTGCAGGATTAACAGTCCTTTTAGCTTTTTTTAAAAAAGAACCTTTAGCCCTTGAACTGGTAAGAAAGGAAAGGGGTCCTTTTATTTAAACGGTGCCTTGAGACCGAGAAGCATGAAAACTAGCGAGGGAATGAAATTCCGAGGCGGGGGAGGGGTTGGTGAAAGGATTTTTTTTTTTTTTGGCGCGCGCAGTTACAGTGTTGCGGGGGAGGGGTGGGAGGAAGTGGCTCCGCTACTTTGTAACCGAAGGGCGGGTGCCTGCGGGGGCGGGGTCCAGCCGCCCCCAGCTAGTCGGGACAATGCGGCTCGGAAGGCGGGCGGGGCGCGCTGTCCAGGCCCCGCCCACACGCCGCGTCCCGCTTTGTCGGCGCCTCCGCGCGCGTGCGCCGCAGTCACGTGGGCGGGGCGGGCGACTGAGGCAGCCTCTGGTGCCTCTACCCGGTCCTTTGTGCGGGGCGTGGAGGGGCGGCACCCTTAGCGGCCCTCCATTTCCTTATTACTAAATCACCCGTGAGATAGACCCATGCAAAGCTGTTCATGATTAGGTTTCAGCCATAGAACGTTCCAACACCTATCCCTCCACCAGTGTACGTTTCCCATCACCAGTGTCCCCAGGTTCCCTCCCATCCCCCACTCACACCCCACCGCGGTTCTCCTTTCACTGGTCCCTACGCTTCGCTGTTACATTCAACTCTAGTCTATGTAAGAAGCGGCTTTCCCACAGGCGACTAGGGAAAGGGTGTGGCAAGCGCATAGGAGGTGCATGGGTTTAGCTACCGGGGTGTCAGAAATTCAAATGGAGGGGGAGCTAAGGAAGGTATAAATGGCCAGGTTGCAACCCATTGAGGGCGCATTGCTATATCCCAACAGTTCTGGGAAGTCATAAGTGATGAGCACGGCATCGACCCCACCGGCACCTACCATGGCGACAGCGACCTGCAGCTGGACCGCATCTCCGTGTACTACAATGAAGCCACAGGTGAGGGCAGTGACTAGGAGCCCGGGTCCCATCATGTGCAGTCTCATTTCTTATTTTTTTTCCCCCTCATTTCTGGATTTCTGTTCCATCCCTGGAAAATCTTTTGTGCTGGTTGAATGAATCCATCTTTTCCCTTTGGAGATCTCACTTGGTTTCCCAGCATCGGGATTGAAAAAAGAGCACCAAAGTCAGTTAGCTTTCGGTGCCACCTGGTGGCAGCGCCTGTTAATACAAGTTTGGGTTCCTGGCTTTACCCCAGTCCTGGTATATTACCGCATCTCCTCAATTTGCATTTTTTTTTCCTCTGTAGGTGGCAAGTATGTTCCTCGTGCGATCTTGGTGGATCTAGAACCTGGGACCATGGACTCTGTTCGCTCAGGTCCTTTTGGTCAGATTTTCAGACCAGACAACTTTGTTTTTGGTGAGTTAATCATTTTAGGTAGTATCATACTTCATTATTTGGCTATAAAGAGAGAAACAGGAATTAATGCAGGATTATTGAACTAATGCGTTTGATACACATCTGTGTTCTGAAATCCATGGTGGAGGGCAAAGGTAGTAACTCATACTTGTATAGTAAATGATAGGGGGTTTTTCACAGGCAAGGGAAGGGCAGATAGACTAAATGATAGGGAATTTTTTACAGGCAAGGGAAGGGCAGATAGACTAAATGATAGGGAATTTTTTACTGACAAGGGAAGGGCAGATAGACCTTTTTTTTAAAGGGGGTGGGCCCATACCCATTTGTGCTCTAGAATCACTTCATTTATTTTTTTTTTTTTGGCCACACCTGGCTGTGATCGGGTTTTAGTCCTGGTTTGTGCTCAGAGATCACTTCTAGCCGGCTCAGGGGACCATGTATGGCGCTGGGGATCGAACCCAGGTCAGCTATGTGCAAGGCAAGCGCTCTAGCTGCTGTACAGTCTCTACATCCCTTTGAAAACGCAAAAATGCCATGAGTTCCACACTTCAGTAATCAAGCTTTTTTCTTGACCCGTTCCAGGTCAATCTGGGGCAGGCAACAATTGGGCCAAGGGCCACTACACAGAGGGGGCAGAGCTGGTTGACTCCGTGTTGGATGTGGTACGGAAGGAGGCTGAGAGCTGTGACTGCCTGCAGGGCTTCCAGCTGACCCACTCCCTTGGCGGGGGCACGGGCTCTGGCATGGGCACCCTGCTCATCAGCAAGATCCGCGAAGAATATCCTGACCGCATCATGAACACCTTCAGCGTGGTGCCCTCACCCAAAGTGTCTGACACCGTGGTTGAGCCCTATAACGCCACCCTGTCTGTCCATCAGTTAGTTGAGAACACTGATGAGACCTACTGCATCGACAACGAGGCGCTTTACGACATCTGTTTCCGCACCCTGAAGCTGACGACACCAACTTACGGGGACCTGAACCATCTCGTCTCGGCCACCATGAGCGGTGTCACCACCTGTCTCCGCTTCCCCGGCCAGCTCAACGCTGATCTCCGCAAACTGGCGGTCAACATGGTGCCCTTCCCACGACTCCACTTCTTCATGCCCGGCTTCGCCCCTCTAACAAGCCGCGGCAGCCAGCAGTATCGGGCCCTCACCGTGCCCGAGCTCACCCAGCAGGTCTTCGATGCCAAGAACATGATGGCTGCGTGTGACCCCCGCCACGGCCGCTACCTCACCGTGGCTGCCGTGTTCCGTGGACGGATGTCCATGAAGGAGGTCGATGAGCAGATGCTGAATGTACAGAACAAGAATAGCAGCTACTTCGTGGAATGGATCCCCAACAACGTCAAGACCGCCGTCTGCGACATCCCACCCCGCGGCCTCAAGATGGCAGTGACCTTCATTGGCAACAGCACCGCCATCCAGGAGCTGTTCAAGCGCATCTCCGAGCAGTTCACGGCCATGTTCCGCCGGAAGGCCTTCCTCCACTGGTACACAGGTGAGGGCATGGACGAGATGGAGTTCACCGAGGCTGAGAGCAACATGAACGACCTCGTCTCCGAGTACCAGCAGTACCAGGATGCCACCGCCGAAGAGGAGGAGGATTTCGGTGAGGAGGCAGAAGAGGAGGCCTAAGAGCAGAGCCCCGTCGCCCCAGGCTTCTCAGTTCCCTCAGCTTTTTCCTCAACCCTGTTCCTTTCCCTCCGATTTTGCTTTTCTTGCTTCCATCTTTTTTTTTTTTCTATTTCTTTTAGGGGGAGTTCAAACACTGCCTGGCACATGATAGGCGCTCAATAAATACTTGTTGTTGAATGTCTCCTCTTTCCACTCTGGGAAACCCTGTATTTCTTTCTGGTGCCCCCTGTAATCTGTCCAGTTAATATTTTTTCCCTTCTGTTTTCAAGATAATTCTCCAAGAACTGGGTTTCATCCAGATCCTACTGTGGATCGAGCAGAAAAACCTATCTGGCCACCATTCCAAGTTCTGGTGGTAGCCAAAATGAAGAGCAAAGTCAGCTACCTCGAGAGTGTCCCTGAGGGCAGGGGTGGGGATTTCCTTTCACTGAGGTTGAGAGGCGGGGAGTGTTTCTTGGCTCTCCAGGTCCAAATTCCAAGTGACAGTATTATCTCCATTATCACTCTCCAAGCTCTGTCCTGTGCTGTTTCCACTGCCTGGGGCCTGTCCCATGGAGAATTCTTCCCTCCCATTTAAACTGTGAGCATTGATTGGATTCCTTCCCCTGGTTGGAGCAAGGAGGTCAGAAAGGGGAAGCAGATGGACCAGCCTTGGTCATTAAGTTTCTAATTTCCCATCTCTACCTTTTCTTAGAGAATCAGCCTTGCTGTATATATGTGGAAAGGTTTATACTACCACCTAATCGTTTTTGAGTCACTCCCCAGAGGGGGAAGGGATAGGAGACCCTCCCGTCTTAGGCAACATCTGACTTCTTTCCTTTCTCTTGGTTTTGTCCTACATTTCAAGTTTCTATTTTGTGTTGAACTTGCTTTTTTTCATATTGAAAAGATGACATTTCCCCACGAGCCAAAAATAAATGGGAATTGAAAAACAGGTTGCAAGACGTGTGCTCATTTAGGGAAATTTTCCTGGTGGAGGCTTGGGACACATTTTATTCTCCATAAATTGAGAATCGTGATATTAACAGACCTCTATCATAGCTTAATACTAGCGACATTTAGTGTACCTGCAACAGTACCATCCTTAGAATAACAGACCATAGGCCTTAGGTGTAGGACATGGAATAAAAATGGGGCCCAAGTAAACGGCAGTGCTCAAGTGGTTCCAGCATTTTCATCTCCCAGAAGAACTTGGAGAAATTGTCAGATGCTCAGCCCTGAATCAGAAAAGCTTTGGGCCCAGCCGTGTTCCAGCAAACTTGGAAGCCACATCTGCACCATTTCCATATTGCTGTCTATGTCAGGGTTTGATCATTCTCTGTGAGATGACTTAAAGGACTCACAGTTCCAATTTTAGGGGGCTCCTACAACCTTTATACATGTAAGGCAACTGCCTTTCTACTGTGCATACATCCCTGTCTACTATCCTAAACCAGCACAACTTAGTTCTTGGCGTTTGACCCATACTTAACTGTGCTTCGGGATCACTCCTGTCAGTGTGATGACCATGCAGGGTGCTTGGGATTAAATTTACACTGGTCATATCCTAACTGCTGTACTATCTCCCGACTCCAACATGCTTTATTAGTGAAGGGAGGCAGTAACCCTACAGTGGTGGGGTCAAAGGTTGGGCCTACTCAAGCAAAGCTCAACCCTTTATTATTCCAGCCTGTTTTTTTGCAAAGGGCCAAAGATGGTGATGTAAGCAGAACTCCAGCAGGGGCCAAGCCTTGCACATGGATTGATTTCTAAGCCAACATGCATTTTATCTCATACCTGATGTGCGCAAGGCCCACTTCTGGCTCTGCCCAGGTATGATTGCTGGTGGTGGCAAGGGGCTGTATGTGGTGCTAAGATTTAAACCTAGATGTGCTTACATGCAAGGTAAGCACTGTTCTAGCTTGCTGGACCCCACTATTGAACTTTTTTTTTTTCTTCACAATGTATGGGTACTGCTTTTCAGCCATTGATTAAGCTGATTGAATTGGGCATGAAGTTCACATTACTTTCTTTTATTCTAAGTATTTTATTTTATTTTCCCCTGTATTTATAGATTCACCGTGAGATAGTTACAAGGCTTTCATGTTTGAGCTTCAGTCATACAATCATCGAACACCCATCTCTTCACCAATGCACATTTTCCACCACCAAAATCCCCCGTATCTCCCCCCACACACACATTATTGAACTTGTTTGAGATTTTTTTTTTTGGGGGGATGGTGCGCTTGGGCCCCCTGACAGTGCTCCAGAATAACTTCTGGTAGTACTAGAGGGATCATGAGGTACCAGGGCTGGCCATGTGCAAAACAAGCACCTTATCCCTATACTATCCACCCCTCTGCTTTTCTGATTTTGGGGGGCATTCTCCAAAGCAATGCTTAAGGAGGTTCAGGGGGCCATTTCTAGACACCCTCCAATCAGGCTCTTCCAATGTTTGGGCTGAGTGATGAGTAGTTATAAGGTGCCAGGGATCAAATTCACATATGCACTCCAACCCTCTGAGTTATCTTTCCAGCCCAAGTACTATAATTTTTGAGGCAGGGGTGTTGAACTACACCTATGGTGCTACTCCTGACTCTACTCAGGAGTGACCTATGGCACTGTTCTGGGAGCCATGTGTGAGGGTTTTGGCTTTTGGCAGCATGCAAGGCCAACTACCTTTCTCTAGTTTTGAAGCCACACCTGACAGTGCTTGGGGATCCCATGGGATGTTTGGGACTGAACCCAACTTATCTTCCTGCAAGGCAAAGACTACTGCTATACTATAGCTCCAGCCCCGAAGCCAAGTGTCACCTATAAAGCCTCCTATACACTCCCAAATTCTACAACTTTTATTTTACCTTTTTCCCATTCTATTATTTATTTATTTATTTATTGGCTTTTTCGGTCACACCCGGCGATGCTCAGGGGTTACTCCTGGCTCTGCACTCAGGAATTACTCCTGACGGTGCTTGGGGGACCCTATGGGATGCTGGGAATCGAACCCGGGTCAGCCGTGTGCAAGGCAAACGCCCTACCCACTGTACTATGGCTCCAGCCCCACCTTTTTCCCATTCTAAAAAGTGCAAAAGACAGGTATGTGGGACTTGTGACTGAAAACTCTGGGTTCAACGGAACTGGGAATGGGTGATCTCCATGTTGCCCCCATGGTTCCGGCAGTCACACCACAAGCCACCTCTGGTTGGCGCCAGATAAACTCATCTATAGCCACGATCTGGAGACTCTGTCCTCTCTCACAAAAGAGCATAACATGACACAATTATAGACATGCCGCTGCACCCTGCCCCAGGCTGTTTCATTTGGGGCACCCTGGGTGGAGGGGGCAGGTGAGGCCCCTCCTTGCTTCTTGGGACTCAGCCCCCGCTGGGCAGCTGAAAATCTCCAGAACTCAACTGCTGTCATGCTCACGGCCGCTCTCTACATGCTTGGGCCGAGCCTCACCCATGAGTGAACCTATCACTGGACCACGTGACATCTCATACCTCACCACTCATACTCCAAGAGTACTGCCCCACATTTGATGGGGTTTAAAGTAGAAGGAACCAATCTTCGAGGGAAATACATTTTTTACAAGGCTGGAGCGATAGCACAGTGGATACTGTCTTCCCATCGATTCGCTTGAGTGGACACCAGTAGCGTCTCCATTGTGAGACTTGTTACTGGTTTTGGCAGATCGAATAAGTCACTGGTAGCTTGCCAGGCTCTGTCGTGTGGGTGAGATACTCTTGGTAGCTTGGTAGCCAGGCTCCCCGAGAGGGGCGGAAGAATCAAACCCAGGTCGGCCACGTGCAAGGCAAACACCCTACCTGCTGTGCTATTGCTCCAGCCCATATATATATATATATATATATATATATATATATATATATATATATATCACTTGATCACTTGACTTCCCGTTAATCGTCAATTTGCTAGAGCAGGCTCCAGTAACGTCTCCATTTGTCCCTGTCGCATGCTAGTGTAGCCCAGTGGCGTCTGTTCGTTCTAGGAACACGAAGAGCCTCAAATCGATCGTTCATGATCTTGATGAAGAAGTCTGACCATCTGATAGGTGGGCGGCCACGTGGTCTTTTGACATCCTGTGGAATCCAGTCGGTAATGGCTCTAGTCCAGCAGTCGTCTCTAAATCTCATTACGTGACCAGCCCATCTGATTTTTGATGCCTTGGCAAACAAGACAGTCTGATTCTTGATCGTCGACGGAGGTCGGAACTCCGGATTCTTTCTCTCATTTGAGTGAAACGTGATATTCCGAGCATAGCTCTTTCAATTCCTCTTTGGGAGACCCAAATAGCGTTCTCATCCTGTTTGCGTAGGGCCCAGGTCTCTGAGGCATATGTTAATGCAGGAAGAACAGTGGAATCAAAGAGATGTGCCCGGAGCCAAAGGTTCTTTGTCCTCTTAGCTATTTCTTCGCTGTTCTTGAAGGCGTTCCAAGCCGCTCTCTTCCTCCTGCGCAGCTCGGGTGCCAGGTCATTTGTCATGTTGACTTCTCGACCTAGGTACACATAACTGTTGCATTCGGAGATGGTTATTCTGTTGAGAGCAAATGGAGCGTCAGGAACGAGGCTGTTTCTCATAAACATTGCCTTCATAAGATTCAGCTGTAGTCCTACCTTTCCACACTCACGGTCAAAGTCGGCCAGCATTTGTGCCGCTTGGCTGATGTTTGGTGTTATTAGAACAATGTCATCAGCAAAGCGGAGGTGGTGTAGTTGCCGACCATCTATCTTCACTCCCATTCCTTCCCATTCCAGTCATCGCATGATGTTCTCGAGGGTGGCACTGAAGAGTTTCGGTGAAATGGTATCACCCTGCCGAACCCCTCTCTTGACATCAACGATCACTTCTTTGTAGAATGGTGAGATCCTGGTAGTGAATCCGCAATACAGCTCACAGAGAATCTTGATGTATTGAGTTTGAATGCCCTGATTGGCTAGGACTCCAATGACATATATATATATGGCTCAACCCTTAACAACATATTAGTTATCTCTTATAGAAGGGCTTAATGGCCCCAGGGTGAAGTAGAACAATCTTCACACACTCTCCTCTAAAGAAAGTTTTTTTGGAGCATTTTCAGCGGTTTATTAATAGCAAACAATACAAAATAAATTATTTTGGTTCTGATTTGGGGCAGAAGTTGGGGTTTGGGACGGAAACATCCAAAATATGGTGGTGGGAAGGTGTAATGGTGGTGGGATTTGTGGGATTATATTAAATGTAATCAAACATTGTGAACTATTTTATGAAAAAAAAAAAAAGTCCAAAAGAGCTGGCTATCTTCTAACTTTATTATTTTCTTTTTGGCTATACCCACTGATGCTCAGGGTTTACTCCTGGCTCTGTGCTCTGGAATCACTCCTGACAGGGCTTGGTAGATCATATGTGGTGCTGTGGACTTAACTTGGGTCAGCGGCATGTAAGGCAGGTGCCTTAACATATGTACTATGTTTCTGGCCCCCAGTTCTGCTTTCTTAGTTGTTCATAAGTATCAGTGCTTAGTAGTCATTGTACACAGTTGTGAACCTTCGACATTCATTAGTGTTGTTTTTTTTTTTGTGGGGGGAGGGGTTGTCTCTTTTTGGGCCACACTTGGTGGTGCTTGGACCATGTAGTGCCAATAATTGAACCTGGGCTTCCTGCATGAAAAAGATGTATGTGCTCCAGTTCCTTGAGCACATGCGTGTATGTGCTCTATCCTCATCTTTAAGAATGGATTCTGGCATAACACCCAAAAGGACAGAGAGAGTAAGAGAGGACTGTGCCTGCCACAGAGGCAGGGGATGGGGGTGTGGGGGGAGGGATACTTGGAACTTCGGTGGCAGAGAATGGGCACTGGTGGAGGGATGGGTACTTGAACACTGTTTAACTGAAACACAATCATGAAAGTTTGGAAGTCTGTAACTGTATCTCACAGTGATGCATTCAAATAAAAAAAAAAAAACAATGAATTCTGGGGCTGGAGTGATAGTACAGCGGGCAGGGCATTTGCCTTGCACATGGCCAATTCAGGTTTGATCCCCAGCCTCCCATATGGTCCCCCAAGCACCATCAGGAGTAATTCCTGAGTACAGAGCCAGGAGTAACCCCTGAGTATCACTGGGTGTGACCCAAAAAGCCAAAAAAAAAAAGAATGAATTCTGTACATTCTGATTTTAGACATTCTAATTTAATTTAAAGTTAAATAAGTTTGGGGTAGGATGGGATCATCAAAATGCTTGACAGGACCCCTGGGGGAGTGGCAGTCTTGGCAGTGTGGGGGGTCAAAAGGAGCAACCCTTCCCATCCCAGGCAAGGCACAGCTAATTTGGCAGGAGATATGGGGTGGAGACCACTCTCAACAACGCATGCTCGGAGGTCAGCTGAAGTGCATGCAATAACAGGACCATCAGGCAACTCGAACCACAGGGGTAGATGTCGGCGAAGGTCAGGCTGTTCGCAAAGGCTTGTGATTTACCTGGCAAAAAGACAAAGTACATGAACTTGGGAACCAGGAACCCTGCCCCTAATTTCCAGGAATCTTCCTGGGATCTTGAGGTTTTCTGGTGCCCATGATAGCATTTAAGTAAAAGATGGGGAGAGTTTGGGGAGAGTTTGGAACACTGTATATGAAATGCTACCATTAACAGAACTGTAAATCACAGAACCTAAATAAAGTTGGGTTTTTGTTTCTGTTTTTGGGTCACCCACTGATGATGCTCAGGGGGTATTCTCGCTCCGCACTCAGGATTTATCCCGGCGGTGCTCAGGGATGCTGAGGATCAAACCTGGGTAAGTTGCATACAATGCAAATGTCCTACCTGCTGTACTTTTGCTCTGGCCACTAAAAGATTTTCTTTTGAAAGTGAGGAGGGAGACTTGCTCCTCAGGTCCACCTTCTCCCTTAAACTCATCATTTGCTTGTCTCTGTGTTTCTTTGCTTTTTCCCCCCCTGGAGAGGCCCGTGTTCTCTCTTTTTATTTATTTATTTATTTATTTATTTATGCTTTTTGGGTCACACCTGGCGGTGCACAGGGGTTACTCCTGGCTCTACACTCAGGAATTACTCCTGGTAGCGCTCAGGGGACCATATGAGATGCTGGGAATTGAACCCGGGTCGGCTGCATGCAAGGCAAATGCCCTACCCGCTGTGCTATCACTCCAGCCCACCGTGTTCTCTCTTGAATATGTACTTCCTCCTTCCTCACACCTCACATCCAATTTTCAATACAAACTATCTTACTTTACCATAAAAAAAAAAAGCGGGGAGGGCCTGGGGCCTGCTTAGATTCTAGGTGGCTAAGGCTCCCCTTCAGGTTTCCAGAATCCAGTCTGAATGTCCCTGATAGGGTTCAATGCTTTTGTGTCTGAATTAATATACTCAGAAGCACTTAACAAGTTAGATGGCTAACTTGATATTTTTTTTGAGGGTGGGGCTATTCCTGTGGTGCTCAGAAGTAACCTTTGATGGTCCTCAAGGGACCATGTATGGTGCTGGGGGACTTGAACCAGGGTTGGCTACATGTAAGGTAAACGCTATACTATCTCTGGCCCTGGCTAACCTAATTTTAAGGTGAGAAAATAGTTAGGGAGGAGCTGATAACATGTCCAGGGTCACAGCATTCACACCAAAACTGCGTTTCTAGATCCTGCTCTGGGAGCCTCGGAATTAACTGCCACAGGCCGCCACTCGCTTCCTGAACCTGGGAGGCACAGGGTCAGAGTCAGCCTGGGTCTGAAGCCCGGCTTTGGCAGCTGTGCAGCGTAAGGCTGGTGACTGAGCAAATTTTTAGTTTTTTTGGAAACCCTACCTACCCAGGGTAGTTTAAGTAGAAAAAAAAAATTTTTTTTTTCAAAACATCCTTTGTTTGCACGCGACCGACCTGGGTTCGATTCCCAGCATCCCACATGGTCCCCTGAGCACCGCCAGGAGTAATTCCTGAATGTAATGCCAGGAGTAACCCCTGTGCATCACTGGGTGTGACCTAAAAAAAACCCCACCCTTTGTGTATATAGCACACACTACGTAAATACCAGGGCACCAGAACTGCTGGGTCCATGTGCAGGAAGGCCCAGCTCGTGCCCAGACCCTGTCCTAGATGGCCTCACCTGGGAGATGCTGATGCCCGTGAGTCTCTCTACGCTCTCTGGCAGGCGGTTCAGGATGTCCAGCACCTCTCCGGTCACTTTGGCGGCTCCCACGGCTCCACTTCCACTGGACACCAGTGTGATCTTGTTGGCAGAGGTCAGTGGCCCGCTGATCTCCTCTGCCACCTGGCGGGTGACACGCCCCCTGAATGTCTGTGGCCTGGCCTCCCCCTGAGAGTCTGAGCCTCTGTCCTCCTGCTCATTCCCCACTCACTCCTCACTGTGCTCACTCCTTCCACTCCCAACACGAATGTATGGGTGGCCCAGTTCTCCCTCACCCTCCAATCCCCAGTTCCTTCCCTCCACTCCTGGGGCCCACACAACCACAGACCTGAGGCAGTTTCTCCAGCAGCATGTCCAGCTGAGCCGCCTCTTGGTAGAGCTGGAACGCTTCCGCCTTCTTGGCCATCTGCTCAGCCTCGGCCCGGGCCCGGGCTGCGATGGCAAAGGCCTCGGCCTCCCCACGCATCTGGGCAGGGAGTGGTTACTGTACACTTAGACCGCGGCAGCAGTGAGCAAGGATTGGCAACTTAAGCAGTAAATCCCCCCTCCCTCCATAGGCCACGGGGGTGGGGGGGGGTGAGGGGGGTCTCTGAACTCACCCGCACAGACTCAGCTTCAGCCTCAGCCTGCATGATCAGTTGGGACCTGGGGAAGAAGGGAAGTGGAGGGAGGGGCTCCCATGGGTCTGGCCCCCAGGAGCAAGCAACTCCGGCATCCTCAACTCCGCAGGAGACTGGGTGGTAAAGTTCCTGCTCATCTAGAGGCCGAGGTGAACCTTCAGTGAAGGGGCCCCGAGGGGCAGGCAGGAGTCTTACCTCTCGGCCTCTGCTAGGCGCTCGAGCCGGTAGCGCTCAGCCTCCGCAGGCTTCCGCACTCGGGCCTCCAGCTCCTTCTCCCGGCGGGCGATCTCCTGCTCCTGCACTGCCACCTGCTGGGCCCGCTCCACCACCTGCACCTGTACCCGCTGCTCCTCGATCTGCTGCTTCGTCTTGGCCACCTGGGTAGGAGGCACGCCAGGTCAGCTTAAGAGCAAGCACCCAAGATCAACAGACAGAAGCCAGGCCACCTGGATGGTAAAAGCAGAGGGGCATGAAGGGGGTCCGCGGGGGGGGGGCGCACAGCCAGTCCTCTAGCAGAGTCCATTTCCCTGCACAGATCCTAGGTCTGGCCTGGGCTCTTCTCCCCGCCAATGGCACTTCCTGCACGCCAGCCACATGCAGGTGTGGACAAGAACACTGACATCTAGTCTGCATCTGATGGACTCGCCCAACAATGCAGCTCTCAGAGTGCAATCACAATACGATATGACACAGACGACTTGTCTGCACCCGATTTACTCGCCGAACAATGCAGCTCTCAGAGTGCAAACACAACACAATATCACACAGCACTGGGGGCATCTCCATCTTCACTGTTATTTACTTTTATTTTTTGGGCCACGCCCAGTGGTGCTCAGGGGTCACTCCTGGGAGTGCTTAGGGGACTACCTGGTGCTGGGGAGTAAACCTGGGACTCTCACATACAGAACATGCACTTTATTATTATTATTATTATTTGCTTTTTGGGTCACACCCGGTGATGTACAGGGCTTACTCCTGGCTCACGCACTCAGAAATTACTCCTAGGGGTGCTTGGGGGACCATATGGGATGCTGGGAATCGAACCCAGGTTGGCCACATGCAAGACAAATGCCCTAACCGCTGTGCTATCACTCTAGCCCCAACAAAACATTCACTTTAGATAATTTTCCTGGCCCCAAGCACACATATTTCTAGTTGAACAGCACAGGCCCCTGTTGTTTGTGTTCACAACACTACCCGGCTGGCTTTCTCTTCTTCAGGTTTCATTTCCTATACCATTTTCTCCCAGTGGCTCTCTGATGACATCCTGACCAAACACAGTACTTCTACATTTTGTGGGGATGGGGACACGACTTGGCAGTGCTTGGTGGTTGCTCCTGGCAGTGCTCAGGGTTTCACATGGTAAGGGTGGTCTCCTGCATACAAAGCATTCACTCCAGGCCGCTGAGCTATCTTGCCAGCTCAGTTCTTTCCCGTTAGGTTTTTATTTTTTTATTTTTTTTTGCTTTTTGGGTCACACCCGGTGATGCACAGGGGTTACTTCGGGCTCTGCACTCAGGAATTACTCCTGGTGGTGCTCGGGGGACCATATGGGATGCTGGGAATCGAACCCGGTTGGCCATGTGCAAAGCAAATGCCCTACCCATTGTGCTATTGCTCCAGCCCCTTCTTCCCCTTAGTTTTTACCCCTTTTATTTACTTCATAGAATATAAGCAAAATAATGAGATTATTTCTTTACTTACATTAGCTGTGTTCTAATGTGAGCTTCAAGATGTCTAAACTGCCTGTTAGACTTCCATCCTCCCCTCCAAAACCCTGGCACAGGATAGTCACTTATTAGATTATTTGTGGAATAAATCCTTATTTCCTTATTATCTAGCAGAGAGCCAGGCACAAAATGAGGAACTGATCTAAGTTGAGCAGAGCTCAAATCAACTTAATCTGCTCATTTGCAGACAAAGAAAGACAAAGGTTAAAGACTCTACATAGAGTCTCATGCAACCCCACCCAATCTGGTTTCTGCTGTATTAATGCTTCTCAAATTCCTACATATAAATGACAATGAATCACCCAAGGATCTTGCTTCAGGTGCAAGATTCTTGTTTCAAATTCTGAGCCTTTCAGTCAGGAAGCCTATTAGTTTTTTTTTGCTTGTTTTGGGGTCACACCAGGTAGTGCTCAGGGCCTGCTTCTGGCTTGGAACTCAGGGATCACTCCTGGCAGGGCTTGGGGGCCCATATGTGGTGATGGGGATCAAAATTGGGTTGGCCACATACAAGGCAATCATTCTACCCACTGTACTATCACTCTGTCCCCCCCTTTACATTTTTATTTATTGGTTTTGGCCACATCCGGAAAGGCTGAGGGATTGCTCCTGGCTCTCAGAAGTCATTCCTGGTGGTGCTCAGGGACCACATGAGATGCTGGGGAAGAACCCGGATTGGCCATGTTCAAGATAGCACCCTATTATTGCTCTGATCCCTGCCCACACCCTTTAAATGATGCTAGGGATCAAACCCAGGGCTTCATATGTACAAAGGATATACTTTACTCCTGAGTTATATCCCTGGTACCAAAGGATATTTTGTTTGCTTCTTTTGGTTTGGGGCCATATCTAGAGCTGTTCTTGAGGGTCACTCCCAGCACACTGCTTAGGGGACCACGTGGTGCAAGGGTTTAAACCCAATTTTCCTGCATGCAAAGCATATAATCAGCCTCTTGAGCTCTCTCTCTGGCTTCTTGGGCAGTCTTTTTTTTTTTTTTTCTTTTTGGGTCATACTCGGCGATGCTCAGGGGTCACTCCTGGCTCTGCACTCGCACTCTCAGGAATTATTTCTGGTGGTGTTCAGGGGACTATATGAGATACTGGGAATCAAATCCGAATCAGCCGCATGCAAGGCAAACGCCCTCCCCGCTATGCTATCACTCCAGCCCCTTGGGCGGTCTTTTCAAGTACTGAACACATCAAAACATACAAACAGAAAGCAAAAAAAAAAATGCAAAAAAATATGACAGTAAATGTATTGTAAAAATTGACACTACTTCTAGTGAAAGAAGACAGAACATCTTTAACTTCAGCTGGTCAGGTCACTTCTTATCTGCAGATGACCACAAAAGGTGTCAAGCACGGGCTGGTAAATTTTAGCAAGTGGGCAAGTTCTCAAATGTGGTATCTGCAAACAATGAGGATCAACATACCTCCGTATAGTATCAAAGAGCTGCCCACAAGGTTTCTTGCAGGATTCAAGCTCAAGTGCATCACAGGTCTATGAGTACCCTTCGCAGATGAATAAAAGGTCTAGCTGCTCTGTTTTCTCCCCCCACCCCCACAATCAGGTCTACGTCTTATCCATCCTTTTGCCTTTCACTACTGTTAGAACACTTTAAGAGTCAGCTACTGATCATCTGAATGGGTGGACTAGTTGCCATCATTTCACAAGTCTGACCTCCAGGTTCTCATCTTTTCTGCCCCTCTGTGTTACTACAGGGCTGCTGGGCGACTGGGGGACCACAAGGGTACACAGCACCCTGTCATTGGTTTCATGTGGCCTGTGACCAAGGAAGTCAGTAACTTAGTTCCCCCATGCCCTATGTTTCTTTTTGTGGAGGTTTAGATCATAGAGAGATTCAGAAATGTTTCCCCTTTTCAGTAAGAGATTTCTGAGGAAGTGAATGAGCGGTAAGAGATATAATCTAAAGAGGACCAATCTTTTCAAGGGGCTGGAGAGATAGTTCAAGGGGCTGAGCACATGCTTTGCAGAAAATTCAGGTTCAATGCCCAGCACTGCCTGGTCAACAGAGCACCACCAGATGTAGCCCAAAAAGAACAATATAAGGAAGACTGTTGGAAGCAAAGAAAGCCACCAATCTTCAATAAATATTTTCTCAATGCAATATTTTCCCTTCTCTTGTCCTGTTCACTATCTAAACCAGTGCTATCCATAGAATTTTTGTTAAAAATGTTCTTTCATGGGGGCCGGAGCAATAGCACAACAGGTAGGGCATTTGCCTTGCACATGGTCGACCTGGGTTTGATCCCCAGCATCCCATATGGTCCCCCAAGCACCATCAGGAGTAATTCCTGAATGCAAAGCCAGGAGTAACCCCTGAGCATCGCTGGGTGTGACACAAAAAGCAAAAAAAAAAAAAGTTCCTTCACCAAGTTGGAGCAATAGTACAATGGGCAGGGTGTTTGCTTTGCACGTGGTTGATCCGGGTTTGATCCCTGGCATCCCTGGAGCCCACCAGGAGTGATCCCTGAGAGCATAGCCAGGAGTCAGCCCTGAGCACCACTGGGTGTGGCCCCCAAACAAAATAAAACAAAAAATATTCCTTGGGAAGGCAAGAAAGATAGTATAACGGTACTTGCACAGAGCTGATGTGGGTTTAATCCTTGACACTCCATATATCAGTCTCCCAACCCGCCAGGAGTGATCCCTGAGTTCTGAGCCAGGAGTAAGTAAGCACTGAGCTTAGCATTATGTGGCCCTAAAACAAAACAAAACAAAATGAAACCAAAAGAGTTCAGTGGGCCAGAGCGATAGTACAGTGGGTAGGGGGCACTTGCCTTGCACGCAACCTACCCATGTTCAATCCCGGTACCACATATATGTTACCTTGAGCACTGTCAGGAGTAGTTCCTAAGTGCAGAGCCAACCTCTGAGCAGAGCTGGCCCTAAACCAAAATGAAACAAAAAACGAAAAAGATTTCCTTGTCTGCACTTTCCAAATGATGAACCCTATGCAGATGTTAAATTGTGCACTTGAAAGGTAGTTGAAATATATAAAGAACTGAAATTTAACTTTATCAAATTTAATTAATTTTTTATTTTTGGGTTACACCCGGCGATGCACAGGGGTACTCCTGGCTCTGCACTCAGAAATCACTCCTGGCAGTGCTCAGGGAACCATATGGGATGCTGGGAATCGAACCTGGGTCAGCTGTGTGCAAGGCAAATGCCCTACCTGCTGTGCTATCTCTCCAGCCCCAACTTTATTGAATTTTAATTAAATAAAACAGCTGGACCGGAGAGGAAGCTCAACAGGCTGGAATTCATGTTTTGCATGCTAGAAGCTGGGATCCAATTCCCAGCAGTTACCACATGAGGTCTACTCTTGGGGCCCTGCTCTGGTGTCACTTTCAGGTAAGAAACAATCTTCAAGGGCTGGAGTGATAACACAGCGGATAGGGTGTTTGCCTTGCAGGTGGCCAACCTGGGTTCGATTCCCAGCATCTCATATGGTCCCTGAGCACCATCAGGAGTAATTCCTGAGTGCACGAGCCAAGAGTAACCCCTGTGCATTGTTGGGTTTGACCCAAAAAGCAAAAAAAAAAAAAAAAAAAAGTTAAATAATAGTTTAGATGACATGGTTACAATAACATTAAAAGTATATGGAATTTATGTACAAAGTTACTGCACCTCATCACCAAGATGTCCTCCACCCCTGTCCCTATCACCTCTAGTCCCCCCCAAAAAAAGAAATGATCCTCCAAGACGCACTACTGTGAGCAACAACAGAGCACAGGACCAGGAGTAGCCCCTAAGAAATGCAAAGTGTGGTAAAAAAAAAAGGAAATGAAATAGCCACCAAGTTATTGTATTATCACAGAGCTATTAAAAGGAATCCCGATCTCTTTATTCATCTATTCTTCACCGTTCCATCAAAATTAAATCCCAGCAGATGTCAGCTGCAGGCCCAGGGAGGTAGCTCTAAGTGTCAGTATGTATCCTTTGCATGTGGAAGACTTGGGTTCAATTCTCAAAACTCTATGTTCCTCAGAACACTGCCAGGAGTTCCTGCTGAGCAATTTGCTGGGAGTAGCTCCTGAGTACCACCAATAGGCCCCAAAACAAGTTACAAATGTTTAATAAAAAATAAATAAGAGACAGTTAAACAGTATAGGAGTTAAAGCACTTACTATGTCTGTGGCCAGTCTCAATTCATATCTCTAGCCCCAATCAATGCCAAAGGTCACTCCTAGCACAGAGCCACGATTAGACCGAGCACCACTGGGTATGGCTGAAACTGTCCCTACCATCAACCCCCCCCATAACACTTTTATGTTTTTGGCTACCTTCAGGGGTACTCAGTTTACTTCTGCCTCTGTGTTCAAGGATCACTTCTGGTGGTGCTTTAGGAGACCATATGGGATGCTGGGGATTGAATCCAGGTTGGCCACATGCCAGACAAGTGCCTTATTTACCCGCTGTACTATGAATCCAACCCTTAGTATTTTTTTTTTTTGGTTTAGGTTTTTGGTCATTCCCAGCAATGCTTAGAGGTTATTACTGGCTCTGTGTTCAGGAATCACTCCTGAGCGAGCTCAGGAACCATATGGAATGCTAGGGACCAAACCCGGTCTACCACACACAAGGCGAACGCCTACCTGCTCTGGCTCCAGACTTTGATATTTTAATAAAGGAGTTACTTTGCTCTCTCTCTTCGACCCACTCTCTGAATCTCTCTCCAGCTCTTTTCCTAGACCTATATCTCCTTCTCTTCACAGACTACAGGATCAGGTCTAGGAAGCCCTTTACTACTGTCCAAGAGATGGGAGTCACGAGAGCTTGGACTGGAATGACCTGCAAGATTTTCAACCCCAAACCTTACCGAGAACCCAAAGAGGTGCATGCCCAGAAGAGGACTGAATCCTGTCCTATCAGCCACTGGAGTGAAACCGGAAACCTTGGAAAGAATGTCCACGTGGCAAGTATGACCCAAACAACCACAGCAAATCTAAGTCTTGCAAAACAATCTAGGGAAAATCAATGCAAGTTTGAAATTCCTGCGGAGAGTGGTACAGAATCATTTTTTGTAGACTATCTAAGGATGATCAGTTTATAAGACCTAAAAATAAATGCTTTATGTTACTAATGTGGTACTCATAATGGATCCAATGAATGTTTTAGTTGGTTTATAAATGGCATCCTTTGGAATGCTCAACAAATAAAGTTTCCGTTACTAATCCATCTTTGACAAGCCATACAAAGTCTATACCTTGTCTGCTACACCAATGCAAATTTCTAACAATAAATGTTATTGTCAACAACAACAAAAAATCAATAAATAAAGGAGTTACTTTAACTCCATTGACATCCCAGACTCATAGCCCAGGCCAGAATGTCCCTCTGGGCAAGCAGAGTGATAGGGGCTGGAGCAATAGTACAGTGGGTAGAGCGTTTGCCTTGCACACAGCCTATCCAAGTTTGATCCCTGGCATGACATATGGTCCCTTGAGCACTGCCAGGAGCAATTCTTGAGTACAAAGTAAGGACTAACCCCTGATCATTTCTAAGTGTGGCCCCCCAAACAAACAAAAACAAAACAAACAAACAAACAAAAGGCTTCCTGATAGAAGGCATAGGAGTGAGGTTCGGGATGAAGAGTTGGGATCCAGAGGAGCAGTACAGTGACTCAGAGAGCCTGACCCGAGAGCACTCACACAGGTTGAAATACTGGAGCCTCACATATTGGGACAGCGATCCTGGCAGCTCAGCTATCTGCCATACTGGCAATCCCATAGTTGGGTCGGAGCGATAGTGCAGCAGGTAGGGTGTTTGCCTTTTGCATGTGGCAGATCCAGGTTTGATCCCCAGCATCTCATAAGATCCCTGGAGCACTGCCAGGAGTAATTCCTGAGTGCAGAGCCAGGAGTAACCCCTGAGCATCGCTGGGTGTGACCCAAAAAAAGAACCAATAACAACAAAAAATAACCGGTGGCTGCATTTTCATTGCACGCAGCCAGCGAAAAAAGGGATCTTATTATTATTATTATTATTTTGCTTTTTTTTGCGGGAGGAGGGGTCACACTCTGCAATGCATAGGGGTTACTCCTAGCTCTTCACTCAGGAATTACTCTTGGCGGTGCTCAGGGGACAGTAATGGGAAGCTGGGAATTGAACCTGGGTCGGCTGCGTATATGGCAAACGCCCTACCCACTGTACTATCACTCCAGCCCCTGGGATCTTATTCTTTTAGCAAACAAGCAATATAAAATGAATTACTGAGGGCCTGCTATGGCAGCAGGCTTAAGGGGAGTTGGGAAAATTAGAGATAATGGTGGTGGGACTGGTGTTGGTATATTGAATGTCTGTAATAAATCATCACGAACAGCTTTGTAGACCACTGTCACTGTCACTGTCCTCCTGTTGTTCATCGATTTGCCAGTAATGTCTCCATCATAAGACTTGTTTTTACTGTGTTTTGCATATCGAATACATCACGGGTAGCTTGCCAGGCTTTGCCATGCGGGTGAGATACTCTCAGTAGCTTGCTGGGCTCTCCGAGAGGGGCAGAGGAACTGAACTCGGGTTGGCCATGTTGGCTGCGTGCAAGGCAAACGCCCTACCCGCTGTGCTATCGCTCCAGTCCTTGTCAACCACAGAGTTTACATAAGTTGTAAGGAAAAATAATTTTTTTTTAAAAAGGAGATCTTGGAGGCCAGAGAGATAGTACTGGGTTAGTAAAGGTGCTTGTCTTGCAGATGGCTGACCCTGATTTGAATCCCCTACACCACATGTGATCCCTGAGCACCACTGTGATCCCTGAGCAATGCTGGATGTGGCTTAAAAGCTAAAAAAAAGTGGCAGGGAGAAGGTATGATCACTGCTGAGTCCATCAAAAACAAAAATTCATGAACCACAAGGGCAGGAAATGTGATCTTGATGAGCATATGTGCATTACCCCAGGGACCAACTTGTGCACAAATGTTAGTACCATAGTCAAGTGTGTACAACCTGAACTCCTAGTGAGCATTGCAGGTAGAAACGTGTGAGCACCACGACCAGACATGTGTGCAACCAATCATCACAAATCAGTACCAAAAACAACCAAGAGCATGGCAGATGCGGAAGGAATAAGAACGAAGGGAGCAGAAGGACAGAATAAAAAGAATCAAGGGCTGGAGAAATAGTATAGTGTGTGGAGTGCTTGCCTTGGACACTGCTGACCTGGGTTCTTTTTTTTTTTGTGCTTCTTGGGTCACACCTGGCGATGCACAGGGGTTACTCCTGGCTCATGTATTCAGGAATTACCCCTGGCAGTGCCCGGGGGACCATATGGGATGCTGGGAATCGAACCTGGGTCAGCCGCGTGCAAGGCAAATGCCTTCCCCGCTGTGCTATCACTTCAGCCCCTGACCTGGGTTCTATCCCTGGCACTCCATATGGTCCCCCGAATCCTGCCAGGAGTGATACCATTCCTGCAGAGCCAGGAGTAAACCCTGAGCACCACTGGGTGTGGCCCAAAAGCAAAAAAAAAAAAAAAAGAAAAAGTGGGGGGCCAGTGTAGAGTTGGGGGTGGGGCTGATACAGCTGGGAGGGTGCAGGGTTTAATCCCTGACACCAGATATGGTCCCTAGAGCCCTGCCTGAGTGATCCCTGAGTGCAGAGCCAGGAGCAAGTCCTGAGCACAGGCGGGTGTGGCCCTAAAACAACAATAATAACCCAGGGCTGGGCTCATGCTTTGAATGCAAGGGGTCAGGATTTGATCCCTCACACCACTGGCTCCAGAAAATAGCCAGGAGCAACCCCCAAGCATTGCCAGATGTGACTCTCAAACCAGTAACAATAAGAACAACAACAGTCATAAGATGAAGGGCCAGAATGTTAGAGCATTTGCTCTACATGTGTGAGGTCCTTGGTTCAATCCTGGCATGAAAGAGTAACAATCAAATGCTATTTCTTCTTAAAACACACACACACACACACACACACACACACACACACACACACACACAAAGAAACCAAAACCAGTAAAAGCAAGAAGTAACACTATGAGACTGAGAAGGCTAATGAGGATGGAAGAAGTGCATGTGGCCTGGCCAGGCCTTCTGGGCTGACCTGTAGCTGGTAGGCCAGGTCAGCCTGTGCTCGGCGTGTGTTGACCTCGATGTCGTAGGTGGCCTTCTTCAGCTCATAGTCCCTCTGCGCCTTGGCCATCTCGATCTCGCTCAAGTACTGTGCAGACACTTTTTCCTGCTTGGCTTTGGCCTCCTGTCCAAGCAGACACCAGGTGAGAGTAGGGTGAGGAGGTCTAAAGGGGGGGCCCCCACTCCCCTCGACTCTCCTCACCGCACCATTCCCTCTGTCAGCTCAAGCAGCCTCCACTCCACTGTGCTCTTTCCCTCTCATCCCGTGTGTGTCCAAGAAGCCCACAGGCACCAAAGGTCCCCCCGTCTCTCACCCGGATTCCAGCATCTCTCTTGGCCTCTGCTTCCCCAATTCGAGCATCCTTTTGGACTTGAGCTGTGCGAGCCTTCCCCAAGGAGTGCAAATAGTCCTGCGGGAGAAAGGCAGAAGTCTGAGTCCCGGAGGGTTGGAGGCTTAGCGGGGCAATGCCGGGCAGACTGCGTGCAACACTGCGGGCTGGGGTGGTACAATAGCATGGAGCCTAAAACAGTATTGATACTGCCATAAATGTGCAATAAAAAGAACTGGTTAAAAAAGGAGGTGGGAACAGGGAAAGAAGCAGAGGCTAGCTCCCAGGTACCTGGTCATCGTGGATGTCCTTTAAGGTGTAGCTGACCACGCTGATGCCCATATTGACCAGGTCTGAGGAAGCCACTTTGAAAACCTGCTCTGAGAACTTCTGCCGGTCCTTATAGATTTCCTAGGATAACAGGAGGGTGGGAAGAAGGAACTCAGCAATTCAATCTAGCTGGGCACCTGGGCCCCCCTCTGCCTGGCATCCCTTAAAGCCCTTTCTGTTTGGCTTTGGATCACACCTTGGCTGTGCTTAGGGCTTACTCACGACTCTGCTTAGGGTACCATATGTGGTACCCGGAATCGTACTTGTGCAAGGCAAGTACCCTGCCCACTGTACTTTATCTCCGCCCTATTTCCAGCTCTTTCCTCCTCTCTGGCCTACCTCCACAGTCATGTGGGCCATGATGGCTCTCTGGTGGCCCTCAAGCGTCTCCAGTGCAATGTGAGCAATCTCCGCTTCGGTCTTGCCCAGGAACATCTGGCAGGCAGCTGCCAACATCTCCTTGTTCTGCCCTTGGATTTTTACCTGTGGCAGAGGGGTGGGAGATGGTGTCTCTCTCAGGGGGCCAGGGAGAAAGCAGGGAGGGGAAGGGAGGGGAGGAGTCAGGTGCCTTGGAAGGTCCCTGGAGACATGGTGAGACCAGCAGAGACATTACTGAGAAGGTCGGGTTAGATCTGCAACGCCTGGGTGACAGGGGACTTGAATTGGGAAAGGCTCAGGGAGCCTCACCTGGGCAATGCCAGTGACTGAGATGGGAACCCCGTGGCGAGTGTAAACCTTTTCACTCTTGACATTGAGGGTCAGTGTGTTGAGAGAGATCCTAGAGGGGGAAAAAAAAGGGGTGGGCAATGAGAACAAGAAGAGAGAGAAAATCAGGGATCCTCCCTTCCCTGGCTCTTGTCCCACCTACCTCTGGATTTGCTGGATGCAGGGCAGGACAAAGACACGCCCTCCAGCCACCATGACTGGGGGACTCCGGCAGAAGCCTGCAGGGAGAGGGGAGGGTGAGCAGCGGGTAGAACCCGCAGGTGGAAAACGGAAGTAAGGCAGGATGGGGAGAAACCCCCTAGCGCCCCCCCCCCCAGAGGAAACCTGGGAGATGGAAGGAATCTGAACGCGGAACGCGGTGGCGGCAGGGAATCTCTAGCGGGTAGCTCTTGCAGGCATGCGGGGCTGGGCGGGGCAGTTGACAGCTAGATAGGCAAGAAGCAAGGCCCGATTCGCAGGGGATGGGAGTGGGGGTCTCTGGCCAGGCGGAGGTCGGTACTCACCGGAGACCACCATGGCCTCATTTGGGCCGCAGGTGAAAAACATGGCTCAGATGGGAGCTGGGGGAGAGGGAAAGAAATGCCTGTGCGCTCAGGGACGGGGCGCTGCGGAGATCCCGGAGAGGAGCCCCTTTTCCCCTCGGCCCCACCCACTCTGCGGCCCCCCACGCCCTGCCTCTTGACGTCCACCAGCCCCGCTAGTCTCCCGGAGCGATCGGGCCCAGCCCCGGGCCCCGCCTTCGAGGCGGGCGGCTTGTCCTTTATCTGCTAAGGCGGGTGGTCCCCGGCCTGGCCTCTCCGCAGACCGAGCCTGGTCGCCCCTGCAAGCCACCTACCTTCCGCGACGCGGGAGGTCTCAGGCCGGGCGGGGCACGCAGGCCGCGGAGCGGGGACCGGGCACCCCCCCCTTCCCGTGCACCGCCTTCCTGGAGGCGGGGCCCCTCCCGCTCCGCCCCGCAGCGCGCTCCCCGCCCCCGCCACCCCCTTCCCGGCAGGCCCAGCCCGACTCCCCGGGGGTCCGCGCCGCCCCGTCTCCCCGCCCAGGACGCCGTGCGCTCCGCCCCGCGCGCCGGACGTGACTGCCGGGAAATTGCCTCATTGCGGCCAGGCCGGGGCGGTAACTCGCCGGAAGGGCACGGGCCGGGCATCCCCGCATCCGGCCTCCCTTGGAGGGCTGGAGGACACGCAGGGGAGCGTCCACGACCCGGAGGCTGCGGGGACCGGGCAGCCGCGTCTCGCAAAGATACGCGCACACGACTGTCAGTTCAATCGAGTTTATTTGTGTTCATAGAACATACGGGGCGACCCCACAGCCGCCCACCGACAGTCCACCGACCCGCGATTCCGCAGCCACCACTTGGGGGCGTCTTCGAGGGGCTCCATGGACAGGACCTTGTTCCCCAGTGATCCGCCGAAGCCTCACGCAGTGTATCGGCGGAACTGAGATCTGAGTGTCACCTCCCCCAAACCCAAGACCCGCCACCGAACTTTTTTTCTCCCGGACCCTGGTCCTTTCCCTCCACCCATCCCACAAAAGCTCAATAAATACCACGTAATCTTCATGAGCAGAGGGGGACACATCTGGCACCCTTGCATAAGTTAAAATAAATATTACATACACCCCTCCGTCACCTAGGGGATGTGCATAAATACACATAAATATTAGGAGCTATGAGAAATAAATTAATGCCGCTGTCTTCGCACCCCGGCGGCCCTCTGGTTCGCACTCGGGCACCGGCTGTATGTAGTGTTGGCTGAACTCGAGTTGCCCCGGCGTTCCAGCGCGGGATACGCTTGCGCGCACCGGGCACACTGGTTTTCAGATTCTTTTCGGGGAGGTATGAGGAGTCTCTGTTAGAAGGCGGCCGGGTGCTGCTGGAGTAAAGCGCTGAGGTCTACAGAGTAGTCTGAGGGCTCTGAAGTCAGGTTAAAAGACTCGATGACTGGGGGCGCTGGGGTGGGCGCTGGGGACACGGTGCTGGGGGCGTCTTCCCCGGCCAGCGTCACCGGGACACCCTCTTCGGCCATGAGGATCTGGCAGAAGACAACAGCGAGCAGGATAAAGAGAAGCCGTTTGGCAGGGTTGGGATCCTCGACGGGCAGCTGGCGCCGGACCTGCGGGGAAACAAGGGAAGAAACAGGTGAGTTCGGGTCCCCGGAGTCCGGGCCTGTCCCTCGCCCTCCCCCGACCGCGCGCTCGGGATGACACTCACCACCCGTGGGTAGAGGACCCTGCGGCTGCGCTTTCGGTGCGCGCGCGAGATGCTGGGACGCGCGGCGGGGGCCACGGCCCGCTCCGGGAGAGGGTCGAAGGTGAAGATCTCGGGGCCCGAGCCCCGTCGAGGTGCCGGGCTGTTGGCGGGGACGGGGGTCGGTGATGGCAGCACGGTCATGGTCGGGAAGGAGCTGCGAGAGTGACACATGATGAACGCAGCAGTGGAAGCGAATGAAGCGGGGGATGCCCGGCGCAGCTAGTTAAGTGGCGGGAGGTGGGCGGGCCCTGCTCCGCTCCACCCCCGACGGGGCGCGCCGGGCCCGGAGCCCGCGGGAAATTCCGGAGACGGAGCCCAGGGAGGGGGTGGAAGCTTGGTCTGTGCCACCCGCGCCCCCCACTCCCCCCGGTGGGTATTGTGAGGACGTGCCCAGAAGACCGTCCAGACGCTAGCCCCGTGCTAAGACAAGGGCAAGCGGGACGGGGCCCTAACAAGTTCAGCACCCAGCGCCCACGCATAGGCACACTTGTAGATGCGAGTAGAAACGCATCTGGAGAGGGAAGTCGTTAAACGAAGAGCCACGAAGACTAAGGAAATGCTGGCGCTCAGCTTCTTAAACTTTTTCCGCTCACGACCCCCTTGCATCCAAGAAATGCAACACAGGCAAATATGGTCAGGAACATCTCGAGTCCAGCATCTGATTGAGTTTGAATTAATTTAATTTTTGGTCCTTGTAGTGGTCAGAACCTCTTACTGCTGCCAATTTTTTTCTTGGCTCCCTCCACCCCCTTTCAATTCTGCGACCCCCATGTTGGGTAACATCCCACAGTTTAATGAGCTAGACTCTAACCCTTGACTGCGTTAGCACAGAGGAAAGCAGGAGAGCAGGAGAGAGAGTAAGAGAGAGAGAGAGAGAGAGAGAGAGAGAGAGAGAGAGAGAGAGAGAGAGAGAGAGAGAATACAAGCACAAAGGTGCTGAGACTACACAGGGAGTGTCCAGTCAAATCATACATACTTGGAGGCTGCTACAGAAGTTCATGAAATACAAAATAAGAATTTAGCCCCCAGATTTGTTTCTTTGTTCCCTGTGGCAGAGATCAAATAAAATATATGTGAAGCACCTTTTTTTTTTTTGCTTGTTTTGGTCACATGGATGATGCTCAGGGGTTACTCCTGGCTCTGCACTCAGGAATCTCTCCTGGCAGTGTTCAGAGGACCATATGGGATGCCAGGGGCTCGAACTTGGGTCAGCCGTGTGCAAGGCAATGCCCTGCCCGCTGTACTATTGCTTCGGCCCTGTGAAGCACTTTTTACCCTGTGATCCAGAGGAATAAGACAGAATTAATCCATCTTCCTATGGCAGCTGAACACACACACACTAACATCTCTGGAATATTCAGCAGTACCAGGCACCCTGTGCAACATACTGTGAACAGGACAAGGACAGTCCTGAGGCTGGCTTCAGCGAGGGTGCTGATGAGTGACATAGATACAGAGGATCTTCAGCCTAAGGACTCACTGCTGGTATGGCGAGGCGACCACTGACAAGACACTCTTTATTTTATTTATTTTTTGCTTTTTGGGTCACACCTGGCGATGCACAGGGGTTACTCCTGGCTGTGCACTTATGAGTTATTCCTGGTGGTGCTCAGGGGACCATATGGGATGCAGGAAATCGATCCAGGACGGCCGCGTGCAAGGCAAATGCCCTACCTGCTGTGCTATCTCTCCAGCCCTGACAGGACACTCTTTAAAGATGCTTAAAAAATTTAACAGGTGTTAAGCATGATCCAAAAGAGCTAGTGTTCATATCTGCCTAATCAGTTAAGCAAGACTTAATGAAAGAAAGATTTTTAAGATGACCTTGAGCCCTGGGTGAGATTTTCTCAGTCAGCTGTGGAAGATGACTATGAGAAAGAGAATGGAATCAGCAAGGACCTTGAGCTGGAAAAGTACAGGATGTGTCTGGGGAATCATTTCCGCCTCCCCCTCCCCCCCCAAAAAAAACCCCATAAAAAAACAAATAACAATCTTAAAGAAAGTTTCCTGTAAAGTAGTAGTGGGAATTAATAATGGCTGGAAGGGATTTGGGCATAATCTGGGAAAAGCTGGCAAAGTCAGGAAGTCGGGTTTTTCTCATACTGTGGAATTTGTGGGTCATGAGATGACATGAAAGAGGCAGTTCAGGTTGTAAGTGAGAGAGGCAGAATACTTAGTGTATTCTGGGTACGGACACAAAGACAAGGGCAGGAGGCAGCTGAGATTCAGTGGATGGCAGATGACAGCCTGAGAAAGTCCACAGTTGGAGAACTAAGAGGAGAACAGCTGGGGCTGTAGCCATAGCACAGTGGATAGGATGTTTTCCTTGCACATGGCTGACCCGGGTTCGATTCCCAGCATCCTATATATGGTCCCCCGAGCACCACCAGGAGTAATTCCTGAGTGCAGAGCCAGGAGTAACCCCTGTTCATCACCGGGTGTGACCCAAAAAGTGAAAAAAAAAAAGAGGAGAACAGCTTAGAGATGTTCCTCACATCAGGTTTTAGAATTTAACAGTGAGACGGGGATCATGAATCAGGGAGCATGGACAGTGGGGTGCTGACAGCAAGTGCATGAAGGAATCAAAGCTTATTTCAGGCCTTTGAAAGGCCTCTGGCACGCATCTTGACCCCAGAGTGCTATGCCTGGTACACATGGTGAACACGTATCTGATATCTTTCAGAATCTTCCAACATCTCCTACTCCTTCCCTTTATGTAGTTTGCTTGTTGTGTAGGTGTACTGGGAACAGCAAACTTTGTTGTGCTGGGGTCTCAGATGGCAGGGCTTCCTATAGCATCGCATGCGGGGTGGTGCCGGCAATAGAACTTGAAGCCTCATATTCTCGACCTTTCTCTAATTTACATCTTTAGAACAGCTCAGACAGTTCATAAAAAGAAAACAAACAAAAAACGCCTGAAGCTTTTTTTTTTTTTTTTTTGCTTTTTGGGTCACACCTGGTGATGCACAGGGGTTACTCTTGAACTCAGGAATTACCCCAGGCGGTGCTCAGGGGACCATATGGAATGCTGGGAACCGAACCTGGGTTGGCTGCGTGCAAGGCAAATGCCCTATCCACTGTGCTATCACTCCAGCCCCTCATTTCTTAATAAAAAATATGTAGAGAAGCAAATTGGATTAGAAATGGATAAACTATTGCCGCATATACAGTTGCTTCCTGGGTTGCCTTATTTAATTTTTTTTTTCTTTTTGGGTCATACCCGGCGATGCTCAGGGGTCACTCCTGGCTCATGCACTCAGGAACCACTCCTGGCAGTGCTCAGGGGACCATATGGGATGCTGGGAATCGAACCAGGTTCAGCCATGTTGGCTGCGTGCAAGGCAAACACCCAACCTGCTTTGCTATCACTCCAGCCCCAGCCTTATTTAATTTTATTTATTTTGTTTGTTGGGTCATACCTGGCTGTGTCTAGGGCTTATTCCTGGCTTAGAGATCACTCCTGGTGGGACTTGGCGTGACCATCAGGGGAGCGCAAAGGGAGCGCTTCACCCTCTGTACCATCTCTCTGGCCTTGGGTTGTCTTATGTTACAGCCACTACTGTTAGACCCTTGTGCAACCTTTAGGATTACACAGTTCTTCCTAATTGGCATGAAACACAGTTCTCTATAAGTGACATCCCTTCCAGCCACCAGCTTTTATACCTGCCAGCCTCCTTTTCTCACACTGGGACACATAAGCCTGTGCACCCTCATCTCATCTCCAGGCACTCTGCACTCTCCATGAAGATCTACAGAGACCCACTGTTGTTGGACAGGGCTCCTCAAACAGGGACAGAAATTGGGGGTGGGAGAGATAGTGATGATGGAAGAAAACATGTTGGTGGGAGAGAGGGGGAAGGCACTCAAGGTCAGGAATGCTTCAGTTGTTTGTGATGGAAAATTTCTTCAGGGCAGTAGGCAGGGAGGGAAAAATGAAGGGGGAGGGCTGGCAGGATCTTGTTTGGCCACTGCCTCCTTACATCTGGAATCCAGGCCTCCAGCTGGGCTGCGTTATCCTCACTGTCCTCCTGGCACAGAGAGACCTTTCCTTGTGGAAAGACCAGAGCAGGATAAAGAGAAGACCTGGTTGCTCACCATCCCCACTGCCTCTCAGACCTTCTCAGAGACTCAGGGCCTCTGCCCTATCCCCTTCCTGCCTGAAGGAAGTTAGGGAAAGGTTGGGAGTGAATCATTAAACCAAGGAGGGCATGCTTTGGAGGTGGGGGTGGTGAGGCTGGGAGATGAGTTAAGGGAGAGAGAGCCAGGGGCTGAGACCAGCAACTAGACCTGTTCTCACTGCACTAACCCTGGAGTACTGGCTCTTCTCCCCTTGCCATTTCCTGCTTCCATTCCTGGCCAGTCTTCAGGCTCACCCTACCTACTCTTCATCCCCTTCACTGGGTCTCTTTCTTTTCTTTTCTTTCTTTCTTTTTCTTTTTTCTTTGATTTTTGGGTCACACCTGGCAATGCTCAGGGGTTACTCCCAGCTCTGCACTCAGGAATTACTCCTGGCAGTCCATATGGGATGTGCCGGGGATCGAACCCAGGTCGGCCGCTGTACGATCACTCCAGCCCTTTGGGTCTCTTTCTTGACCTCCCTCTAACCTCTCTTTAGCCCTGTTTTTTTTTCCTCCCCCTCACTTTTCTGTATTTGCTTACTTTGTGTTGTTAATCTCTCTGAGAAGAGAGGGAGGTCATATCTGTATATGTAGAGAGGAGGAGTTCGTCCTCCTGCTGTCTTTGATATCTTGAGCACTTGACTTTTCACCTAGTAGGGGCTTGATAAATACTCTTAAAGCGACTCCTCATCCTAAGCACATCTGTTTACAAAGTTGCGTCCTTTCACAGGCCCCCACACATCCTCTTCAAAGTGATGGCCGGGGCTCCAGCTGTGGCTCAGAGTGATTTGTCCTTGCACCCAGGATGAAAACTAAAAGCTCTTTGCTGCAATGGCATTTAGTACAAGCTGGAGATGGATATCAGATAGGAAGGAAATGGGCAGCAAAGACAACATATATATATATATATATATATATATATATATATTCTAATAAAGTGGTGTTAGAGGAAGTTGTGCTTAAATTTCAACTCAGTAACTTATCATGAGGAGAACAAAATGACTCACCCCAACTGGGCTACTTTGGCATGTAGATTATTTTGAGCCAAAGGCCATCAAGATCC